GTAGTAGTAGTAGTAGTATTGGAAGTAGTAGTAGTAGTAGTAGTAGTAGGTGTCTCATGGAACGAGCACGAAATAAATGTCTCCTACACGCGATGAGTCACAAATCCTAATGAAAATAATAATGCCCGAAAGAGCTTCGTTCTTTCCGTTGGCTTGGTGCAATGCGGATAAATTTACTGCGCGATCCTTGGACGGATAAGGCATACCTGGGGACACCTCCGTCGGGTTATAGGCTCTGCTATACAACGGGTGGCATGAAACTTGCGTCTCCAAAAGACACCAGCAAGAGCACGCACAACTACTACCATCACGATCATCATCAGTTTTACAAACACCACCGAACAACTTTTGCTATCTTTTTCTCTTTCTCTCTTCTGTCTTTTCTCTGTCTCTCTTCTGTCTCTCTTGTTCACATGTAGGGATCTCATCTCCTCGGCACAAGAGTCTCCTGGAAATAATTCTTCTCTGAACGTCCTATCCAAGAGTGGGACCGTACGACGAGATTTTCACCTGCCGAACAGATTTATCGTGCTTGCGTCTTTCCCCGTCTTCTTCGACCTGAACCATCCCTAAAACCAACCACGTTCAACGTCGTTAATTTTATTCTTTTTTTTTCTTTTTTATTTTCTTCCTCTTCTTGTTCTCTCTCTCTCTCTCTCTCTCTCTCTCTCTCTCTCTCTCTCTCTCGTGGGATCTTCGACGAATCGCATCCTAACATCTCGTTTCCATCGCGGACACCACCAGCGGTGGTGGATTCCAGAATTTGAATTTTAACGAAGACAAGCGATAGCTCGTCATGAAATTTCTTTTAGAGTCTTTGATTCCGTAAATCCGTAAATGGTTCGCATTTGCCACGCGTGTCGTCTCCATGTTGGGACCTTTTTAAAATCTACGATGATTCGATCAATTAATTAACTCGTTCCGTACGTACAGAAATCAAGATTCAAGAATATCATTCATTGTTATTATTATTATTATTGTTATTGTTATTGTTATTATTGTTATTATTGTTATTATTTTTATTGTTATTGTTATTATAATATTCGAGGATGGATGGATGGATGGATCAGTCGATCTTCGTGTTTTTGGCTGCACCGAAAGTGCATATGTCGCGTCGTAATATTCCTCTCCTCTGGCACTATTTTGTCAATCATTCTTAAAGCTTGCGCGTTTACAACACGTTTCTGTATACGTGCCAGTAATAATAAAACTCGATCTATAATTTTCCCTCGTAATATTTATATTCAAGATCGCCAATCAATTATTATTTGGATGATTTGATAGAAAATAATTTATCGTGATGGAATATTTCTATATTTTTGACTTGTGTGTCACTTAGTAAATTTATTACTTCATTACGATTTTGTGTCTACTCGACATCATCTAAATTTTTCTTCCTCTCTGCACCCTCCCCTAATCCTTTATAATTCCCCAACCCCCTCTTTCTCTCTCAGCACAATAAATATAAATTCGTTTGAAATTAAATTATCCTTGATTATAGAAGCGATTATATTTAAACAAATGACACTCCATGTTATTTCTCTTTCTCTTTCTTTTTTTTCTTTTTTTCTTTTTTTCTTTTTTTTTCTGAATAAAATTTAACACGTTAAGTTTGTAAGATAGTGTCATTCATTAACCAAACGAATCATCCTCCATTTTTATTCCTCAATGAGAATCGCGATTTCTCTCTCTCTCTCTCTCTCTTTCTCTGTCTATCTTATCAATTGGCAGTAGCATCTAAGGTTGATTCTGGAGACCGGTTCTTGAAACACCCCGTAGACAAGTGTCGAGGCACTTGCGACAGAGCCGTATCGCGGCGGGCATGTCTAAACGACTTGTAAAACAAGTGCTTAACGATTGCTCGTGTACCTGGATGCGCGAAGGAGCGCGAGGAAAAGAATGTAGAAGAAGAGAAAGACGGAAAGAATATAAGAAAGGCAGAGAAAGAGAGAGAGATAGCAGTCAGCCAGCCACGAAGCCAGGAACTTCGGGTCCCACGTGTTTCGAGACTTCGAGGAGGTCCAGCTTGCTAAATTGAGTTTACGAGATGTCCAAAGCGCCTCTCTCTTTTTTTTCTTCGTCTCTTCGTTTCGTTGTTCCATTCCCTTCTCTCTCTCTCTCTCTCTCTCTCTCTCTCTCTCTCTCTCTCTCTCTCTCTCTCTCTCTCTCTCTCACACACACACACACACACACATAGACACGTACATACATGTACATACCACATGTACACTTCGCGATTTCTCTCTCTCTCTCTCTCTCTCTCTCTCTCTCTCTCTCTCTCTCTCTCTCTCTCTTTTCTTTCTTTCTATATACCCTTAATTCACAAGTACACGGGACTCAAGTACCCTTTTCTTCGTATTTTACACACGGACAACGGTATTATCTTATTCGATATTATTTCGATACTTTCTACATTCTCCCCGTTCGGATTCATTGCTGATCACACATGGGTTCTGCGTTTCGCGTTACTATCTTGGATTCTCCTTGAATAACACTTACACATTCACAATTACTCTTTTAAATGTTAATTTTTAAATAATATAATCTAATAAGAATAAGATCGTTTTGAAAATTATTTTCTCTCTCTCTCTCTCTCTCTTTCTATATATATATATATATATATATATATAAATTATACATAGAATAGACTTTTAAAATGTCTAGATGCAAGAATTAATGTAAATTTTATACAAGGATTTTTTTTTCTTTGCTTTTTTTTCCAGCGGTCAAAGGGAAGACAAAACCCATGGTGGTGGTCTTGGTGACTCAAGTAGCGAGTCTGGCGACGAAGCCAAAAGACAATCCGTCGTTCAGCAACAACAGCAACAACAACAACAACCGTCGGCTTGTGCCGTTCAACAGCAACAACAACAACAACAACAACAACAACAGCAAATGGTTGAACACCAACAAACTTCTAGTATGTACCAATTACCACCTCCCGCTGCGGTCTCAAGTCCTCACTCCTATCATCAGACTCACGGCACAAGTCTGAGTCATCCGCATACACCCACCCATCATATGCAACATCATGACACCAGCAGCGAGAGTGGCGACGACAAGAGAAACCTCCATCATCAGTTGCAACATCATCTTCAGGTTGGTGCACATGGTACCCATGGTCTTGTTCATCCTACGGCGACCTTACCACCGCCGCCGCCAAGCTGTGCTCAACAGAAGAGCCAACTTGATTATATGCAGTATTATAGCCCTCAGGTAATAACTCTTCTTAGGTTTTTATAGTTGCAAAATTGTATGGATATTAAAGCAAATTTATCTACGGTTACATTTACTATTTCCACGTTGTATACTATGGTCCGTGTAAATATAACATTCGAGTTCTCCCTCTTCTTTTATTTAATTAGAATTACTTCTACGACTGGTACTATTTGAATATCACTGTTGTTTATTATTATTATTATTATTATTATTATTATTATTATTATTATTATTATTATTATTATTATTATTATTATTATTATTATTATTATTATTATTATTATTATTATTATTATCTGTGCATATTAAATGTCACAAAATATTTGGCGAATAGTTTCGGTCGTAGCAAAAAAAAAAAAAAGACAACAAGAAAAAACAAAAAAGAAAGAGAAAAAAAGAATTTAACGAAAAGAAAAAGAGACTATCAGTCCAGTTTCCCCCAAAAAATATGTCCGATCCATAATCGCGAAGGGATTCGTCTTTAAAATGTTCATAGGATTACCTGATAGGCACGCCCACCTCGGCGGATCTGCAGAAGTCGCTTCCTCACACGGCCACGTCAATGCAGATGGGTGCTATAGCACCTTCTATGGGTGGCCTAAGCCCGATGGCACCTTCGACGATGTTACAGAACACGATGCAGGGCGTTAACAGCATGAATACCATGTCGATGAACGGTATGGGAATGGGAGCCTATCAGGGAATGGGTTCTATGGGGATGTCGACGTCGCATACGAGTTACCACAGTGGACTCGTCTTAGGCGATTATCATTCGTTGTGACCTTGGGCTCCGAACGGTCAGAGTAAAAGGAATCCAGAAAAAACTTAAGGATAAACGAACTTCCGAAACTCTCAGCTAATTCATCAATATATATATATATGCATATATATATATATATATATATATATATATATATATATATATATATGTATGGTCCATTCGATTTTACTCGATTCACTATCACCAAAGTGGTATGTCTCGGGGCTCGCTCGTGCTGAGAAAAGAAATAAAATACCGCATACAGTATCCGTTATTTTCAATACGAAGGTGTGAAAGCTTTTTTATACTAAACTTTGTTGTTATCGCGTTGATCGAGAAGTAATTCTAAAGCACTCGTTGTTTAACCGTGGAGATCTTGAATTGATATTGATAATAATCTTCTCTTGATCGCCCCTCAGTCGTGTGGAGTCTCTCGAAAGACCGCTTAGGTGATCGGGCTCGTACGCTTCTGGATAAAATAGCAAAAGACATGTTAGCATTTTTCATTATCCCTATTCTTAATAGAACCTTCGCACAGGTAGCAAGGAACACCCCTTCCCCCCTCCGTATTATATATAAATAATCTTATTCGAAGAAGAACGAAACAGGTTCTTTTATTTTTTTGCGACTCTAACTAATTCTTCCGTTTGTAATCTCTCTCTCGTAGCGTACAATTGTAAGTGATTAAGAGATAGCACAATCTCTGTAAGTGTGTAAGTGCGCTTTGTGGTTCGTTAACAGCGTCTAAAAAAAGTCATTTGAAAAACAAGTTGATAATGTTTCCTATCAAATGAAGTAATTTTCTTTTTTTTTTTTTTTTGAAGAGAGGGTAGTTTAAAACGAACTACAAATAACGTAAGAAAAATCATTAAAAATTCATTGATTGATTTAAGACACACACACACACACACACACACACATATATATATATATTTATATTTATATACAATACATATTATTTTTCATCTTAATTAATTTTAGACCATAACGAATCACACATTGCACTCTATCACTCCAAATACATACAAACACATCCTTTTTAACATACTTACACATGCTACACGTGCGTACGCTTCTGTCTGTTTGTCCTCTTCGTCTATCTATCCCTGAATCTCTTCCTGTATATATGTAGATATATTGAACATGTATTCAGCGCACGTTCTCTCTTATGTTCTCAAATAATAATCATTACCACCTTGTGAACAAGAAATGTGTTGGAAGTTCACGCACGGCGGATATATTAGAAAAAGAGAAACGAAAATGAAAAAAAAGAAAAGAAAAGAAAAAAAAAAAAGAAGAAGAAGAAGGAAGATTCGCACAGCAGTTTTATTCGCTAAAACGAGAACAACACGTACCGTCGCAATCTAAGTTAGTCAAGTAAGTTGTCATTTATTCGCAATTCACGATCTTCTGTATATAGGGTATGTTGTACATGCGAGATTTTATGTATGTATGCATGCATGTATGTATGTATGTATGTATGTATGTATGTATGTATGTATGTATGTATGAATGAGAAGGGTCTCTTTGTATGTATGTATGGATCTATATGTGTCTTCTGCTTGCAAGGATATGGTATGATGCATGTAAGTATGCGTGAAGAAGAAAGAAAAAAAAGAAAAGAGAAAAATAATAAAAAAAAAAAAGAAAAAAAAATGGAAAAAAAAAAGAAAAAGAAATAGAGACAACACAACATCGAAGGAGAAAGAAGAAAGGAAAATAAAAAGACAAAGAAAAAAAATATGTAGAAGAAAAAGCCAGCCACAAGTGATCGTCGCGCGTTAACTTCTCCCTAGAAGAAGGAACGCCGCTCTTCGTGCTAATAATATAAATATATATATATATATATATATATATATATATATATATATATATATGTATATGTATATATATATATGTTCTTAAATATTCCATTAAATTAGCGAGCATTATGTTGTCATGTTTGACATTGTACGTATGTATATGTAATAAGGTGTGACTGATGATAAAAAAAAAAAAAAAAAAAAAAAAAAAGAAAATACAAAAAAAAGGGAAAGGATCACCTTTTCTACTCGAAGGATCCTCGGGACGAAACAGGGTAAGAAAGTAATGTAAAGATGATTATACAGAGAACACAGGCGCGAGGATGTTTAAATAATATATAGGATGTCATCTGATTGCTGGTATTATCGTGATAACAATTATTCTGATCCCTTCCTGAAACGAAAGCAAGTAAGAAGAAAAGAAAAGAAAAAGTAAGAAAGAAAAAAAAAAAAGAAAAGTTCAATTAAAACATTAAAAATTATAATATCTCCGCCCTTCTTCTCTTAATTAATTTAAAGTTTTTATTTTTATTCGTTAGATTAAAATCATTTTTGTATCATGCGAGTTTTCACTTTTAAATATTTCGACTTATAATTGCTCATTAATTTTGTTGTTTGGATTAAGATACATATATTATTTTCTCGATCTTGTCATCAATCATATAACGTTCTGTATATATTATATATATATATATATCGCCTTTGACTTTGGACAAATCGATAAAAGATTGTAACATCCGATGTTAGAGAAAATGCGATTGATCGAAATCAGCTATCCTTTTACAAAAATGTGTTCATATTTTTTTTTCTTTCTTTCTTTTTTTTTTTTCGTTTTTCTTTTTTCTTCCCCCTCAAACATTTTAACTTTCTTTGAGATTAACACGTTTTATAATAATAACATTTGATGAGTCTAATCATAGCGGCAAAAAATAAAAAAAATAAATAAATAAAGGAACGTTCTTGATCAGTCGCAAGATCTATCGGGAATTTTATTTGCTCAATAGTGACTTTCGCAGCGAAGGAAATATTTTCGATTAACGCACAAATATACAAAGAAAGAAAGAAAGAAAGAATAATAATAAGAAGAAGATATGCTTTGTACGCTACAATATTAAAGTAATTAAAAAAAAAAAGAAAAAAAAACGAAAAACAAAAAAAAGAACTTGCACACATACACACACACACACACACACTCTGTCACAGAACATTCCGAATAAATGTCGTGTATCAATTAAAAAATTTCATTAATACGTGATACAACTAGAGATGAACGAAATGCTATCGAGAGAAGTTAATTAATTTAATAATCCTTTTGTTTATTTTTTCTTTTCTTTTCTTTTTTTTTTTCTTTTCTTTTCGTTCTCGCTGCATGTAGTAAAAAAAATTGTCCTTTTTTTATTTTTCCTTTTAAAAGCAAAACCCAAGAGAATAATTCGTTTTAATATTATTTCTATTTATTTTTTCAAAAGCTTCTTGCGCTTTTGACAATTTTGTTTTATTCTTAAGAGTTGCAATTCTTATTAATGAATGAAAATATAATTTAAAAAATTATTAGAGACGCTTTTGAAATTGCGATATAAGTTATATATATATATATACATATTCGTGTGTGTACATATATATATACATACATACATATGTATATATATGTATATATAATATAAATTTATATTATAAATTTATAATAATATATATATATATATATATATATATATATTATTTTTTGTTATATCCACGAGTAAAAGACACTGTGAGATAGTGGCATAAAAAACGTGTTAATCTACATAAACGAAAAAAAAAAAAATATGGCAGAGCTTTCATTCTTACGACGGAATCTTTTTAGACTTTAGTCCAAAACGTCTATATACATAAGTAAATAGATTAGATAAATAAATAAATAAATAAATAAATAAAATTAATTAAATAAATAAATATATATATATACACATATTTAAATTTGTACAAATAAAAATGCTACGATTCGACCAAAGCTATACAGATTTAATTTCTATCTTTAGAGACTTTAGAGAGTACGACGTTTGTTTATCGTACACATTACTCTTGCACAAAATATGAAAACATACATTTGCGCACGCTATATATTATATATATTTATATGTATATATATATAATATATATATATATATATATATATATATATATATACATATACGATCTATAGACATATGTATAATATTTGAAAAAAGTCACAAACAAAAATGCAAAAAAGGCAACGGAACAAATGTCTTGTCATCATAAATAACACTTACACAAGGTTGCAAGAGAGAAAGAGAGAAAGAAAAGACACAATATACATTTAGACGATTGACTCCATGTATTTTCGAACGGACGAATAATATAAATAATATAAAAAGAAAATTGCACAATTATGAAGAAATGGAGGAAAATGTTTAGGGGGAGGGGGCCGGAGGTAGAAGACAGAACACAATGAGTGTGTATTGTACGTATGAGATGTGCGTATGTTCCCTTGCGTGAAAATGATTATCCGAAGAATAAAAAGGGGAATGATAAGTGATAGAGAGTGAGAGAGAGAGAGAGAGAGAGAGAGAGAGAGAGAGAATGGAAGAATGAGAGAATGAGAGAATGAGAATATGAATAAGAAAAGTATGAAAAAAGACGAGAGTATAAAGAAGAAAAATAAATAAAAAAGAAAAAAAATGGAGATAAAAGATCCATCGATGTACGATCGTACTGTAATAATAACAAGTAAGTTGATGTTATTTAAAAAAAAAAATCTACGAATAAAAAGAAAATATTATCTACGTTCACATACGTGTCACGTCGATATATTATATATATATATATATATATATATATATATATATATATATATATCATTATCGCATGTGTTTCTAATCGCACTTGATCCTCAAAAAATGATTATTTACTCGATAAAGAGCGTGTTTAATTGTCATTTATATTAGAATTATTGTCTGTTTTTTTTTCAACGAGGGCAAGAGAAAGAGAGAGAGAGAGCGAGAGAGAGAGAATACTTTTTTCTCAACAACTTCTTTTTTTCTCTCTCTTTTTCTCTCAACCGACAAAGGGAGAAAGCATGCCTCTGCCCTTGTTTTTTTCTCGTCAACTACCTGAACAAGACTAGCTGGGAAAGGGAAAAAAAAAGGAAAGAAAAGCGAAATGAGAGAGAATGAAAAAAAAACGAGAAAGAAAAAATCAAAAGGAAAGTGTAGAGGAAGAAGAAGAAAGAAGGAAAGAAAGAAAGAAGGAAAGAAAAAGATAAAGGAAACGATAGGTGCCGGTAATTATTTCAAAACGAGCACCGGTCTAGTTCTATTAGTTGTATCAGTGATCAGCGATGATAGATAAAAACTGGTCGTCGTCTCTCTCTTTCTCTCTCTCTCTCTCTTTCTCTCTCTCTCTCTCTCTCTCTCTCTCGTCTCTTTGTGTGCCGCGATATATATTTGCCCGGTAAAGAGAACGAACGAACGAACAGGCCCCGTGTGTGTTTGTTGGTATTCTTTGTTCATCTCTTCTTCGCTTTCCGATCCTGAAAACGAGCATCTGCCTTCTTCCACTAGTAGTTCCTATTCATTCCCCTTTGTGTCGATCTCAATTCCTTTTCTTATATGTCTCTTCTCGTCGTCGTCGTCGTCGTCGTCGTTGTCGTTGTCGGTCGTTGTTGGTCGTGTTGTCGTTGTCGTTTATCTTCGAAATTTTTTTGATCGAAATGAGCAAATATCAACGAAAGCTATAAAAAAAAAAAAAAAAAAAATAGAAAAAAAACAGAGTTAAAGCAATATTTTGAAATAATTCTATTCGAAATTAGAAACAAAGTATATTATTTTGTACTAAAATATATATAAGACGTTTTTAAATGAAAGTTGATAAATGTCAAGATAAGTATTTTAAAAGTTAAACAAACTTTTAATCGTTATTACATTTACTTTCTCTCTCTCTCTCTCTCTCTCTCTCTCTCTCTCTCTCTCTCTCTCTCTTTTTTTTCTTTTGCTTTCTCTTTAGGTCTTCTATCTCTCTGTGTCTTTTCAATATCCTTCTTGATTCCTCTGTTCGTGACCGCCAACCAGGCGGAATAAGAGCAGTCGACGCATGCTCATCGGCCTGTTATAATTTTGGTTCTATTAGCTTCGTAGTGCGGGACCATAAGCCCCGAAGGGATTTCTAGAGATCGTAAAGTTAAGCCTCTGGACCCCACGGAGGGTAGCACAGATTCCTTCGTACGTGTTTCTCACGCATACACGTACATCACGATAAACTGTACGCAAGAGTCCTGCATATGTATGTCTCGCCTTCTTTCTTATTGGACCACGATAAAGAAAGAAGGAAAGAAAGAAAGAAAGAAAGAAAGAACGAACGAAAGAGGGAGTCGAGAAGTAGTATAGTTATCCTGAAGTGGTATATGCTTGTGAAAAAAGAAAAAAAAAAAAAAAGAAAAAGAAAGAAGGAAGAGAAGGAAGGTTTCTCTGGGTTTGTTCTACCTCATACGGTCTTCTCTGAAGAGGGTCCATTCTAAGGGTATACCGTCAAGTAGCATCTTGACGCGGTCCTGACAATGGCTACTTGTTAGCGAAGTACACCAACAGAAGATAGAAAAGCGGATTGCTGCTCGTCACCTTTTGCTTTTCAACGATTACATGCCATTTATAATAGGAATACCTTCACGTGCCTTTGATCACGGAATAACGCCTTATTTTTCCTTTGAAAATTCGCTATCACGCCTTTCTCATGCTACACGTTATCTAAAAATGATAGAAAGGCTTACATCGTAAAAAAAAATAGGATACGAATTATATATATATATATATTTTTTTTTTATTTGTTATAATCATTATATAATTATTAATTATTATTTACGTAATTATTCGTACGTGTAATTATTTATAGATTATATATGATCATGTTGGAAGTAATGAATTACGAACGAAATATTTTATTTGATGTTAAAAGTTGTAAAATTTACAAGATATTCTGTTATTTACAATACGTGATTATCAGGGTATTAGTAATGACGAGGTATTCAAGCATGAACGAGGACACGGAAAATTTATGTGAATTTAACAATGGTAGATAGGAAAATATCCATCTGTTCGTGTTATTTCTCGTTCGCAAGAATAAACGTTATATATTGGAACGAATAATAGAAAATGATGATAACCCAAATTGAACACTTATGCTGTTCTTTACTATTTGATCGTAGATTCATCCAATAATGATTCTTGATCGATGTAAGAAACTTGATTCGCTATCGACGTAAATTACAGTTTACAGGACGTACACGGTGGATCACTAAGAACACACCTCGACTTTATATAAAGCGAGGAAGAGAGACGAGACGAGACGAGAGACGGTAGGCAAGGAGAGGAGAGGAGAGAATGTATGATTTCGAAGGGGGAAATATTTATGGGCAGTCCAGCTAAAATTAATTTATGCAGCCGCATAGGCTGCCACGTAATTTATTCGCGGTGCCCGCGACGATCAGTCACTCTCTTCCACTTGGCTTTTGTGTGTAAGGAAATCCCTGGGCCATTAGAAACAAGCACGAAGGGCCCCCTCTCTTCGAGCATAGGATATACACATACGTATGTGTAGTAACATCGTGCATATGTATGCTCGATAGTTCTTCCTTGAATTTCGCATGCTCCCTCGTCGTCGTCGATCCTAGAGAAGACAAGGATAGAATCAATAAAATAGAAGTTAAACGGACTTAACAAATTTTAGAGATAATAGAATCACGGAAGGATATAACGACGGTCCTTTGGGAAAAGGAAAATTAACGAAAAAAAAAAAAAAAGAAAAAAAAGAAATGGAAAAAGACTGAGAGAGAAAGAGAGAGAGAGAGAGATGGAAGGGTGAAGGGGATATCTACGTAGGATCTCTAAAGTCACATTATGATTTGTGGACGCCTAGATCCTGATCCTGTCCGCTCGGTGGAAGCACCCACGCTTTCCAGGAAGCGCGTTCTCGTTGTGAACGAGGTGCACCAGGTCGACAAGAACGGGACGACGAAGAAAGAAAGTTAGTATTTAGAAGGTTGGAGAGAAGGAGAAAGGAAAGGGGGACACGTTCGCGGGTAGGAGGGTGGTCCACCGAGATCAGCCGACCTGATTAGATCGAGGGTGTAATGGACGGACTAATTTGTGAATTTTAAATTCCGTCTCCGACGTTTTGCCGCGAGGCTGGTTTCTCTCTCTCTCTCTCTCTCTCTCTCTCTCTCTCTTTGGTTACCTGCTGTAGTTGTTTTTATTGGTCCCTTCTCTTCTTCTCCTTTTAATTTTCACTTTCATAGAATCACGTTACTATATAATCTCTTTTTATAATAAACATATTAACATCGTTTACGAAGAAAATTAATAAGGCATTGTAGTGGTAAAATTTAATGACAATCTTCTTTCAATATTTAAATTGAAAGTGTTTTATGTACTTCCATCTAAATCGTAGCAGATAATATACGAAGGATATAGAAAAAAAAGAGAGAAGAGAGAAAGAGAGAGGGAAAGGAAAGAAAAAGAAAAAGAAAAGAGACGAAGGAAGGAGATAGAGGAAGGAAAGCAAGACGTCTACGTAGTGGCAGATTAGAGGCGGCTTTCGCCGTATAGCGGAGCGGGTCCCATTGTCGAGGGGCATAATACGGTTATGATTTAGTTTGGGACGTGAGGATACGAGCGAAGGAAGAAGAAAACGTTGTCGAGTAGAGAGAAAGAGTGAGAGAGAGAGAGGGGGGGGGATTCTGTCGGTCAGAAGAGAAGGGAGGGCATCTCAGTGTCGGGTTACATCTCATCCAGGGCCCCGCCTGGAACATCCACACGTTCTCCTATCCACGGACCCACACGCGGTCGGATCCCTTTAAGCATAGGTATGAGTGCATGCACGCACGACGCCACGATCACGCGTGTCCCTTCTCCGTACCTACCCTCAGTCCTCTTCCCTATCCCTCCTCTATAACATCTCTTCAACGTGCCTCTTTCTCTCTTCGAGTCTGCACGTGGTAGGTAGACAAGCTGGAGTACGCCTGGGCCTTACTCCTGAGTTCCTTTACTCTTTGGCCCCACCATCATTCTATCCTGTCACTGTCTCTTACCTTCGTCTACTATACAATCGTCCCTACTAATATAATCATTTCAATTATTCCTTTCGATTGCAGCACAAATTTATTCCAAAAGATCCTGCATTTATATATATATATATATATATATATATAAATTTATGTGTGTGTATGTACGTGTGTATATTACGAGCTGGCTTGAAGAAGTTCATAATGAACTTGCAGTTTTAAAGGCCATTTCTAAACACCCAGATTGTGACTCAGATTGTTCTTTTTCATTAAAACGTGTTGTTGAGTATAACAATATATATATATATATATATATATATATATATATATATATATATATATATATATCTTTAAATAAAAATTTTCCTTTATCCTTTGTTTACTTCTATTTAGTTACTTAAAGTTGTGCGTATCTGAGTATCGTTTTTAATTCTATCCGAAGTACCTAAGAAAGATAAAATTAGTTTACAAAGACGGTGCGTTCTACCGTGTCGGCATGGAAGTCAAGATATCTGTCACCTTCCGCCGCGGACATTCTTCCTCACCTCGGTGCACGTAGAATGTTCCGCGAACTCGCGAATTATGAATATGATTATCTCGGACGGGTTCTTGACGAGAAGCCAGACCTGTCCGAGAGGTGTCACCTTACACATCCCTCCGAGTGCGTCCCCGCCGACACTGCCACCACCATCGCAGCCCTCTCCTATATACATTGTTTCTTCTCCACGCTCTACTCCTCCTTCATTTCCTCCTCCTTCTCCACGCGTAAAACGCATTGTTGTATTTTGTAATCGAATCTCACAAATAATTGGATCCCGTTCGACGCTTCCGCCATAATAAAATCAACCAGTCGGTTGGTCGTTGATGTACGTTAGACTACGGTTGTATCTGAAAAAAATTAGAATGACAAAAAAGAGAGAGAGAGAGAGAGAGAGAAAATATACTATACGAATTTCATAAGAAAATTATTAATAACTTGACAGTAAGTTTTTTTCTACTATTCTCAGAAATAGAAAAATCCTTTATAATAATTAATTTATTTTTGTCATTTTATCGGTACTATCTATCCTAAGCGATATGAGAGAGAGAGAGAGGGAGAGAGAAAGAACGTCGTGGTGGGTAAGGTCGGTAGACCTTCCGATGTATGTCTGGATGACGATGGAAAGGGATGGAGGAAGATGCAGATGCAGTGGAGCCGTCAGCCCTTTTCCGCAGGGTCCCGCAATAAATTAACGGGGCAACTAGGGGGGCAGGGCCGGCTCGCGAGCTACCGATAAGGATCGAACGAGCGTCGGAGAAGTGCTAAGTAACTACCGATCGAATCGGTAGATAAAACCCTTCGAGCTCGCAGCCCTTTTTCTCTTTCTTTTTTTTTTTTCCTTTATTTTTCTTTTTTTTTCTCTCTCTTTCTTTCTTTCCCTCCCTCTCGCACACGCGCCATTCTATAATACACCAGACACCATCGGTGATACACGATGATTTTCACGTATACGATAGGGAGGGTGTAGGACAATAAAGGCGAGAACTAGTAAAGAACCGTTCGTTTTGATCCTTGACATTTATGAATCGAATTCCTACAGCCTAGAATTGCTTTTATATAGCGATTTATATAGGAGATAAGGACGAGAACCCTTCGTGCGTACACTTAAGTACACCCTCGACCTAGCCTACTCAACGTTCCGATCGTTCGACTTTGAGCAACAGTTTTGTTCATCTTTCTTGGAACTTTTCATTAATGTCACAACGAAATTCCGAATGATCATTCACCTAATATACAATATTAAAAATAAAAATAAAAATAAAAATAAAGAAAAAGAAAAAAGATAATAACTTTGTTTACAGATGGGAGAAACTTTTATTAACTACTATTAAATGAGTTTGGTATTGCTATTATTGAATTGTATTATTTATCGGATGAATAGAAAACCGTTTCAATATCATCTTTGATTAGATAATTTCCAGACTCTATTGTCACATAGGATCATATATAAATCGAATCGTACATACTATAATTCATGAAACATATGTCGATGGTCTTCTCCTTTGAGTTCCCTCCCCTAACGCCAGTAGACACCATAGAATTTCGTTAGCACGATTGGTCGAGACGCCGTCCAATGGGACACGTCATTTTGTCGAGGTTAGAAGGGCGGCCACGCGGTACCCTTCTTCGCCTTTAGGGGTGAGTCTCCTATTCAATTGTCGTTGACGTAGGACTTAATGCCGCTTTACAAGAAATTATCCGATAAGATTTGACATTCCGATAGAATTATAATAATCCTTTAGACGGATCAATCTAATACGTAAGGATACAAATGTTATTTTATGCTTATTTCCTGGTTATAATTTTTATACGGTAAAAAATGTATGTGCTAGAACACAACAAGGGACGTTTTACGTTTATAAATTGCAATACAATCCAGGTTTTTGTACGTACTTATGTATCTCGTATAAAAGTGATAGCTTTTATTATCATATGCATAATTATGTGTAATTAGAAAGAAAAGAAAAGAAAAAAGGAAACAGCAATGAATTGAACGAAAACAAATATCTTTAAAAGAACGGAAGAAAATATACACAAGGATAAGGAGCACTTAAGTCGAAGTGTCAGGTGAGTGATTATCGAGAGTCGATCGTTGGCTGTTCGTAATCCTAGACAAGAATTAAAGCGGTGCACCGGTACTCATTGCCTCGTAACCGTCGAAAGGACAACTTTGTAACGTGATGATGGCACTTACCACCTGATCCATGAATATAGATTAAACTATTTGTAAGTATGCTGATATTAAGCGGGATATTTTTCTTCATAATAGTCAATTTTCTCGACTATTAATTTTTATATTAGTTACGGAATAATTCCATTTATTAATATTCTTTAAAATCCGATACTATTAATATCAAAATACTTTCTTTCAAATTTCTTGAAAAATAATAGAAACGATTATTATCCAATCACGTTCATCTTAGATATACAAACGAATAGAAGCTTTTTGATCTCGTAAGGATTTTCCATTTTAATAAGAAACCGAATAAAAATCGAAGGACATTATTCTTCTATGGATAAATTACAACATTTATACATCAGCACGCTGTATTTATGTTATATGTATTACGTGTATTTATACGTTCGTAAGTACAAACACATTCTGGGTGTTAGCAGTGCGGCGTGACCTACCCCACTGAGAATCGTATTTCAATACAGAAACCGAAAACCATATCATTACGTTGAAGCTCCGTTTCGTCGGTCGCGCATACATATACCAATACATACACCCGCGCGCGGGCTCACGCTCGTTTCTGTGTATATTTTTTTCTATGTGTCCGGATTGCATGCATTATACGTGCACATCCACGAAACTCGCAAAAAATACTCTGTCCCATAGGCACGTTGAAGAATGCAAATGACTGTGTATGTGGGAAAGAAAGAGAGAAAGAAAGAGAGAGAGAGAGAGAGAGAGAAAGAGAGAGAGAGAGAGAGAGAGAGAAAGAGTCACCTATGCAGGTACATGTTTTTACAGTACGTTTGTACTTGCAGGTGCTATTAATGCTGTGTGCATCGCCAGGCGCCATATCGCGTGCGTGTCAACCACTGAAATCGTACTCCACGTGGTCCAACTCACTCTCCTCCCTTTCCCGTACACCTCGCCTCGAATTTTTTTTCCCAAGTTCCTTTGCCGTTGGGAAACAACCGTCTCCGAAAGAAATCCACGTTTGTTACACATTTACCTAGTGTTTCCTAGACTTATAGAATTACAAGCATTCTCGTACATTCATTTTTCTAGCTGGTTCTTTCTCTTGTTTTCTTCCTTTTTTCTTTTCCTCTCTCTCTTTTTCTTATCGTCAACATACATTCTCTTACATATCCAATCGATAAATCGCTTGTGTATAACCCTAAAAATAGAATGTCCCAGATAAATGAAAAATTCCAAACGTGGAATTTACGAGAGACTTATAGTACAAATTGATGAATGCAGGGCAAATTTGTCGACACTTTCGCAGGAGTTACATAATAGGTCTGTACTCGCTTGTAGAAAACGACAATGGTGGGTAGTACGAGAGTATTTAGATGAGTTGACTCCAATTGGCGTACGTACCGTGAGAATCCAAGTATCTAGCGCGTGGCCCGTTGATGCGAACCGGCTAACCGAAGCGGAGAAAAAAGAGGGCCAGTGCTAATCATGCAAATTGGGCGACCAGTTACATCATTTACTTCTTTTTTGCCATCGATTTTGCCTCCTCTTTATAATTTCTTCGAGGGATCTTCCATCGAATATTCCTTAAAATAAATACAAAAGTTAGAGAGTACATACAACGATTTCCAATTATCGTAAACTTTAAGATATTATTTAACAAAGGAATCCTAAAGAGATATTGATTGATCAAATTGATAAGAATATCGGTATCGCTGAAGTTTCTTTTTTTCTTTTCTCTTCTTGATGATCTAGGAAAGATTTTTAAATATAGAGGGAGAGGGAGAGGGAGAGATTGAGAGGAGAGAGAGAGAGAGAGAGAGAGAGAGAGAGAGAGAGAGAGAGAGAGAGAGAGAGAGAGAGAGAGGTCTCCTAGGGACGATTATGCAGTACGACATGGTGCTCAACGAGTAGAAGGTGGTAGAGGAGATGTAGAGGGAGGACAGTGCGAGCAATGTGCGAGGCTTCGCGCGGCCGTCAATTACAATTAATTAGAGCGGAGACTGACAGCGGACGCAGCGACGGCTACTTAATACTTTAACTTGTCCCTCGACCCTCCACCCGTCGTCCACTTCCTCTCTCGAACGAACGGCATAACGACGACGTGACCAAACTTCTCGCTTATTGCACTTTTCTTTTTTCTTTTTTTTCTTTTCTTTTCTTTTTTGAACTAGGCAATCTTTTTCCAAAAAAAAAAAAAAAAAGAAAAGAAAATATTAAATTGCAATTGATATGCATCGGGTTAATATTGTCACTTAAAGTTTTTCAATTGTTCTTTTTTTTTTTTATAAAACCAATATTATTTTTCAATGTTACATTTAAATGTTAAATCGTTAAATTGTAAGAACAATGTAAATGTATTATTAGATAAAATCTATCTCGTTTTCTAGCCAAGGAACCAAAGATAAATTACTCCTTTCAGTGATTACATATTGTGAGAATCGCCATTTGCTAATTAACTCATTGTCTAGGTCCGGTTAGCTACGTCTAAGAGAGTCTAATGGACGTTTCCTAGTGACGCGCCAGTCCGAATACAGAACGAATTAGAATAATTCGTTCCGTCTGGCTAAGTCACCGAGGAGTCGCATAAGACGACTACTACCGCTCCTCTTTATACGCACGACACATTTTCCTTAATTTACTGAAGTTGCTGTTAGGTCCTCAATCCTCGTGAATTGGTTGATGAAACGTGAAAAAAAAATTTGATATGCAAAATGAGTTAGTTCTTTTTACGAAATATACGAAAGAAAGAAGAAAAGAACTCGACAGATGAAGGAAGCTCGTATTTAAAAAAAAAAAAAAAAAAGAAGAGAGAAAAGAAATTATCAAAAAAATACATAAAAATAAAAAAGATGAACGATCGGTATTCCTGGAAAATTCTCTCAAGTATTCCAAGCAAAAACGGGTGGGGTTTTATAGTCCATCTTTTGACCGGTGGTCTCTGTCTCCCCTTCTTAATTTTTAATTTCATTACGGATGCTCGAGCGGTCTCATCATAATGGGCTCCTCCGTTCGATATCCCATAGGCCATCTGGCATGATCCCATCGGATCTATATATATGGATCAAAATATCGATCGTGATCGTTCGAGCGAAAATATAACGTGGCCTAACTTCATAAACCGCTGCGAGGCCGATCGTCAAGCCGTGTAATCATGCTAAGTTCGAATTTACATGACAAATTGTCCAAGTAGGCTAAATGATTTCCTCTTCTCCTCTGAGACTTTGTAAATTGTTGTGATAACCACAATGTGTTATTTAATTTTTTCTTTTTTTCTTTTTTTTTCTTTTTATTTTTTTTTTTACAACAAAATATTTTAAATATCTAAACCTATTAATTCGCGTTATGTCCGATCATCGATCGTTCTTTCTTTGAAGGATCGAATTCGTCGAAGGTTCTGATTATGTTGCTGAATAAGAAAGCATTGGGTTCCAATGTGTGGCATCAGTGTATAGCGAACAAAAAGTATCTACAAGCATCGATAAGGCACGTATTAATTAAAGAATAACATCCGGCGAATGAATGCAACTATAAGGTCTGATATCATATTTTTCAAACGTTATTAAAAGATATAACGATCCTCAAAGGATCGAACCTGATATTATAATTTGTATGTAATTCATTGCATCATTGTTTATTTGAAATTTATTCTTTTTATAGTAGGTCTATGTTTTAAATCGTAATTATCAGTAGTAAATTACTAATAAAAATAAGTTCAATATCCTGATATGTAATTTACAAACAAATTCATACAAGGTATGCGTATATAAATGTAGTCGGTGTGTGTTCGATGAGCCGTTAAGAAGGAAGCTTAAAAGAGAAACTGAGAGAGAGAGAGAGAGAAAGAAAGAGAGAGAAAAGATATTGAAGATAAGACAGGGGACGTGTCTCCTCCACCCTGATTTTCTCCTTCCATTCTTTGATGCACAGGGCCCCAAAGTTCGGGGACCAACGTGGGCCTGCACGTAATCCACGGGTACGTCATGACGAATTTGTTCATCTGCCCAATGAGCCAGAATGCACCCCCACATCCTCTCGCCGTGTTTCACCGTCTACCTCTCTCTATCTCTCTCTCTCTCTCTCTCTCTCTCTTTCTCTATCTATCTATCTATCATTTCTCTCTTTCTCTTGTTCTCTTCTGCACACTCGTCTTATATATACGCGAACAAATACAAGCACATCTTCCCAAGAAGAAGCCACGAAACGGGACCCTGTTTTCAAGATGGCTACTGTCCGCATCGGTGGTCATCGAACGCAGACTCGCACAAGGGAAGAGCCTTCGTCTCTCTATCGAAAGGATCTTCTGATCACCTTTGTCCAACGTTGCTCTTTAAACTACTTCGAAAAATGGTCCACGCGCAATCTTTCTAAAAATCGGAAAAACATCAAACGATCTTTATTCGTATTTTATAGAGCCATCCAATCAAAATGATTTTCGTATTGTATCAGAAATTCAAACATAAATCAATATCAATTTAATGTGCTCCATGTTTGTATATTAACGTGATGAGGTATAGAGTTGTGTTTGCAATTTACGGAGATATATTTATATGACTACAATTTTTTTCTTTTTTAATACATACATGACGCAAATGCAATCTGTTAAATACAAATGTTAAAAAAAGCTAAATAAAACGAGTAACAAACTATTAAATATATAAACAAAAAATATTAATACATTTATAACGTTGTTTTCGATATGATGAATTATATTTGGTTGTAGAGGTACAACGAATACGGGAAATGATAGAAGGAATTGGAGTGATTTTTTTGAGAAAAAGAAAGATAGATAAAGAGATGGAACTAACGAATGAGAAGGAGAGAAAGAAGAGGTGGAGGTAGACGAGGAGGAGAAGGAAGAGAATTAGGATGAAGGAAATATAGAGAAGAAGAGGAAGAGACATGGAGAGTGAAGGACAAAGGGAGGAGAGGGAGCAAGAAAGAGAGAGAGAGAGAGAGAGAGAGAGAGAGAGAGAGAGAGAGAGAGAGAGAGAGAGAGAGAGAGAGAGAGAGAGAGTACGGAGCTCTCGTGTTTCCGGCCGAGTGAACAACAATACCCGCAGACAAATGAGCATCCCGCCTCCATTGTTCGCTTCATCGGCACAGCGTAGCCTCTAGCCGGGTACCCTCCTCGCTTTTACTCGCGTCCTTTCCTCTCCCACCCCAACGGTGTGCTCCAGGGTACCCCACAGTGTGTGCCTCACGTCGCCGTCGTCGTCCTCAAACACCCGACTGGGGGGTCCTCGATCAACCTGATGCGGGCCAACACCGATTAAACATCGCTGCTTCGTCGAATCTCCGTCAACGAGACTGCTTTTCCTCTCCTCTACTTTCCGCTCTCTCTCTCTCTCTCTCTCTCTCTCTCTCTCTCTCTCTCTCTCTCTCTCTCTCTCTCTCTCTCTCTCTCTCTCTATCTATCTTTAACCCTCCATCATTCTCTTTCTATTTATCTTTCTCTTTTCTCGGTAAACCCTTTTCTTTTTCTATCACTCTTCCTTCTTATTTAATAGACGCAATCCTAAAATCTTTGGATCATCTATCGTTTTTTTTTTTCTTTTTTATCTTTCTATTTTGATTTTATCTCATTGAATGTTAAGTAATCAAGCAATCAGGTATGCGTATTTACAGTTTATCCATGATGAAAATAGAGTTAATATAGATGGGATAATTAATATTAAATTAGTTTTATTAAGCGTTTACGTATTACGAGATTTGATATAATTTATATATACATACTATTTAATTTCTTCACGAAGAATTTGCTTCCATATGAATTAAAATACCGTCGATTAATTTTTTCGAATATTCAAATTTTCCATTTCACGTATTGCTAATCGTTTTTCGAAAGATGCCATTTCCGCTTTTAATTCATCGTACGTTTGAGATATTGTATCGGTATAATCCGTATTCATTTCCCTGTGAAATTGGAAACGTAAATCTTTAATTATAAAATTATTTAATTAATGACACGCGCACACACACACACACACACACACACACACATATATATATATATATATATATATATATATATATATATATTTTAAAACTCACTCAATATCTTTTTCCGCGAGACAGAATTTACATTTGTCTTTAAAGAGGACAGCCTTGTCTAATCCAATTTTTTGAAAAAATCGTAAGCCATGATACCAAATCCTTTTTTTATCTAAATCTTCGTCGGACGAAGATATTGATTTTAAAATAGAAGTTTTATCACATACAAATTGTTCGGATTTTTCGAAAGGATCGTAAGGACGAGTAGGTTTGGAGGAACATAAAGATACTTTACTTCTTGCTATTTCAGATTCAATATCAAAAATTTATCAAGAAAATATTGGAAAATTGTAAGAAATTAATATTAAAGCAAACGATACGTACATTGCAATGGTTTGAATGGTTGCAAATCACATTGCAAATCTAAAAACTTCCATAATTCTTTTATTTTCTCTTGTTCTTGAACGTTAATACTTTGTTCGAATATTAATTCATTATTATTTATTTTTTCTTTAATTCTATTTTTTGATCGTAATTTTAATCGTCCCGGTGTCGACATCGTCCAAAATTCCGTTACCTATTATTATGTCTCAATTTCGATTATCGAAATGATTCCCCTTCGATAATCGAAAAATTGTAATATCGAAAGAATAAGTGTGAATTGGTCGCTAGTGACTTCGATTATTGATCGGTGTAGTTCGACGTCGGTAAAGTTGCATCCCACTTATGATTTTTTAATTAATATAATTAATATGGACACATTATGTGGTATATATAAATTTGAGAAATCAAATCTTATTTTAATAATAGAACACATTGATTTTAAATTAAAAGAATATAATTGACAATTTAACGCTTTTTCATGTGACATCAAGAATAAACAAGGAGCGCCATCAAGCTTGTTTTCAATTGCGTAGTAAAAATGAATTCGACGTGTCATCGGTGATACAACGACAATTTTTATCTTATATTTACATTGATATTTGTAATTATTATTGAATTCTTAGATTTAAAACATATTATGGATTAATAGAATTCTTTAATGAAATTCAATAAGATGTTATTGACATAACGTCAGTAGATAAAACAGTTTGGTAGCGGTAATATTTAAAAAAAAATTCGTTGTCTCGTCAGGATGAACGCAAATAACTATAAAACTAAGGTAAAAGATAGTAAAAGTATTTTATTATTGTAATACATTGATAGAAATTTAGTATGATCTTTTGAAATATATTCGGGATAAAGAAGTGAAAAATATTGACACGACTAAAGTATGATGTCATTGCCCCGACAGGTTATGAAGAGTGCGCGCCGTGGACATCAAGATGGCCGCTACGTACATCTGATGATAGTTATACGTATTCGTAAAAATCGTGACGGCGTTTCGTGATAGAGGTGCCGCGCTTTTTCGAGGCTTCGAGATGGTTAGAGTGTATAGTTAGTTGGATCTTTATCGATGAGGATTTGTTCGTTTACCCTCAATGGTATTTTCTGCATCCGCGGCCGGCTACGGCTCGCATTGAACCATGTTCGGTAAAAAACTTCATGTAGACGTCAAAAAGTCAACACTCAAAGTTCAGGATGTTAAAAAGGACAGTGCGACCCGATTTAAACATCTTAAAATTGTCCTAGGTGAGCTTTCAATATCTTCGAACGTCGAACTTTGCTTATGTCACTGTTTAGGTCATACCTTAAAATTTACTTGTCTCTTTAGTAAATGTGAGAGAGAAAGAGAGAGAGAGAGAGAGAGAGAGAGAGAGAGAGTGAGAGAGATGAATGAATAGAATAAGACAGTCAGACAAATATGTAGTTAGATAGTAGTAAGTAGATACATAAGTAGGTAGGTAGATAGAGATAGATAGATAGATAAATAGAGAGAGAGAGAGAGAGAGAGAGAGAGAGAGAGAGAGAGAGAGAGAGAGAGAGAAAGAAAGAAAAGGAGTGGGCGAATATTCTCAGTATTTAAGTTTTACTCTATAACAAATGAATATTTATTAAAGTTATCGAAGTTACTGTATTATATCAGTTATACTATTATTACATCATTTACTTTTTTCGATCAATAAAATTTGCTCGACGAATAAAATGTTACTATTCAAGGATTTATTATATTTATATGATGTTGTAATATATATATATATATATATATATATATATATTATATTATAATATATATATAATCTATATATAATATATATATTATAATATATATAATCTATATATAATATATGTAATATATATATATATATATATATATATATATATAATCAGATTCATATAATCTTGATTGATTTTGGTGTTTATTCAAAATAAAAAAATATAATACATAGTTATGATATATTGTAATTATACTACGTTGCAAGTAGTTGGTATCTAATCACAAAACCACATGACCACATCGACCAACTCATAGTGGCCTCTACTTCCAGCTAAAATTACACTTTCATTATATACAGATAATATTGTATACTCATCTGTATTGGAATTCCAGAACTGGTTAAAATATTTTTAGACCACTTTGTAACATATATCATTGCTATAAATACAATCTTTGTTAAAGATTCAGAATATAATAAGATTAACATTAAGTTATATGGTTTTTTTTTTTTAGAAAATGTTGATACGGACGAAGCAAAAGGCTTTTTTGAAGGAAATTTTAGTCATGTTTATTTTATATTATATGACTGCTTTGTGTCGGCTGAGGCCAATCTACGACAGCGTGGTAAGATTGCATTAAATTATTACATTACATGGCAATACATTAAAAGTCTTATTTAATTGTACTTGTTTGTTACAAATAATTTTCATATATTAATTGTGTTAAATGTAATTCTTTTCTCTTATGCTGACAGAACTTTCCTTTCATATCGGTAAGTTAAATATTAGAAATGATATTATTTTTTATCATTATATCGATAAATATTATATTATATTATATTATATATATATATATATATATAGTTTTTGGATTAAATAGTAACAAATTATATGAATTCTGGATGACAAATGTTAAACTTATGTTAAACTTTATTTTTAGTACACAAGGCACATAGAGAAGAATTAGAGCAAGTATTACATCTATTAGAAAAAGTTTTAACTCTTCTTCCTGAACTCTTAAATAGACGATGGCAATGTCATAGTCTTGCAAGAATTCTACAAAAGTTATTACATCCTGGAAATAGTTGGAAACTTCGTAGGCAGGCCATAAGGTGAAGACTTTATAATTTAGATAAGATTATGTACAAATATAAGATAATGTTGTAAAACAGATATATATATATATATATATATATATATATATATATATATATATATATGTATGTTTATATGTTTATATGTTTTAGGTATTTTATTTTATGGTATCAAGCACTGGGTGAAAATGCTCCTGAACATATCCATCAAATGTTTGCCTGTTTGGTCCCAGGCTTTCCACCACCACAATCTTTGCACTATAAGTGTGAACGTAAAATTGATAACAAAAAAGATAAATCAACGAGAACAAGCACATCTGATGAGAAAGAGAAAAGAGACTTTTATGATGCACAAGTGATACAGAGTATTTTTCATGATAATGGTTCAAATCAGGGTCCGATAAGTCAGGTAGATGGTGGACCTATTTTACCTCCACAAGGAGGAGAAAAGCCATTAGACAATGAGACTGTTAGATTTTTAGAAGCATTATTGGAGTTCATGGTGACACAAGTAGTCAAAATAGAATGGAGAGATAAAACAACGAGGCAGCACAAGACATTTCAATTTTTATTAGAACGTTTTAAAGCAACTTACCTCCGTTATATATGTCCAGAATTTGATGACAATTTTTCTTTATATAAGCCTAATTTAGAATTGCCTACAATGAGAAAGCCAACTAATCAAAGTCAGAATAATTATGTTCTTTGTAAAGTTGCACTAATCAAATGGATCGCAAACTTTACTCATGTTGCAAGAAAAGATAGTCTTTTTACACATCTCCCACAAAGCACAACACCCAATGAAGAAAATCCAGAGTCAGAGCTACGTCGCGTTTCAGTTACACAACATTCGAGTGATTCGAATTTACTTTCACCTGAATCTACACTATCTCAACACGATAATCAAAATCAAGAAGATAACACTATATCAGCTGTTACTTTAGTCAGAGAAGTTCTCTATGGAAATAGAGATAATGTTAATTTTGTTCATGAACTTTATAGACAAGCATTTCTCTTAGATTTCAGTCATGCAGGAGCAATAAGAAAAGCTATAGCTGTATATAAGGATTGGATACAAATGAATGAATTACCACCATTTATGTTAGAACCTTTGGATGGACATAAAGAACGAGACTATGATGATAGTCTGAAAAAAGATTCTAATGAGACAGATAAGAGTCCATCCGAAAATTTTCGTCAAACTAGATTGAGAAATGATTCATATTTAGGTGCTATACATAGGGAAAATTTGTTTATAAGAGCAGGATTACAAAATGTACTCCAAGTATTTATTACACAAGCATCACATGTATTTTTCCTTGAATATTCAGGTTTAAATTCAACTGCAGCTTTAATAGAAGAACAAACTGATAGTTGTAAAAGAGTTTTGAATGTTTATCGATATGTTGTCATGCATTCAAGATTGGAGCCTGCAACGTGGGAGCAATTGCTCAGAGTACTTCTTCAAATTACGTCGCTAGTACTGAGTGAAAATTCATCTCGTCGCAAACACCATGAAACAATTGGTGGCAAATTAGCACCTGCTATATTTCAAACTTTGATTGTTACTTGGATAAAAGCCAATTTAAATGTAGTGATATCTACTCAACTTTGGGATCAGTTTTTAGAAGTACTATCTTCTTTGACGCAATGGGAAGAATTAATTCGAGAATGGGCAAAAACATTGGATACTTTAACACGAGTACTTGCAAGGCATGTATATAATTTAGATTTAAATGATCTACCATTAGATAGATTAAGTGAACAAAAAACAAAAAGACGTCGTGGAGTTGGAAGTCGTGCTGCGTCGATAGGAAGTGTTCAGCCACCATGTAAAGGAAGTATTGATCAAGAGAATAATGCTACATCAAAAGAAAATGTAACAGGTACAATTTCATTTGCATAATCTTTTTATTATATCGATGAGTTTTTTTACGAACAATAATTATTAATCATATTATATTGATTGTAATAGACCATCCATTAAGAGATTTAAGAAAAGGACGAATGTTACCACGCAGTGCAAGCGATAACACTATTTATAATGGAAAAGCTCGTACGAAGTTTCATAGAAGTCGAACTCATACTGTACATACTGGTGTTCCTGGTGAGTTAAAAAATTAATAATACAAATAATTATGTTGAGTGATTTTTGTTTATAAAGTTCAAATTTCATGTTCTTCTGTTAGTAGTGCCATCTATGTTACTGATACTGTGTGCAATTTATTTATAACTTTATATTTTTGTTGCTTTACTACTCACACTAAGTTAAAAATAACTATTTTTTGTGTCAGACATCATGCTACTTTATTTCTGTTATTAGTAGACATCTTTCATAATAATGATTCACATTTATATATTCCTTTTTAATTTCAATTTATTCATCATATACGAACTGTTCCTGAATTGGAGTAGCAGAAATACAATCTATTCAAATATCAATAACCTTCATAGTGTCTGTGGCTTTTGTATTAAGTGTAAATAATTTCCTCGCGTGCAGTACTTCCCCTATCTATAGAGCAAGATATGGCACGATTACTATCAAGTGGTCCTACATCATCAATAACTGGAAAAATGCTACCAAACAGACGTGCTAAATCATTGGATAGCATTGTCATAGTTGATAGTGAACCACCATCTCCACGTTGTCCCTCTCCAACACCAAGCAGTGGCGTTGACAGCAATAAAGATAGTCCAATACAAATAGAGAACATTGATGGCAGCAGTATTGGTACGTATTTTCCTTCTCATTATATGTTGTCTACATTCGACATACATTTTTGTTTACTAGAGTACAACGAGGTTTTTATTAATCAAATTTTAGATATATATTTCATCAATCAAGATAGCATTACATTTTTGACATTATTACAAGATAAGAGCTAGATTGCATTACGCTGATTTAAATTTTAATCATTTGGCTTACTATGCATTAATTTGTTTATTATCCATTATAGGAATGACAAAAGTTAGAAGAGTAATAGAGGTATAATATATCTTGAAGATAATAATATTTATATGATCTTATATTTTACAGATACAAATGATATAACAGAAAGAAGATCTGTTATGGCAGGCGGTGGAGTACGAGGATGGTTACCAGATGTTGCTGTTGTATTATGGAGGCGAATGTTATCTGCTTTGGGAGATGTAAATAATATTCAAGATCCAATATTACATGGTCAAGTTATGGATTATCTTGTACAATTGACACAAACTCTTATAAAGGTACATTTTCACTTTTCTTCTTCTTCTTCTTCTTCTTCTTCTTTTTTTTTTTCTTTTTGTAAAGCTAACAACAACAATCATTTTATACAAATAGGTATTTTAATTTTCATAGATTCGCTTAAATCAAGGTATCTCTGGGGACAATCAAGTAACACCTCCTGCTCCAGAACTTATTCCACCTTTAACAGTTATTGCTCCATGGTGTTTTAAGGTATATTCATATATACATGTAGGCGTGTATAAATATTTCTATGAGTATGTTTTCATTAATATAAGCATTCCTTATTTTAGGCAATACAATTACCAGCTCAATATGAAGTAGGCAAATTAGCCGCTTATCGCCTTATATGCCTCTTGACTGTTCAACCTTTGGATATAAATTTACCAAAACAGCATTTGAATCTTTTTTATCGTGCTGTTCATAATGGCATTGCTAGCAACGATAGTAAAGTACTCCATGTATTAGTCAAATATACTGGGCCTCGATTATTTAGTTTAAATCTACCTGGTTCTAGTCTTCTTATTTTGGATTATATCCATGCCGCTAATGTAATACTAAGTAGTCAAGATGTCGAGGTACTTATTTATATATTTTAATAAACACGTATACATTGCAGATATAAATAATAATAATAATAATTATTATTATTATTTAAGGCACCCAGAACGGAAGCTGTCTCTATAATCGGTTCGCTATTATCATTACCTGCAACCATAGCTAAATTACCTGTGCTACAACCAAATGGATCTGATATTTTAACAATAGTATGCCCCGATGCAAAGGTATATTCGAATCAATTTTTAAAATTATATTATGATCATTTAGGATATATAATACAGTTAAATTTGTAGGAACATGTAGTGAATATTCTTCTGAGAAGTTGTAGACGCGAACCAACTGGAATAGCAAGATGTTTAGCCCTTTCTAGCATAGCAATGTTTGCGTACAGAGAATTATCTTGTAAAAATCAACATCCACGAATTCCAGAGGCTGTTACTGTTCTTCTTCTTGCGCTTAGGGTGAGTTAATAGTTTTTTATAATAATCAAATAAAAACTTTGTTTTGGCGATGAAATAGTTTTATATAGATTTTAAACTTTATCATTATTATTTATGCATGTGCTAAAAGTAATTATTCAGATCTTAATTGCTTGCAAATGGATATTCACACAATATGCTTTGACTGATAAAAAAGAAAGGAATGTATAAAGAATGTTTTCATATAAATTTAGTAATACATATATATATACATATATATATATATATATATATATATATATATATATTATTATTATTATTATTATTATTATTATACATGTTATTATCTTATACCTACTACAATTAATATATATATGTATATACGTAATAAATATATAATATATATATATTAATTGTAGTAGGTATAAGATAATAACATGTAAGTAGATATCTGTTCCATCAAGTTTAATTGACAGCAGATGCAAAGGATCAAGCGGTTCAAGACTGGTTTCTATTTTCCTTTAATAGATCAGGTAGTTTTCTTTTATATATATTTAAGGACGTACAATTGTGGTCTTATTGTGTGGTGTTCCAGTATTTTTCTATTGACTGGTATCTATGTTTATCAAGATTTTGTCATCCTTGCATGGTGCATTGCACAAAAACTTTATATTTTATGTGTTTATTAATTGAATATCCAATTTATTATATTTATTTTATATTTATTATTAATTTATTATATAAATAATTATTTTTAATTTATTATATAAATAATTTATAGCTTATTTAATATTATATAAATAATTTATAACTTATTTTCTATATATTACTAATATTTTATGTTAATTCTTTTTCAGAATAAAAGATCACATAATATTTTTATTATATATTTTTTCAGGCTACACATGTGACAGTTGCTCAGGTAGCATGCGATTCCCTTTTACTTTTGTGCGACAAGGCGGACACTTTATTGGAATTGTATCCTAATGTACCATGCAAAATCACACATGTATGATCTCTATATCGAATATATTACTTGTAGTATAAAAATGACTGTATAATAATACTACATTTAAAATTTTATAGGTCCTTTCAGAGACTCTTGGTCGTATGACTCTACGAGAAAGGCGTGGCCCATTAACTATATCGATGATATTTTGTTTAGGAGAATGGGCTATGAATTTGGGTCCAACTGTATTATTACGTGTATATCAAGGAAAACCACTTTTAATGACATTATTCACAGTTAGTAAAGAAAGCAATTGATATCGAAAATTGTACATTTAATACTTTGTAGATGTTATTAAGTTTTTGTATATATATATATATATATGTATATATAATTAGGTTTTAGATAACATAGCACAAAATAAAGGAGGAAAAGATCCACCAAAAACAAATAAATGTCATCAAGATGAAGATGATGATTTTGATCCCGATGTCACTTTGGATAACTTAACAGATGAAATATGTGCAAAGTCTCCTCATCGTGGTAATGTTCATTCGGTTCAGCTTGCAGCAAAAATGGTAAATATATATATATGTATATATTTATTTATTTATTTATTTATTTATTTATTTGAGAGCAATTTATATATATATATATATATATATATATATATATATATATATATATATATAAACGAATTCGTTTGACAGGTAATGATGCATTTGATTAATCATCTGGGTCACTTTCCAATGGGTATTGGTGCAGCACGTCTTTCGTCTTTAGTTGTTGAATTGGATGATGTACCAGGAATCGAAGGAGATGAGCTATCTTCTGCAATCTTTCAAGCACCAAATATACAATTATTAATGCTATCCAATTCAATTATAATGTCCCTCGTTGAATTAGCCGCACTTGATGCACCCGGAGGAGGAGTTACAGCTGGCTTAACAACGGCTCCTTCTTTAGTAAGAGTATTATTACGAGATTTAGCAGGGAAAGCATCTTGGGATAGTTCCATTTTGTATAGTCAACCGTTTATTGACGATGAATTTCAAACACCATTTGCAAAATCAAGTAAGCTCTTTTGTTGTATCCATTTTATATTTGCAAACTTTTTATCATCTTTATATTTATTAGATATTATAAATTTTAGTTGATTGGGGTATAAAATCTCATAAGGAAGAATTGAATAGTGTTATAACGCAACAGAGTTGCGCCTCGAGACACACTATAAGGCATCGCGAGCCTCATATTTTGCCAACATTTGCAAATGGTGCAAGTGATATGGACAATTTAGATGATGTAAGTATACGCGATATATATATATATATATGTATGTCCAATACATTATAATTTTTCATTTTGATGTATCACGAGACAAATTATATCTGAAATGCTTTATATGTTTAGCTTCTTCAATATATAGGACATACGAGTCCTGAAGTTTTGTGTAATCCGGAAATAGCATTAAATGCACCTGCTAATCCACCGCATGGATTGTACCTTGAAAGTGAAACTATTGCAACTATTTTAAATCAACGAAATGCGGAACAAGAACATCTTAATAATTGGAGTCAACATATTAGGTTAATATATTTATTATATATAATATATTTGTTATATTAAATTAGAAAAAAATTATCATTTAGATAATATAATGTTATTATTGGTTGGAACGTAACTTTGTTATGCATGTTCCTTTAGCATGTGTGCGACACCAATTAGTCCACCATCGTGCCGTCAACCACCAGCACCGTTTCATCACTGCCGGCTTCTATTTTCTCATTTGGGCCTGTCTGGTTGGGAACAACGGAGAAAGTTACATTTGCTTACTAAAAATGAAAAACTTCTACGTGAATTACGAAATCTTGATAGTCAACGTTCTAGAGAGACACATAAGATCGCAGTGATTTATGTTAGTCAGGGACAAGAAGATAAAAATTCGATATTAAGCAATGTAGCAGCTAGTAAGGAGTATGAAAATTTTGTAGCCAGGTTAGCTTGGGAAGTTGAACTTGAATCGCATACTGGTTTTCTTGGGGGTCTTGTGCCTGGAAAAGCATCCGGTGTAACTGCACCTTATTTTGCAACATCTTTTACCGAAGTTCTCTTTCATGTAGCAACAAGAATGCCATCCGATAGTCCAGAAAGTTTATTACAAAAGGTGTGTAATTTATTAGATATTACGAGATTAACGAATATATTTATTAATCGAAGAGATAGGAATTGGTGTTGCATTATATTAAGTTTATTTTCAGACACGACATCTTGGCAACGATGAAGTTCATATTGTTTGGTCAGAACATTGGAGAGATTATCGTAGAGATATCATACCGACAGAATTTTGTGATGTTTTAATAGTTATTTATCCATTGCACAATAAGTTATATAGAATACAAATTTCTAGAAAGCCAGAAATCCCATTTTTTGGTCCATTGTTTGATGAATGTATCGTTGAAGACAAAGTTCTCCCTGGTTTAGTTAGAACCACAGCTTTGGCTGCTAGTAGAGCCAAGAGATCAACCCTTACATTATATCAACATTAGTATGTTTGCTATATTAATAATATATTATAAACATGAAAATTTATATACGATGCATTATAAAAAATAATTCTAAATATTACAGTTATGAGGAACGGGCAAGATCTATCGACACAGTAATGAGGAATCATAAAGAATCTACAACTTTTGAAGAGTTCACCGCAAATGTCTATTCTCCGGTACAACCAGCAAGTCCATTCAGTGGAACGTCTTCTGTATCTGGTTAGTTTTCATTTTATTGCGTGCAAAGATCATTTTTTTTCTTTCTTTCTTTCTTTCTTTCTTTCTTTCTTTCTTTCTTTCTTTCTTTCTTTTATTATTATCATTAATAGCGTCACACAATAGTATTATGATGATTTTGAGAAAGAAAAAAAAAAGTTTCATATTGGTATTACACAGCATGAAAAGTGACAATTATTTTGATTTATTATTATTATTATTAATATCATACTATCAGGATCTACAACAAGCGTGCAATCCACAGCATCGTCAAACCTTGCAGCGGCACTTATAGATTCGCATCAGGGTCGTTCTGGTCTACGCAGTACTTCGGCAACAAGCAATGATACTCGTGCAAATAGAGGTGACTAATTCAGTCCACTAACCCCCATCCACCTTGTAACACCATCCAACAAGGTAGTATTATTAGTTAAATATTATTTCTGTGCTGTCTTCCAGTATTATATTGAACAGTTATCTGATCTCCCTTTTATCTGATTTTATTGTCTCATCTTTCTTTGTCTCTCTCTCTTTCTCTCTCCTCTTTCTCTCTCTCTCTCTCTCTCTCTCTCTCTCTCTCTCTCTCTCTCTCTCTCTCTCTCTCTCTTTCTCTCTCTATCTCTCTATGAAAGTAATTTACAATTTTATAAATATTGTATTTAAATTTATACTTTAATAAGTTTTTTATTTTCTTTATTTTCCCTATCGTTGACTTAATCAGGTGGTGATTTCATCAGTATTAAAAAAGTTTTTTGTTCTCTCTGTTTAATTCTTTTTTTCTGGTCTGTATTAATCTTTCATATTGCATAATTATTCATTCTTTTTTTCTGGTCTGTATTAATCTTTCATATTGCACAATTATTCATTCTTTTTCTCTGGTCTGTATTAATCTTTCATATTGCACAATTATTCATTCTTCTTCTCTGGTCTGTATTAATCTTTCATATAGCACAATTATTCCTTCTTACTTTTGTAATAGAAAATATAAGAAAAATATTTATGGAAAGCTTATAGAATGTATAAATGAAGAAAATATATTTTCAATGGAATTTTCTTTTCTTTTTCTATTTCTTTTTTTTCTTTTTTTTTTTAACTTTACTCGTTCATTTATAATTCTTTCCTCATTTATCTTTCTATGAATATTTTTTTTTTTCTAATATTTTGTTTTCTTTTACTTTTTTTTTTTTTTTTTTTTTTAATTATACATTCTAGTTTCTATTCTAAATTGATGTGTGAAATAAAAAAAAAATATGAGAAATTTCATTCATTTCGTTCATATTGATTATAGCTTCTGATGGAAGCAGAGTATGGTTCAGTAATGATGCTCAGGAAAATACTGCTTTGCATGGAATTTCACCAAGACCTGTTAAAAAGATGTCTTTCAAAAGTGGGCCAAAGCAGAGAACAAATACACAGCCTACACCGCCGGATAGTCCAAGATACAAATAATTCGACATTAATTTTTTAAGAAGAATGTTAGCACAATGGGGGTGGTTTAGGTATGTCTTTTAAGTTCTATTTTATTGTGATGGAAATCTTCAAATTAATATAGATAATAGAGAGTAATATAGGATGGGTGTCTAGCATCAGCAAAAGAATGTTAAAGAAATTTTTCATATTTAGCACATCTATCGGATATAATGTAAAACATAATTACACTGAACTTGAATATTTTACTTCATTGGAATTGAACATCTGATTAGGTTTAACGTTTTCTGTTTTCCGTCCTTTAGGTTTAATTTTCACATACTGTACAGATTATATTGCTTATTTGTTGCAACAAGTAAATATTAATTTATTACGTAATAATTTCATAGAAAAAGTATATTGTATCATAGATATAACGATAAGTATATTTTCTTTAAATATTTATCAGCTTAACGTTCGAGCTGAAATAATTGTACAGTAACTTACTCAAATTGATTTCATTGACTATTTGAAATAAGCAAGTTATATAAAGTACATGCATATTGAGTGAACATGTTTTCATACAATGTAAATCTTTTATTGCATTTCAAGTAAAATTGTGAAATACTTGAAGAAATCTAATATGACAATATGTAGTTTTGGAATAATCATTTAATTTCTTAGAAAATTTCGCTACAAGCAAATAATATAATTTTATTTAAAAAAAAAAAAAAATAAAAAAATAAAAAAATAAAAAAAAACAAAATAAATAAATAAATAAAATAATAGATTGTAATATTTTATTTATGAAAGTGATATTATTGTTTCACTATTAGCAAAATATTTTTAAATTTTGTTCTAAAGTGAAATTCTATAAAAAATTAATTATTATTCATTCAGTAATTTACTAGAAACAACTCGTACATTCCATGAATGTTTTCTTCGTTTTTTTTTTCTTTTTTTTTTTCTTTTTCTCTTTTTTTTTTCTTTTTTTTTTTTTGGCGTTTGCACTTTTTATTTTCATATGCATTTTGAATATTAGGAAGCTCTTAAATATTGCATTCCAGATTCTTTTTGTACGATTTAATAAAATTGAATTAACTTTTATGTATTTCAACGAAATACATTTTTTAGAAAATTATTGCCTAGAATAAAGTGTTGGTAGTATGAAAAGCTGTTTACAAAATATATTTTTTTTCATACCAAAGTCAGAGGTGCTTAATTTTTGTAATGTCAAACACGTGTAAGTACTTCTATATTGTATAAATTCAAATGAAAAATATAATAGAAAGAAATAATGAGAAAAATATTGGCAAAATGAATAACAGAGTCAACATTTATCGAATAAGTAATCGCTTAATATATATATATATATATATATTAATATATATATATATATATATAAAAATAATATTAACTTAGTAATAATATTTAAAAGTATTAATGCTATTCAATGCTATTAATAAATAATGAAATGACGAAAAAAAAAAATGAAAAAGAAATAATGAATTATTAAGTAATTAGATTACGCTATGATAAGTGTCTGATAGTTTATTTGCATAAAGACACTTTTAAATCTGTGCAGTTAGAAGAATTGACTCTCTGCGTGTGATTAAAATTTTTTGACCTTCTAATAAAAAAAAAAAAAAAAAGAAAAAAGAAAAAAAACACATTCAAAATTGTAGACATTAGCAATGAAAATATAAGTAGTAATTACCAATGGATAGATCATGGCCAAAGCAGCATTATTTTTTCACTAATTTATATTGAGAAAGAATGAAAAGGAATGTATGTATTGTACATAAAATGCTAGGCAGATAGATGGTGGTGGAATTATTTGATTAAATAATTCATTATTATGAAATGTATTATTACTACATTATTATAAATCTGATCTATATATGTACGTACATACCTGCACTCTCATGTGTGTGCACATACAAAAGGACACACATACACTAAAATGAAATCGTTTATTATAATATTACAAATTATTATTGTGAATTGTATTTATATATTGTACTTAATTGTTCTATAATTAGTGTTACTAATTACTATATCCTATAATTTTCGTTATATTATTGTTATAAGATTTTATGTTTATATAAGCTGATCTTATGACGAGGTATAAACAAAACAGGATATAATCGCATATAGAGATATGAGAAAGAAAAAACATGTGGTTGGTTATTTACAAAGAATGCAAAGTTTCTCTGATATAAAAGCGATTTATTTATATAAAGCCTAAGAGAATAATTTATCAACACAATTTTTTATTTTACACTAACATCTTTTTTTATATACAAAAAAATATATATATATATATATATATTAAAAATTCAACTACATCTACGCATACGCTTAAGGATATTTACTTATGTTAATGTTTATGCAGGATATATATGTATGTATACATGCTTTATATATATATATATATATATATATATATATATATATATATATATATATATGCCAAATGTTTTATATGTATTATAAAACAGTTTACTCTCTGTTCTACTTTCCGTACTAAAAAAAGTTTATGTTGCTTAACAAATAAAATATATTGAAAATATTCATTTACCATTATATAAAATGTAAAATATTATAATTAATTCTAACATATTGATTATTTTGTACGGAAAACAACTAAATATATTTAACTTAACATCCTTTAAATACACACACACACACAACACACACACACACATACATATGATTCTATAAAGAGTATAAGTATATTCGTAATATAATTGACCTGAGGAATATCAAGCGTGATTGGCACTGTTATAAACACATGGTATTTAAAACATTTGCAAAAAAATATTTTATTGTAATGAAAACTTGTTATATATCCAAAGATTTTTTCTCATAGTGTTAATTATATATCTCTGTATTTGACTGTATGTCTTGCAGCACAATAAAATTGTGATGATTCTACCTTGATTATAGACGAAGTAAGATGATTTTTCAAACGTTATCTCAATTAATTTCATTTCGGTAATAATATTTATATAATATTTATATATCTATAGAAGATTAATAAAATTAATTATAGATTAGAGTATGTGCACGCGTGTGCGTAGTAATGCGTAATATGTAGATTGATAATGAAAAAATTAATTTCTATTGTTAATAACATTATTTACCATTTGTCGATAATATAGGTTTTTATTTTTTTTTTACTTACAAATTTGTCGGTAGTGTATCGATCAGATTCTGTTTTATCGACATGACTCGTAACAATTGATTATAAAGTATGATTTTTCTCGATGATAATGTAGGACACTTCTATCGTTTCTCGTCGATACATGGATCGTTCAACAGGTGACAGTACCGGCAGAACGAGGACAAAAAAGAAAAAAGACTGAGTTTTCAGAAAACCTTGGTAGAAGCTCGCTTACATTGGATCATGTTACATCGTCGGACTTGGATTGTTGTCTGATTTTCTATTGTGCGTTGTTTAAATAATCTGAAAAGAAATACAAGTCATCTCGAGAATTCAGTTTTGTAAGCATTTTTTACGTATATATTATACTGAGATAAAACAAATGCAGAAGAATGAAGACGCCAAAGTTCATGAAATGATCGAGAAGAAATTAACGATCACAGTGAAATCACACAGTAACGTGTATCTAACAGTATATTGATTGCAGTCCCTTTCGCGGTTAAAATTCACTTTAACAATCTGGACAAGAATGAAACGTATGCACGTGTAGAAATAAGAGGTTAGTTTCTATTGTATGTACCGTAACTTTTATTTTTGTGTAAATATTTAATTATGATAATTTCATTTCTATGTGTAAGTATTGTATAAATTTACATAAAATGAGGATACATGAGCAAATAATGTTAAAATATTAGAAATTTTGTTTAATTCTATTTAAACATTTTTATTTTTCTATTCAATCGTTCGAGCTATATACAAAATAGAAGAATACGTTGTATTCATACATTAATTCATATTAAAAATATAATAATTTTAACGAACTAAAATTCGTTAGGCACAATGATTGACGGAAATTTCGTTATTCGAATGCGTCGATTTTTAACGAATAAAATGAAATTGTTTGTTTTTTTTTTTTTTTTCGAAATCGAATCAAAATATAGACTTATTTTTTTGGCGCGCTATCGAGACTACCTTTCTTTCTTAATAAATCATATGAAAAAGGTGTGGTTTGTCGATCGTAAACAATAATTTTTGCACGAATCATTGATTTCTTTATCACGATGGAAGAAACGACGCAAATAATTTTTGCGAACTACGTAAAAGAAAAACATAATAGCGATACTACAATCGTAGGAAATTTTTAAAATATTCTTTTGATGTGGTAACGTTAAAAATATCGTAAAAAAAAAAAAAAAAAAAAAAAAAAATAAAAAAAATAAAATAAAATAAAATAAAAGGAAAGAAAAAAAAAGAATTCTTAAAAATCGATAAATTTTTTTTTGGTTACGGAATTACGTAACGTCCGTATCGATCGTTATTTGGTATCCTATTCGTACATGAAACAAATTGATATAAATTACATAATAGACAAAGAAATATTAATAAATTTAAATGTAGACGAATATATTGAAATATTTAATATAATATTAATGAAATAATATTTTCAGATAAGATAATACATACGAATACATAATAACATATGTCAACGTATGTGTGTGTGTGTATGTTTACTTTAATTTTCTCGCTTGTCCTACTTGTATAATCGAACATTTGGTCAGAATTCATAGATTACGTTAGCTTGAGTAATTATACAAAAAATTATCTCTATGCAATTATTACGTATATTACAGAATATCACTTTTGATATGATATATTTTCGTAATAACTTTAATAATTTTTCGTCATAAGCTATTAAAATAGATAAGTAATAATGCATCGAGTTATACGTATGATAATAATACGTACACGCCTTTCTTTTTTTTTTCTCTTTCCTCTTCTTTTTACGTCGTTTTCTCAATGTTCCAGATAAATTTCAATCGAGTAGTTGAACTATCTTTTTAACCTTTCAATAAAGAAGAAAGCGTATTGTAACCCCATAACAAAATAAACTGATTAATTGAATGTTATTTTCAATTAATAAAACCGTGTTTGCATTTGGTTCAACCAGATATCCGTAAATACACAGTTTTTATGACGTTTCTTTCTTTAATTCCGTTTACATTTGGATTTGTCAAATCTTAAATAATGATATCGAATATAAGATGTTTTAAACGTGAACGTTTGATGAAAGAAGAATTAATGTGTGCGTAAGAACGATTATAAATTAATAGAGGATAAATTACATCGTAAGCAAACAGCTGCATGTATATATGTATGTATCCTATGTAGGTATATATGTATGTATGTATATATGTGTATATATTAAACTTTTAAACATTATGATAATCTTATTTCACAAAGAATTCGAAACATTAGTTGTTTGTTTAATACATTTTATCGATCGTTAATTCATTGTTTCATTAATATTATATAAAATATAATTTGGATACGTTATTACGATTGATACAATTTATTGTCATTTATGCAGAATTCTGTTGTTGTTATTTTTTTTTTTTCCTTTTTATTTTCTATATATTTTTAGGTTAAATCATACAACTTTCAAAAATTCGTTACCGTGAAACACATTTGCACACTTTATTTTCGTTAGAAACATGGATCGATTTAAAGGAATAGAATACATATGTGTACAGATATAAAGTGTTCAGAAAAAAATTAAAGAAAAAAGAAGAATGTATTACAATGCATTACAAAGCAATGGAGTCTCATGAATGATATCAAACAAACAATGATTAAAACGATAACGTCATTCCTATGTTATCTGTAAACTTAGTCGTATCATAACCACAGAAGTATCAACAAAATAATCAAGCAATAATTGTCATAAAATTCATTCATTCGTTACGTCGTAATTTCTCTCTCTTTCTCTCTTTCTCTCTCTCATCGTTTTTTATTTTGAATTCTTAGCACAAGATATTTAAGAGAGAAATGATATCTCGTAATCGATTAGAAATATCTTTCATTTATCCTTGTACCATTTTCTATTCGTCCTTATACGTTTGTCAACGAATTCGTACTTGACTCTCTTCAAATCGAAATAAGTTTCTTTGCACGTATATATACGATAAAGGTACGAGTGAATATAAATTCTACTTCATATTATTGACTATTTTTGTTGAAAAGGCATTTATACTATATGTTCTTTTTTCTTTTTGTATATACATCTCTTTTGAACATCATTGTTAAGATTTATGTATGCAGTAGTTTCAGTGTTTATTATGATAATGATTTTAGAAAACCGATCATGAAAGATTATGTAAGATATTTTTAGCACGTACGTATTTTTTTTCTCTGTGTGTGATATGTGTGTATGTGTATGTGTGTATGTGTGTGTGAGAGAGAGAGATTTTTAGGTTAGAAATTATAGATTTATTCTCTATAACATCAATGAAATTGATATATAAATAAGATCGCATAAATCAAAGTATTACGATTTTAATACGTTCCCGCGTAAATATAGATTTTAAATATGGCTGCTACACCCGCGCATTTTTCAACTACGATGAGACTACGTGAGACGTATACAATTCTAGAAACGTTTATGACGTCATTGATATCTACGTAAATACAATATTTCTGATCAGCTTTAAAGATCTATATAATAATATTAATAATGATAATAATACGTAGCAATGTTTTTTTTTTTTTTTTTTTTATTGAAAATTCTTTTATTGAAAATTTTTTTATTGTTAATATATATAAATAACATTTGTATATAATAACGTAGTATTTCCGTACTATGTAGTATCTTGTCGATTATTCCATTCGGTTCGTAGTTATTTATTTATTTATATTTAAATTTAAATCTTCCATTATTTAATTAAAGAATTATTTTCGACAGGTAATACTCGTTTATATCTCTCAAGGAAAGTTCTTTCATCAAAGAAAAAATTGTTGGATTTAAATTGATAAGACGACAGAACTATCTTTGAAAGTGCAACGAACTTACATTCACAAAGGGACACCTTCATTAATCATTGTCCTCATACGAAAGGCAAGATGACTCTCTTCCGGAAGTACAATGGTAAGTGATTCTTGAATGAATTAAAATTATATTAGTCGTATCATATATCTTATATACGATTTATAAAATTAATTTATAAATAAATTAAAATATTTTATATTAAATTAAATTTAATATAAAATTTATAAAATTTAAATATTAATATACTTCGAATAAGTAATAATTTATTTTGAAATTATTATAGATGAAGAATTATGATTAAGGAGAAATATCTCAGTTTAAAATTGCCGCGCTTTTTCATATCTCACTTCTTAAATTATATATTTATTTATTTTTTTTTTTTTTTTTTATTTTTTTATATTAAAAGTTCGTATTAATCTGAACGAAAAAAAACAGTTATATGTAAAAATGATAAATAAGAATTTATTATTATTCCTATAAAAATATATGTATGTTTATAAAATGAGTTTCTAATTAAATAAAGTACGTGTCTAATTTCGTTTGAATACAAATGAGCAGAGAAATGCAAAAGTGATATACATAGTAGGAGGTATAATTCAATATACTCGAATGTCACGTACGATTGATGATGCATTATCGTGTAATGTGTAATTATCGATTTGTATCTATATTTGTTTTATAATATAACGCTATAATATTTTTATGTTTATGTATGTGCGTATATATGTATATATATATATACATATATACATATACATATATACATATATATATATATATCAAAAAAAAATATATATATAGCTAAATATTTTTATGTCGATGGATGTATGTGTGTGTATGCGTGTATATATATATTAATAAAAATGTGCGTACGCTCGTATGTGTATATATACACACATTTTATTTTTTTCAAGTTTATTTCACCCACCTTTGAACCATTTATAATTTGAATCTATCTTATCGAAGATACACGTAATGCTTTGCAAAAATAGACTGAGAGAAATGTATACTCTATAAACATGTTAGGAAGGTCATTTGAATAGAGCCAATTCGGTTTTTTTATATTTTTTTTTCGACGTCTAAAATTATTCGTTATATTTTCTAGCATAAAAAAAATGCATCAATTAAATGCCATAATCAAATTTATTCAAAGATAAAAAACTATATTTATGTCATAAAACGTATTACATAAATGTCAGTTTGTTATCAACAAAATTGTTTTGCTAAAATATTCAAGGTTGACATTAAGATTTACAATAGTTCACTCATTACAATAAATATTATTAAGATTGTTGGCTTATGTCATGATAATTCAAATATTGAAGGAAGTTATTAAAAAGATAAAATATTTATGATATTATAAATTATTAAATATTTTTGTATTAATTATTCAATCAGTCATGTTCATAACAAACATCGTCAGCATCGAATGTATTTATATATAAATGAAAATTATCTGTAATGACTTTTAACCTATTGTCTATTGATAATCGCAATTTGCATATCTGTTTTGATTCTTTTTCTTTTTTTTTTTGTTTGTTTGTTTTTTTTTTTCTTTTTTACAGAAAAAATACCACGCAGAGGTATTCTTGGTGCAATGATGTTTTTGGCCTGTATGTTCTCATATGTGATACGTACAAATTTGTCTATTACCATTGTTGCTATGGTAAATGCGACCAGTAAAACTGGAACTGTTGGTCCTATTTGTATTGCAAGTTCTCTTACGAGTAATAAAACTACTGAACTAAAAGATGTAATACCCTTTAAAAATATTTCTTTTGATATTTAATATTATTAGTATATGATTTAATTCCAAATAAATTTCAGTATGGTGAACGTTACGAGTGGAATCAGCATATACAAGGGCTTTTGCTTTCTGGATATTTTTATGGTGTTTTACCAGCCAGCGTACCAGCCGGACTTTTAGCTGAAAAGTATGGAGGTTCTAAAGTGGTTGCGTAAGTTAAATTATATTTTAATACAATCGTTGATTAACTTTTTAATCCTCAAAATTATTGTTATTATTAGATTTGCCACGTTAATTCCTGCAGTATTAAATCTTTTGATGCCATGGGCTTCTAGTATTCACTATGGCTTTGCTTTTGTGCTTCGTTTTATGATGGGATTTTTTGGTGTAAGTTTTTTTTAATAATCTACATTATCATTACATTTATTATTATTCTTATAAGATAAGAAAAACTTTAATATATACAAGTAATTAATTTATACATAGTGATAAAACAAAAATTTATCTTTATAGTTTTAGTTTATTAACATCCTTCAAGGATTTAATCTCATAGCACTTCACATTATCTCCTTCTGTAACATGTTATTTCTAGTAGATAACACTTAATGATGTGATAAGCCTATTAAAAATACTATTATAGGGTGCTGTTTATCCTGCTCTTCATGCAATGATTGCAAGATGGGTACCACCTAGCGAAAAGGGGATGTTTGTGTGGACTATGCAAGGTTACATCTTAATCATTTAAATGTTAAATAATCAACAAATACAAAAATAACATATATGCAATTTTTTTTTATAGGTGGACCTTTTGGTACAGTTGTAACATTTTCTTTATGCGGCCAAGTAATCAGTGCTTTTGGATGGAAAGCAGCATACTATGTTACCAGTGGACTTATGTTACTTTTTTATGTTCTGTGGGTTTATCTTATATATGATACACCTGATGTTCATCCAGGAATCACTCAAAAAGAAAAGTTATATATAAAAGAGCAAATAGGTACATCTATATCAAAACAAAAAATGCCACTTCCTATAAAATCTGTTATCACATCGGTACCATTCTTAGTTCTATTATGGGCTCACTTTGCAAATATGTGGGGCATATATTTCATTGCAACTAATGGCCCAAAATATACTTTGGAGGTACTTGGATTCAACATGAAATCGGTTAGTTTCTGATATTTATAATAAATGAAATATACTTTTTTTTTTTATTATTATTTATAAAGATATTGAATTAATTATGAAATGTTTTATATCCATAGGGTGGCTTTTTAACAGGCTTACCTTACATAGCAAGATTAGGTGCTGGAGTATTATTTGCAGCTGCAGGTGATTATATTCGAAGAAAAAATATTTTAACTTTAGGACTGATTCGTAAAATATTTATGCTGTTTTGTGAGTATCTAATACAACATTTTCTACAAAGATATATATTTATTATTTATATATATATATACTGAAAAAAAATTTTTATTTACTAGCACATATGGGTCCAGCTGTTGCCTTGATTATTATGACTTATGCTGGATGTGATGCAACAACAGCAATGGTGATGTTGATCTTGGCATTGACTTTTAATGGTGCTGCTTGCCAAACTAGTTTAGTAAATCATCAAGATCTTGCACCGAACTTTGCTGGTTCTTTGTATGGTGTTATGAATACTTTTGGTAGTTTTCCTGGATTTATTATCCCACCAATTATTGGTGCTTTAACCAACGAAAGAGTATGTCCAACGTTATCGAAAATTCATATAAGAATATATTATTTTTAATAGCATTTGTTAATATCTATTTATTTTATAGAATGGAGTAGAAGAATGGCGTATTATGTTCTGGTTATCAGCAGGAGTATTTTTTTCGGCAACAATTCTATTTTGGATCTTTGGATCTACGCAAATACAACCATGGAACGACTTGAGCCATTCTAAACCTACAGAAACACTAGAAGAAGAGAAGCAAATGACAGTAATGGAAGTGCCGATGAAAGAATTACAGACTGAGAATGAGGAGAATGAACGTCTGTAAAGTATTACAGATAATTTAAAATTTAGATCGAAATATGCTAGGTTACATTTTTATTAGGGAAGGTAATTTTAAGTTTTTTTTATCTCATCATCTTTCCACTATTTTTTTTTTTTTTTTTTTTTTTTTTTTTTTTTTTTTTTTTTTTTTTTTTTTTTTTTTTTTTTTTTTTTTTTTAATGGAAATACACATTTCTTGATGACTGCTACAATGCAAAATTTACTTTTATGAACAACGAAGAATTTTATCTATTACATCATTTTTTCAAGACCTTTTTATGATTTTCTATTATTATTTTTAATTTTCATTCGTTAATAGTCAAGCACTTTATCTCGATAAGAATATCTTACTAAGAGATTTACTTACTATAATAATTTTTACTCTTATATTTTATCTGACCAAAAATATTAATAGCATACCAATTTTAGCATACAGATTTATACAGATTTATACATATATATATATGTATAATATATATAATATATACATATATATATATATATATATATATATATGGACTTTTGGACTTTTATATATAATTATAAATTAATACTATACGTATGCTTATTTATAAGTATTTATAAAATTATATTTTCTTATTAATTTATATGTGATTATCATTGAACTACTTAATGAATACCAAAAATTAAGAATCTTTGGTATTTTCTTTACATACACGTGTTAATCAAATAACTAACATTTCATGCCATAAATAATTATAAAACTTTGGAAAATGTACATTACTTATAGTTCAGAGGATATGTGTGATCTATTGTAAAAGTGACAATATTGTACGCTTATAAATATCTTGATATCTAATTTTTTGGTTTTTATAATTTTACGATTAATACATTTTTGTGATAAAAAATTAATAATTTATTCACAATATATATATATATATATATATGTGAAATAAAAACTTCCAAAAATTTTATATATCTCGAAAAAACAAAACTAGAAATAATAGATTCAATATGTCTGCCACAGAGTAAACTGTACGTTACATAAAAGAAAAGAAAAAAATTATTTTACTTTTTCAAATATGCTCTAAAAATACGTATGTAATTATTGATTGGATCATACTGCGTACGTATAATATAATACTCAATAAAAAGTATGATGCAATATGTACGATTAAACATCTAATACCGAAGATAATTGTATTCGAAGATAATTGTCGAAGCGATGTTGTTGTGTACATTCTATTCAATAACAAAAGTATTATTTCAAAAAGTTTAAACAGAGAAAAAGAGGTTGTAAAATTTTTATAATTTATTGTAAAATTTTCTTATATAACAAAGATTGAATATTATGAATTCGATACATCGTATGTACGTTATAGCACATCGATGTAATAAAATCAATTGTTGTACGTACAAATATATGAAAGAATCCTATACATAAATATGTATTTATGAAGTCGATTGTATAGGAATAATTTTCACGTTACAAGAATTATTATTTTCAGGAAACTCACTCAAAGTATCTTCTAATGTATAACAAATATGACACAAACATTTATCATTTCCTAACGACGAGTTATAAGTTTTGGTATCGATAATACTATTATTATCTTCAATATTTTCTTCATTAACATAATCATCTTTTACCTTTGAACAAAGGCACGAATTATTAATTGTATTCGTATGAACGTTATCGACTATATCGTTTGTTCTTTTTGTCAATTTTTCTAAGACAGATATAGGACAGGTATCACGAATACAGAAGGTACTCTTCAAAATTTCCAATACCTTCATAGTTTGCAAATTTAACTTTTCGTTTTTATCGGTGTCACTCAAGGAACCTTCGTATTAAAAAGATTATTTTTTATTTTACTAATCATAAAATATATACATATATATATATATATATATATATATATATATATATATATTAATTTATATATAAGACAAATTGATTTTTTTTACTTTGAGGAGACCATGGTATAGTTAAAGCTGTATCAATTGCACGAGTCCATCCATCAAGAGAATCTTTTTGAACAATAACAAGTAAATATCCTTTTTTCTTATTCTATACAATATAATATATACTTCTTATAAATTTAAAAATAACATTGACATTACCTGTAAGATTTATTCTTTCTTTCGGCTTTAGAATAATATCGATTGTTGTGGCTGATTCTGAGGTAAAATCATCCGAAACTGAAGTTGTACTTATCGTTGATGATGATCTTTCTTCGGTAATACAACTCGAACATACTTTATCAGCTTCTATCTTGAAAGAATTACTAACAACCTGACATGGTCTACTACTATAAGCTAAAAGTATATCCTGCGTACGCAACGTTCGTATATCTTTATCTCTTTTTATGCACGCATAACACTTTGAATCTTTTAAGCAAATACAGCTAATACTTTCCTTAAGTTTTGTTATTTCGTGGATACCCGATATACTGGTCTGTGTAAAGACTGTATCTGTTTCCTTCTTCATCATTAACTTTGCTATCTTTTCTCTTCTTTGACTTAAGATCTGCTCGATTAGCTTATCTAAATTATTGAAAGAACTTTTTTTTTTTTTTATATGAGTTAAATATAAATTATTATTAAACCATTAATATAAATCAAAAGGAGTTACTTGCTAAAATTCTAATGATTACTTTTAATTAACTCTAGTTGTGCTAGATCTCAAAATGATTTCAAGTTATGCACCTTCAAAGATTCGTTATAATCCAGGCACTTTGAACAATTGTCATTTATATAGAATAATGAATAATTTTTATTTCAAAAAAATACTATATATTCTTTGAAGCCACGGAAATAATAGTCAGTAGATTTGAAAACGTATTTTCAATTCTTTCCTCATAAACAAAAATTCATGAAACATACAATGCTCAAATTGTAATTTAATTGAACTCTAAATCAATCTGGGATTGTCTTATAATCCATAGGCACAACTAGGGTTAATAATAATAATTTTATGTGTGTGTGCGTATATGTATATATATATAATGTAAAAACTAACCGTGTTTTTGATTTCGTATTTTTTCTATTTTAGAACCAATGGAAGCAGATTTTATAACTGCATCTTGAATAATAGACTTAGTGACAATATATGCATTTTCATAGATAACTTCACAAACCGATTTTAACAGATCATCGATGAGCGCTAATACCACAATCGATGATTCCAATGAATCAACAACTATTGGTAATTGTAATTTACGTAAAACATCATCTTTCTTTTCGTCCACCGTATAAGTAGCTATAGTTTGAACATCTTGATCTTTTGGAGGATATCTAATTAATTCACCACACTTTTTAATGATCTCATCGAGAATATATTGAGTCAATATTACAGACTCAATGGTCTTATCCAAACAATCATTTAATATTTCATTTATCAAGTTTTTATTAGCTTGATAATCTGAAAGTAATTCGGTATTGGAACTTTTAGGTTGACAAGTTAATTCAGTTTGCGTTTCGTTGTCGATTACAATTTTATCCGTTATTCCATTGTATTTTACCAAGGTCTGAGTAAAGTTTTCAATTGTAATCGGACGTAAGAGATTTGTTGGATCTAAAATCCAAAAAACACGTTCTTCTAGATAATATAGGATATCGGATATCAAGGTATTTAGCTCAGTTTGCAAATAATCTTCTTCGTTCCATACAAAACGTATATCTTTTATTTCTTCCTCTTCCTTTTCTTCCTCTGTAATGTCGATTTGTAATATTTCTGTGGTAATTTGTAGAGTTAAATCTGGATCAATCGTAAGTATTGTTTGCGTTTGACGAGTATTTTTTATCTCTGGCATTGGACCATCTCTCATAGATGCTAATAAATATTTCATCAATTATTCATAGATTTTCTTTTAATGTTCATTGGTTTATTGTATTTTAGATTGATTAAGAGACAATTAAAATAATAATAATAATAATAATAATAATAATAATAATAATAATAATAATAATAAGAAGAAAATATTATTTATTATAATTCTTATTTATTAAAATATTAGTATGTTAATAATGTTTAAAATATAAAAACCTTATTATTATAATAAAACACGATTTATTTGTTAATCAATTCAATAAAAATGAAAATAAAATTCAAAAAGTTCTCAAAGAAAGATTTATGTTAATATTTAAAATAAATTTTATATGTAAAAAAGATGATAGTAAAAAAAAAAAAAAAAAAAAAAAAAAAAAAAAAAAAAAAAAAAAGAAATCTTACTTACTCATAATATCTTCATAATATTTCATAGGAGGACAAGGTGAGCTCATATACAACGTTTGTGAAATTTGATCCTTATATTCGATTGGTATGTCAACGACCGATACGCCTTGCAAATATGTTTGAACTTCGACGTGTTTAATATTATTTTCTTCCTCTAATTCATTAAAATCAACGAGATACTTTGGAGTTAGGGGTCTTCTGTAAACAAAACTATCGGTATTTAGATCCAATGAAGTATTCATGTCTGCGGACACCAAAATCTTTGATTTGATTTCTCTAAGTACAGCATCATCCTCCGGTGTTATAGTTAATAACGTTTGAGCCCACGAATTTTCCTCTTGTATTTCTTGTGACATCTGTGTTAGTTAAATTATATATATATATACATATATATACATATATATAATATATATAGATGTAATTTTTTCTTTTCGACTTTACTTTCTTAAGTGGACCATCTTTTATTTCATCCTTTAACGACATCTCACTATATCGTAATGAAAACTTTTGAAAATAATACAATTTTCCTTTAGGTATGAATTATCAACAAAAATTTAAACGTCATTTGTTACATCTTAATGGGTTAAGATAAAAGTACATAAATAAATTTGATCATACCTCTTCATTGGTGTTGGTGTATACGTATACTGATTTTTCATTGGATACATAGTTATAAATGCAATATTTTATTATTATTATTATTATTATTATTATTGCTATTATTGTATATAGATATAATGACAGATAGGTTTTTATTATCGATATAATACAAATCTTTTTTTTTTTAATACATATATTTCATTCATTCGTATATATACATACATATACATATATGTATATGTATAAGTAATACATTTAAAATTAATGATATAATACTTCTATGATGAACGTACGTATTTCCATTGGTTTTAAATGTATATTGATCACTTCTTCTTGAATTCTGATAGGTTTGAAAATATCTTCGCTATTGCTTAGAATATCATTTGTTTCTGGATTCCATTTTAGACGATTGCTATCTTCTAACCATTGATTTGCACCCAATGTTGTTTCTTTTATCGATGTTATCGTGAATGATGTAAATAAGTCCTGGACAAGATTAGATAGAATTATTTGATATTTAATCTCAACAAGTATATATTTATGTCGAAAACTAATTTTCAATATTAATACTTACCTTAATATTAATATCTACAGGTACAGAATATACATTGGATTCACCAACTTCAAATATGTGTTCAAGTCTTAATAAAATAGTTCCATTTTTCCAAGGTTCTAAAGTAAGAATATTAACGTTCGGTGGTAAGTTCTTAGACAGTCCTGATTTCTATAAAATAATAATAAATATGACTTTTCTCTTATAAATAAATAAATAAGAATAATTAAATTGTTATAAAAAAAAAAAAAAAAAAAAAAAAAAATTGAAAAAAAACAACAACATACTTTCGTTGACATTAAATCAACGTTACTCCAATTATCAATATTTGTTTCAGATAGAGTCGTAATGAAGATCGATGGACGAAGTGCTAACTTTAATGGTATCTCTTTTTCTTTTAACGAAGAGTAGCTATTGTTTAAATTACTAAGCTGGATACAATGAGTACCACGTACTACCAAACCTGTATCATAGGCCATTTCATTTAAAGCTTCATCGACACCGAAAGCATCGTCCTTTAATAATCTTCTGTGAAGCTGTATTATAAGTGTACGATTTATATATATGGTAATATTATTATAATTTTTAAATCTCATATAATTTCTTTTTTTTTGTTTACCATTAATTCCAGTTCTCCATCTTCCATGCTGGTACCTCCTTGGGAACGATCAGTAAATACGGAGAACTTTAGTGGCTTTAATTTATCCTTCAAAGAGATTTTCGTCGTAACAGGATAATAATTTCCTGATATAGGTTCGTAAAGTTTCAAATTCCAAGTAGGTCTATAATTTCTTTTACGTTTTAACATCTCTCGACCATTACTATCCGTATAAAATTCATCTTCGGAATTAATATAAGTCGAATACTTCGTCACTATTTCTTTACCAATTTTGTCACTGTGATAACATAATGAAGAACAAAAAAGATTATGGTATTAAATCATTATTGTTATGTAGATAAAATAATTATTATATCAGGTCAGTCCAAAAGTTCGTGCGCATTTTGCCGAAATATACATACTACTAATACGCACGAACTTTTGGACTGACCTAATATATATATGTATATATATATGATAATTTTTTTTACTCGACAGGAATAGGACCAACGAGCCATTCGAATTCCAGACGTTCATCTTTTTTATAAATTCTGACAACTTGGCTGATCCATTGATTAAATGTTTGGTGAATTTCTTCTACGAGAGGACCTGAAACAAACGGCACGTATGTATGATGGTTGCCTGACGTCAGGAGTTATATATCTCCATGCATGCATGTATGATGGTTGTCTATCGTTAGGAGTTTATTATCATAATTGATCATTCATTTTCAAGTTGACTCTTCAGACAATTTACCTTTAATGACAGAGTATTTTCCTTCGTATGGCAAATTAAAGGTCGATGATGTTTTAGGTCTAAAGATGTATGCACCGGATGATCGATTTTCAAACACTTTGTTATTACCTACTGCTCCTTCGTAATATTGAAAAGACTGAACAAAGACTACTTCCATGTCTTTTTTATTTTCAACAATTATTTGACCAGATTCGTCAATTTTTATCGCATAGAGCTAAAATTCAACGTTGTCGAATAGTTAGAGATTATTTTAAAAAAAATGTCCAACACAAATGTGAATTTTTTTTTTTTTTTTTTTTACTTACGTCTTCTCCTATAGTATTTGTATGTTTGATAAATGTTTCTTCTGTATCAGGTTTTGCATTTATTATATAACGTTTGTAACCTAATCCTGGTAAATCAATAGCATGGAACAATAATTCTTTCGTTGCTTTACTTTTTCTTCCAGGTATTTGTAATACTCTCTCGTGTATTGGTATTATTTGAGAGACTACCTTGAGATTCGCTATGGATTTAATTCAATAGAATATCAATCATTCGATTTATCGTAAAAATTATTATAATAAAAGATATTATTATACTTGTCATATCCAAAACATCATAGGAATTTCCTTGTACCGGAAGACGAATATAAGAGGAAATTGGCCGACTTAAAGGATTGTATACTGTCACAATGAAATTTGCATTATCTTCGGTATATGCACAAGCACTGATGTTTAATTCCAAGCAAGAGTGCATTGTCAAGTTGTCATTGGAAATATTTCCTGTATTGGCCCAATTGCTAAATAAAAAAAAAAAGCAAAAAAAAAATTATATTTGTTGAAGAAAGATAGAACGTCGTAAAAAAAAAAAAAATCTTTTTTTTTGTAATAATGAAATAATAATCGTCGTTATTACTAAAGAGATTCAGCCGCCATTTTTTCGTTATTGAATATGTTCTCGTATAACAAACGAGAATAATCACTTGCAACCAATTGTTTCTCTGTTCCAGTAACTGCATCGTGATGTTGCATAACTCCCATAGCTTCACGGAAATACTCCAATTCTTTCTCGTTTTCCTTTGAATTCGTCAAAACGGACAATTGTTTACTAACCTGTAAAAACAATAATAATATAACTGATACGTATACAAAATTTGTATGATAATTATTTTCTAGATATATTAGATAGATTAAATGGGAATTGGCGAAGATTTACTTGTAACAAATTGTTTCCCATTCTTTCGAAATATTTTATCGTTGGCCTTGAAGTAAAATATCCTGTCCAATAAGCATGAGGATCGCTTGCATAAGGAAAGAAATCATCAGATTTTGTTGGCCAAATAATATTTGCATCGTGCAGTGCTTTCAAGTAACAAGATGGTGTAGAGTAAAATAGATTCACCGTTGATCCATTTAATTCGTTTCCATATCTATGATAAATGGATATAAATAATTTCAATATTTTATTACATCGAAATATATATAATCTAACATTTTGAAAAATATTATGTTAAATTATAAATAAGTTTTTATGATGCACGTAACGTGAATTGTTCAATTAGTTCAAACATATGTTTATTTTAATATTATTAAAACTTATTCGTAACTCAATCAAATATTATTGGATCTATATAACGCTATGACATGTATTATAATAATTATATAATCTTTACCTTGTATTTCATTTGTAATAATTTTTCGTTACAGGACCAACGCGATAATATTAGAATATAATTTTTTTTCTATTTGCTTAAGACGGCAAAACTTACTTGATTAATTTATCTAAATTGGTGAACCACATTTCTGCCTGCTGATAGTTAAAGTCATCTCCCATAGTGACGATAAGATTATTAGTTTTGTAAGATCTCGCTTGAATTTGTACATACGCCAAAAATAACTCCACCTGTTAACGGCCCATGAATATTTATTTACTTACCAGGTGTCAGAGGTCACTAGTCCATTTCTTTAATGCATATCCATGTATATAAATCTTATCAATAATTTTAACTAATATGTACGAAGTGTGAACTTATCGTACTAATGAAAAAAAAAAAAAAAGTAAAAAAAAAGAGTCATTTGGTTTTAATTTTTGATATGATTATTAGAGTGATTGTTCCTAACATTGTTATTACTAATACTGCTGCGGATCAAACAACATTCTAATATACTTCCAACGTTCAAATAAATTATATAAATGACGATAATAAAATGATTAAATGAAGTTAATTGTTAATGATAGTAGTAAAAGCAAATAAATTTTGTTGATATTATTGGCTCACGCACGCACATATAATATCACACATACACACACATATATATATACATATATTGGGACAAGTTAAAATCTGTGATAAGTGAAATCGAAACGTTAATACCTTATCAATTTGTCCAAATTTGTAAAGTACATTTCCGCTTGTTGATAAGTGAAATCTCCTCCCATTGTCAATATAATGTTATTTGTACGAAAATGTTTGGCCTGCTCTTTCGCGTATTTTAGAAAATCATCTATCTGATAAAAAAATAAAAAAGAGAAAAAGAAGTATATCGTTATATTCAAGTAAAGTAAAATATGGAGTAAGAAGAAAATATTAATCCAATTTTTCTATTATCGATCACGCAGCAGCATTAAATATATTAGAAATGTAAATAATCCAACTCAATTATATTTATATATATATATAATGTAAATTTTTCAAAAAATTATAACTCAATTATAAGACTAAATTTGATAAAATGAATTTATCTAATCGATAAATTTCAATATTATTTCCATTTCTAATCTTTCTCTTGTTAGTTAGTACAATGCTCCAATCAGTTTTAATTCAACGAACAAGATTTCTAAAATATATTTTCTTATGAGAATTATATGAAATATAGATAATTATATACTTTCGTGTTAACGTTATAGTCCGGGCTATCAGGATCATCTATCACTGGCTCATCATTGCATAATACGTCAAAGCAAAAGCCAGGCGGTGGACTGTAAGTATTAAACATTGCGGCAGTGAATAAGTCGGCACGATCACCTAAGTAAAGAGGAAGAAAAAAGAAAAAAAAAATAAATAAATAACACAATAATTCGTAGCAAGTAACGTCTTAAAAAATTGTTTCTTTAACATACGCCCGCATTTTTTCAAGATAAAAAACAAACTTAAACGTGATTCTTAAATCATTTTTAAAAGTTATTAGAGAATCTTTACCAAGACTAGGACTGGCCTTCCAAATAAACTCCATACTCTTGTTATTCAAACGTTGTGCCTTGTCCTGATAATCCAAACGACCAAACAACATACCATCAAATCCCATTTGCGCAAATAAAGATGCCTGTTCTCTCGAATGTCCAAATGGATCTATTTGCCAGCCTATGTGTGGTCTAGCACAACTACCGAAGGTATCATTCAATCTCCTGCATGTTTAATAATGTTAATTGATTAAAAAGGAAAAGAAATGATTAAAATGATTAAATGATTAAAATGATTAAAAAGGAAAAAAAAATCTCTTTTAATTTTAATTAATTTAAATTTTATTAATCGATGTAAAAGAATATAAAAATTTTTTTCTTTCTTTTTTTCTTTTTTTTTTTTCTTTTTTTCTTTTTTTACCTAAATCCCCATGTAAACTGATCGATGATGGAATGATAATGAGTGACAGCTTCATCATTCATACTCCAGGCGCCATTGATAATCTCTAATCTTCCTTCGTTTATCAACATCTTCACATTGTCTCTTACATCCTCGTTCTGTCTTAGCCACCATTTCCACAGGAATGCAGTTTCAACGTATATGAATCTATTGTCAAATTTCTATCGTTAGAACATGTATCTAAATTATTGATAAGATATCATTTGTATATGATAACATTTTTACCTTCTATCGGGGTTCTTTAATAACGCCTCGATTGCACTATCAAGTATGTATTGAACACCGGCTTTCTGTATTTTAGACTGACCTTGATAATAGATTAAAAGTTTAATAGAAAATGTAATAATTATTTGTCAGCAATAGTATACTTACTTCCAAAGTAATACTGATCGACGGTTTTCAACCAGCCTACGTCATCGTGCGTATGAGGAACCAGATGAATGTTTAATTTATCCGGTTGAATGACTGGGCATGACTGGTTAAAAAAAAAAAAAAAAAAAAAAAAAAAAAAGAAAAAATTAAAAATAAAAAATAAAAAAAAAACAAAGCAAAACATTTTAACTATATTCAGGTTTTTGATAATAAATAAGAAACATAATGAATTTATACAAATTGGTTAAGAGAGAAAAACAAATGAAGTAGTAATCGTTCAAAAGTAAGAAAAAAAAGAAAGAAAGAAAAAAATAAATAAAAATAAAAAAATAAATTTCTATAAATTAATCTCTTTACAAAATTGTAAAATTAAATTTTCTACGTACTTCGTATCCGCATGTGCGCTTCTCTTCTAATAACCGTTTTGATATATAAAAGGCCTCTGAAACGAAGCATAATTGGCACAAGGCTAATGAAAGTAAGAACAGTAGCGAGATGTTTCCCGACATGGCGAGAGACTCACTGGATGATCTCGAATAAAACTAACGAGATAATGCGTTGGTTATATTTATTCTGTCTCTTCGAATGACGACTGACCGTTGCAATCTCGAAATGAACAGAGAGATAAAAAGAAATGTAGAAGGAGAAGAAATATGATGACTCTGTGTTAACTATGGTATCTATGTGTTTCGTTTTATATTTATTTCTAAATCTAGTTTACGAATTTAATTCATTATCTTAATATTTATATATATTATATATATGTGTGTGAGTGTGTGTGTGTGTGTGTGTGTGTGTGTGTATGTATATATGTATATATGTATGTATGTATATATGTAATATATATTTATAACTATGAATATATGTATATAAGAATATGTATGTATATATATATATGTATATAAGAATATGTATGTATATATATATATGTATATGTATGTGTATATATATATATATATGTATTATGAATATATATATATATTCATAAGTATTAAATGATTGTTAAACAGAAGCTAAATAATTTTAAGTAATAAAATTTCTTATGTAATCAGATGAATATCAAATAGAAAATTTTAATAGATCATATCATATTATTTAAACTCAAAAGTCAAAATTTGACTTTGATTGTTATATTTTAATAGATAAGATTCATTGATATTTCGTAAAGATAAATCATCGATTTTTTTACTTTGATGATTTACTCGTTTAAAAAATTTATAAATAATAATAATAATAATAATAATAAAAAAGAGCAGTATTTCATATGATTGTAACTGATAAATGAAATTTATCTATGATATCTAATAAGTGCACATTGTAAATAAACTGATAAAATAATTAGAACGTGTGAAAGAAAAGTAATAAAGGATTAATAATACGTTTTTATTGTAGATAAACAACCGTTAATTATAGTATATATAATCGTTTTTTATTTAACAATTAGATAAATGAAGGAAATAGAAAGAGATATCATAGATGATTCAGATATCTTGAAAGACATAAAAGACAATCAAAAAGATTTATGAAAACAACATTTATTCGCATGATATAATAAAGAAAACTATGCAATAATGTAACACTGTCAAAAGCATAATAAGCATAAATAATGTAAATGTCTTAATAAAAGGAGAGACAGGTAGATATATATATATATATACACATATACATATATATATATACATATATATATATATATATATATATATATATATATATATATATATATATATATCAAGCAAAATAAAGCTGTAACAATATAAATCGAATTGCCACAAAAAAAAAAGAAATAGAAATTTTCATCTCCCTTTCAATCAATATAGATTTAATGTAATATGTAAGATTTCATTGATCTATAGCAAAATATAGTGGATCCACAATCCATAAGGAACAAAGTCAAATTATCTGTTTTTCTTTCCTTCATTCTCGATATTTCCACAGAATGGTTTCCTATGATCGCTTTGTATACTGAAAGGAAATGTGTTTGATTTTATTATATTTTACAGAGATAAAAAAAAGTGATTTAAAAATGAAAAATATACCATGGTAGTTATATCACTCGGCTGTCGGAGGAAAAAGTGGCAGACATTGTATAAATATCTAAAAATCGGAATAAACAATCGTGTCCTGTGACTTTTCAAATTTGATTGGTCGATAATAAGTTAATGACTGATCCCAACCACGTGGTGCAGTATTATAATTAGTTAAATTATGAATACTGGCCAGTTTTGGTCCTTTGTATGTATTATCCTCGTATAATTTCGTTCCTGAAAATATCAAATGATAATTATAACAAAATATCATAACAATATAATGATAAAAACTTCCAACGCGAAACTGGGATAAAAATATATAATTACATAATTCTTGAAACTTAAATATTTTTCATAATACTTGCACGATTTATTTGCGCTTCTCCATCTCTCTTTTTTTTTCTCCCTACATAACATCGCATTATATAATCAAAGTTATTTTCAATCACACGTTATTTTGTTAAAGGTAAAAGCAAACAATTGGCGAAGCGATTAAATACGTAAATGAGAATGTGGGAAATGAAGAAAAGAAAAAAAAAATTCATTAAAAGCGCATGCTTATTAACTTGCCTACTTCCGGATAAGAATCAGTAAATTTGAGTTCTGGTGAGACACCAGGTAAAAGATTATCCAGGACTGGTGTATTGCGAAGGTGTTTTATAGTTTGTAGTATGTCATCCTGTGAAGCGACCATTGAAAGTAACAAGGATTTCGCTTGTGCTGGTAACTCAGAATCCTCGTTAACAAATTTAACATTTCCATTACAGTATGATTCTAATTCTTGAGACGTCGCTGATCTTCGTCGTTGAGAATATTCATCGTTAAATAAACCTGGATAATCTCCATTTTCATTGACATTCCGATTTGAAGAAGTTTTTTCATAACGATACATCGATGTCTCATTTTTGTAATCCTTGTAATCTTTGAAGTCATAAGTTCTTAAAGAATCCGAATCGGACGTGTACTCAGTATCATCGGTCGACATATATCCATTCTCGATTCTTGGCTGTGGCTTATTAACTTGCTTATCCTGTCGAGTCTCACGATTCGACCGTCTGCTATTTTATTTGTTCCCGAAAAATCAGTTAATTCGAGGAAAGTTAATTCGTTCGAAAATTTCTATCTGAAATATCTTCATCATAACAGGAAATATTTAAACTCATTGAGAAGACATGTTATGTTCTTCAATTTTATTGTTAAATTTTCAAAATAGAGTATGAGATATTTCAGATAAAATTCCTACATTTGGATACGAATAATAATAGATCATCATTTAAATGAAAGAAATACGTATGATAAGAGAAAATCATGATGCCTAATAGAAACTAGAAGATAAGAGAACAAGACTAATTCAAGAGATAATATTAATTAAGATAATTCCTAAACGATACGAAATTAGATAATTAAAATTCTAACTTTGTAAACTCTTCATAATCTCTCACCGTATATATTCTTCCTCTTCTTCTTCCTCATCGTCTTCCTCCTCGTCATCTTCTGGTACTTCTTCTTCATATTTAACAGAAGTTCTAGTTTGAAAGAAACGTGTTATATCGGTGTCAATAGGACATTGTTGAACAATAGGAATAACTTTTGGACTGATTTGTTTATATTGTAAAACCGGTCTACAAGTCTTCTCAAATTCTTGGATCAGTTGTTTAACAGGAACCGGTGTATACTCGCTAGCATCGCTGTCAGAGAATCTTGCAACATCATCCTCACGTTTAACAGCTTGTTGTTTATTTCTAAATTTGTTTCTATCGTTAAGAAGAACATCCTGGGAAAAGTTATTGCTGAGACGTTGCTTGATCTCTCTGTTGCTGTTAGTCTTAGTCTCTTTGTTAGTAGCGATTTGCATATTGTTAGCGTTAGTCTTGCCATTGAGCAATTTGTTAGAGCGCCTTTCAACGTTAGCGTTGTTTGATCTGACGCCATTGAAGCCGTTGCTACGACGTGCGTCGTTATTCAATTCGGTTTTTTCTATAGGAAAGTCGGTGTCGGTGCCGACGGCCACTTCTCTCAAATAAATTTTTTTTATTTGCGTTGAATGATTGCAATCGTTAGTTAATTGACAGGATCGATGATGATGACGATGGTGATGATGATACCTGCCTAAAATGATTAAACGAAAGAGTCGAGAAATAACGAAAAGAAACTATTTTTTTAACCGATCTATAACTTCTCGATAAATGGATTATATTAAACTAAACAAAAAAAATCTAAAGTAATCATTATTCATATGTATTAGATTATTTTAGTGGTAGATATATATATATATGTATATATTATGTAGATAAGACAAATAAAATAACGCGAGTCTTGTACCGATTGAATAACGTTAACGAAGCTTGCCAATTGGAACTCGACGGGTTGCTGAACTTTTACCAAAGCGTTCATCCAACGTCTAACATTGATCCTTAACAACGAAGAAGCTATCAAGTGCCTGTGGAATTCTAGAGCGTTCTCCTTTTGCCTTTCGACCCGTTGAATTATTTATACGCGATCGGTGCAACGTAAATAGAAAAATCAGATAGATAGATCGAACCCATCGTACGTTCGTATAGAAATCTAGGCTTCTGTGTTTCTTCTTGCTTTCTTTTTTTTTTTCCTTTTTTCTTTTTTTCCCTCTCTAGCCTCGAAAAGTTCTTACGCAACAACATTAATTCGAATTCAATTCTATCAAAGATTTCTCCTTTTTTTTTACCAAGAATTTCGTTCAATAAATTGAAATGAATATGATAGTTTGTGCACGTTATGGTTTTTCTTTTTCTTTTTCTTTTTTTTTCTTTTTTTTTTTTATGATACACATACCCGTCATTGGTGGATTGATGTTATCTAAAGAAAGATCCACTGCGAATGGATTATAAAATGATTTGTCCGTTTGTGCATAAGGTGATTGCAACGTTGAAAACTTGTTGTTACCGTTCATTTCCTGTGAATGATATAATCATGTCAATTAAATGGCTCATCTCGAAATTTATAATAGATTATTAATACTTTATTTAATCTTACCGATTGATAGGAATAACCAGGTGTCTTTGGTATACCAGGTGTACTCGGTATTTGAGCTTGATCCTGATCGACGATCCATTTCTCGGATCTTTTTCGACGCTTTGCAAATATTTCAGCACCTAAACAATTCATTTCTATTTTTTCCTTCAATCTTTAAAATGTAATTTTTGTCTTAACAAATTAATATTTTTATTTCAACCACATAAAAAATGAATTGTCATTTCATATCCAAAGATCATTCATTAGACATACATAAATGTAAATTATATTTAACATATAATAATATAGCATAACTTTAATATTTATATTATCTTATCTAAATTGAGATATCTTACTTTTGATCGGCCGATATTTTATATTTGAACGTTCTTATCGCGGATATGATAAACGATCATAATAACTTCAAATTGAAAGATTATCAACGTGATTGCCCTCATGTTTATATCTATGAAATCGTGACACCGATTTCATTGATATTATTATGCCACAAAGATATATTATCAATATAATTATTATGCCACGAAGATATATTATCAACACAATTATTCTTACCACGTCCTCTTTGATTATTAAGATCACGAACAATATCGAAGAGTTTTTCAGGATGCGAGGGCATAGGCTCGATATTGACTTCTTCACCCAGAGCCTGAATCCCATGAATATCCAAAACTTTCCCATGTGGATTCATTACACACTTCAGAGGTACTTTATCCTATTTATACATTTCACTATATATAGTAAGACGATGTACCATGATTATCTTCAATTTTCTTTTTTATTTCTTTACCTTATGCATAGGAGAAGATGGTTCCTCTTCGCCTTCAGTACCTTAAAGAATTAAAATAAATGAAAAATTAGTATACTAAAGTAATCATATTAATAATAATTTATACTTTTTCTCTCTCTCTCTCTCTCTCTCTCTCTCTCTCTCTCTCTCTTTCTCTAGCAAACTCTCTTAGCAAACATTAACTTAGCAAACATATAAATTAAATTATAGAGATAGTTAAAAACAGAGATCAGAAATGAAATATAAATGTTAATAACTTACCATTACCATCGTGGATCCATTTGACGGATCGTTTCTTTCGATTTACATACATCGATTGCCCTTTGCTCTTCATATTCTTAACATCACTCAGAGATAAAGAAATACGACGTGCCAATTCGACTTGATCCTCCACAGTAGGATGTGTGGGTGCGTAAAAATACGAAGAGGCAAACATTTTTTCTATAAAAAAAAAAAAAAGAAAAAAAATAGGAACAAACAAAAAATGGAGAAAACAAAACAAACAAACAAAAAATAGAATAGAAAAGAACATTAACGAACGAGATTGTTCTTGAAAGCTTAAAAATATAAAAATCGTTCCATCATCAAAGAGAATTATAAATTTTAATCGAAAAAATCGTCAAGTACGCACTATTTTTTGCTTGCAGTGGTTCATGCGAATCGGAAGCCGGTGTAAGCAGTTTTTGAAGATTGATTGGAGTTCTTTCGCCGCTCTCCTATAAAAAGAAAAATAAAAAAATAAATAAATAAATAAATAAATTCATTTTATTTATTCTCTTTATAGAATATTCGATTGTTTTCTTTTGTAAATACGTTGTAAAGATCGAAGACGTTTCGCAATACGTCTCTTGTTACCCAAATGTTGTTGACCAGGGACGTATTCAGACATGTTTAGAGAATACGTATATATATATATATATATATATATATATATATATATATATATTTAACTATGTAGTTAAAAGTACGAAGTTTTAAGTAAATACATTCTGTGCCAAAAAAGTTATTGATATTTACTCATAAGCGCGGTTGTTGTTTCATAGTTAGTCATATATTACATTACTCATGTACTATTATTATTTGTATTTTTTAAGTTAATATAGTATACTATATATTCAGATAATATACTATTTATTTATTATTTAATATAATATAATTATATTATAGATATATAATGTAAGCAATAATATAATTTGTTTTTATATTTATACATATAATTTTATTATACGGACAATAATTCGGTTATAGAGAATTAATATCGTTTTATAATATAATCTATATATCGTATTTTTATGTAATAATTATTATTTCTTACCATATCGAAATGGAGTATTTTCGAAGTAAGATTCTCAAGAAAGCTTCTTTTGACGGGGTCGTGCCTGTCTGAAGGTTTGTAACCACGTGATCGTATCACATTGTCCGCAGAAATACTCCTTTGTAAATAATTCTTTTCTTGCAAACTCTCGTAACTCTGAAAACTACTATACTTCTGATTCACATTCTTCAAGTTGCCAAACGTTTTTCCGTAGGATGTATTGGTCGTTAGAACGTTGCGCTTGGCGTTATTGGATCTATTGAAAGAAAAAAAAAACAAAAAAAAAAAAAAAGAAAAAGAAAGAAAGAAAAAGAAAGAAAAAAAAGAAACATGAAATTAATTATTTATTACTTAGATATTTTTTTTAATGAAAAACCAACAACAACTAACAACTTTGTAACATCGAAATCGAATGCACTTTGACTTCTGAGTTTCTTGCGTTTGGTCGTATCGTTATAAACTATCGTTATAAATGCTGAAATGCTTTTAAGCTTTTCCAACAATAATACAAAAAATTTCAAATATATGCAATTACTTATCTTGAATTTCCTGAATAAAAAAGAAAGAGAGAGAGAGAGAAAGAGAGAGAGAGAAAACCTTGACGATGGATTAAATAAAAACCGTAAGATGATCCTATTTAAATGATTATGAAATGGCGTCGATAATTAAAAAAAAAAGAAAAAAACCGGAGAAAAAATAATTAATAGAACCTTGAGCATTGATGGACCTTGGATTTCGAAGCACGAGTATGTCTCGTGGTGAGTTAGAGCCAAAGAGTTAGAGGGAAAGTTCGAACGACGCGAAGGACTGATGAAGCTTTTTTGGCGTCAAGAATTGGTTCCCTTCCAAGCGGCCAATTAATTCCGCGTTGCGGTATTGGCATCGGTACAACGAGACGTTCTGTGTAAAAGAAATGCTAAATTTATCTGTTGTAACGTAATACGGAGTAACAGCAAGCGTTACTCTCTCTCTCTCACTCTCTCTTTCTCTCTTTCTGTCTCTCTCTCTCTCTCTCTCTCTCTAGCCATATTTCTCTCTCTCTCTCTCTAGCCATGTTTCTCTCTCTCTCTCTCTCTATCTCGCAGTTCTACATTTACCTGTGAAAATATTTTTTCTTCCTTTGACAAACAGGATATACGATAAAACAAAAAAGTGACAAGAGAAATAATAATGACAACATTGTGAAAGGAAAGATATCATAAGAATCGTTTGTCTTGTTTTATAACAAGTGTATAAATTTTATTATTCATTTGTATCCATAGCAAATAAATAAAACGACCTATAAGGAATCTATTGAATATCTTTTTTCTCGAAAGAAGATAATGATATAAACAAACGATATTTATATGAACGATAATAAAAATAAATATATATATATATATATATATATATATATGTAAATAATAATAAATTATAAATTATGTGATCTCGATCGCGGAAAAGAGAGAAGAAAAAAAAAATAAGAAAAATAATAAAAAAAGCAATTTCGTTCGAAAATACACAGGAGGAGGAGAAGGAGGAGGAGGAGGAGGAGGAGGAGGAGATATTCGCAAGAACGTCAATTTCCATTGGGAATTTCCTGGTTATTTTCACTCACCTAAATCCTTTCGTTTACGTATCTCTACCTCAATCTATGTACGTTGTTACAATATACAGCATGGCTTTATCAACGATATAAATACGACGAAAGCGTAATAATTCGAAATGAACGGTGGCTTCGTGAAACATCGTACAGGTCCGTTTGCAAGTTCGTTACTCCGAATATTACATATATGACTTTGTTTTTTTTTTACGGGGTGGGATGGTGGATAATTGGACGGATAGGTGAAGGGGGTGAGAGAGGGATGAGGGTTGGGGTTTATTTTTACAAAAAATTATTTCTCTACGTTGATAGTTCTTCTATTATATACCATGAAAATTATTGTGCTACGTCTAAATCCAAGTAACGCGGGATGCGTGATCGATACGTCGCTTTAAATAGACTGTTTGCTAGAAGTTTGAGTTTCAAGCTGGAGCCAAGTAGAACGTTCAAAGATCGAACTGGCCATTTGGATTTCGAATTAATAAGTAGAACGATTTTTCCCCTCTCCACCCCCCTCCATCTACCACTCACTCACTCACCCCAATTGTTTCGTTTATAACGAATTAAAAAGACGCGTTACATCGTCGTTATAATGACAATTATTTTCTTCCATAAGATAATGAAACGAACGACGAAAGATTAATATTATGATGTTAGTTGTGTAAAGAAGATAATATAATATAATATTTATATATATTAAGAACAAAAGATAATGTCAGAAGATTTCTTAGTTTTGACAAATTTAAAAAAGAATTACATGTAACGCCGTAATATCGTAACTTGTATTATATGTTAGATAAGAGGGAGGAAAAAACAACAAACATAAAAATAAATAACATATAAATGATCTTTCAATTTCAGAGATTTCAATGACATTGAAGAAAATGAAATTCACGATAGTACTTAAGATTATTTATATATATATATGCATATTTAAAAAAAAATTAAAAAACTCATAGGTACTTCTCTCTCTCTCTCTCTCTCTCTCTTCTTGATAATTACTTTGAAAAGGAAATTCAAAGGGCTTTTACTTATCGTACGATGTTCTCCTCATTTTGATGTTGACGTACAAGGTGGTAGCCGGTGGTTTTTGCTCTCCTATCTCTCTCTCTCTCTCCCTCCCTCTCTCTTCTCTCCTCTCCTCTCCTCTCTCTCTTCTCTCTTTCTATTTCACTCTCACTATACTTTATCTTCTTCCTTTAGCGGGCTTTTCAAACGTCTCGTAAGTTTTCTTTATTTTTCCTTTTTTTTTTTTTTTTTTTATTTTCAACTTTACGTAACTCGCGCTTTTCGTTCTGCAGTTCCGACGAAAGAAGTTGGAATACGCAATCGTCGCTTGACGGTACGACGGCTCCCTCAAACGTAAGAGCTGAATTCGCATCTTGCAAAACTCTGCTCCTCGTCTCTGGCACGCACGAGGCGCCGACGAGAAACGTCTGAGATGATGATGATGATGATGATGATGATGATGATGATGAATAAGAAGAAGAAGAGGAAGAAGAAGAAGAAGAAGAAGAAGAAGAAGAAGAAGAAGAAGAAGAAGCAGAAAGTAAACCGAGTGAGTTAAGAGTATAGTAATTATTCAAACACTTGCTGATAAGCATTGTATCTAATAGATTATAACATCTTTTAAAAAAAAAAATGTTCTCATATCACGTAGTTTCTAATATTTTCTTATTGTTTCATCCGCTTGATGTGGTAACAAACACAGAAAGAGAGAGAGAGAGAAGGAGAGAGAGAGGGAGAGAGGGAGGGAGAGAGAGAGAGAGAGAGAAAGAGAGAGAGAGAGAGAGAGAGAAAAATAAATAGAAAAGGAAAAATGAAATGTATTTTTACATCAAACACGAACACCCACCGTCTACTTGTTCTGATATTTTCTTTTTTTTTCTCACGATACTTAGAATTTCCCGAGAATAACAATGTTATTATTCTCTAAGAAGATACAAGAGAGAGAGAGAGAAAGAGAGAAAGCAAGAGAGAGAGAGAGAGAGAGAGAGATTATTCACCCTTTTCATTGTATATCTTCGCCTACATACGTGAATGAGTTCTCTTCTTTGAGAAGTCGAAGAAGAAATGGTGTTGAGAGAGATAATACGTTGTGTTTGCGAGGAAGGATCTATCACAACACAAGTGAAATAAATTTCTCTCTCTCTCTCTCTCTCTCTCTCTTTCTTTCTCTCTTTCTCTTTCTTTCTTTTTGGCGTATGCTTATACGTTCCTAATTTTTTCTTTTTTTTCTTCGTTTCTCTTTTTCTCGTTTTCACGTGATTATCGTGATAGATTATTCTCTCTTTCTCTCTCTCTCTTTCTCTTTCTCTTTATGTATCCCTCTATCTCTGTCTCTGTTTCTCTTTGAATCAAAAATCCACAGCGTGTCTGGGACACAGCGCACTTACATGCGGTGAGTTACAACACGCTCGGCCCGTGCTTTATAATAGCGACCAACCGTCGCTATACCGACTTCCCGACTGCCTTGGCTCGTCTTCGGTAAAAATAGACCATCGAAAAGCGACACCTCAGGAATCGGTGGCCCGTTGTGCCGTCACGACAGATCTCGCGTTCCTCTGTCTCTTTTTCTCTTTCTCTTTCTTCCTCTTTCTAACTTTCTACGTTCGATGTTCTTCGCTGACTTGGCCCGAACAACTCTCTCTCTAAGATAGTTTACACTCTGGGGTAGTTGCCCTTGATTCACCTCAGTGAAACAATTCTTTGTAGCCATGAAAATGAAATACCATTTCTTTGAAATAAAGGGATACCGATGAAGTGTGAATTCACAAAAGGAAAGAAAGGAAAGAATAGAAATTAAAGGAGATTATGATTTTCTTTTGGAAATGTAGTGTTAAAAAGTAACTAAATGAAATACGTGTTGTGTATCTATATTCTGTAAATACATTCGACATAGTTTGAAATATCAATGATAAAATTTACAAATGATTTATATACAAAAAATAATATCTGATACTTATATCGAATGTATTTTTTGTTTTAGATTTTTGTTTTTCCTAAAGGTGACAAAGTTATTGAAATTATTATCTAAATAATACACTTATTCCCAGTCATCGCTATTAATATCTGTAACAATATCTGTATTTTCTGTAGGTATGTCGTCTTCTTCAGATACTTTCTTATTTGTTGTTTTTATTTTCTTTTTTGATTTTTTATTAGATCTCCTTGCAGATGTATTCTCTGCTTTCTCTACTTCTGTTCCTTTTATTTGTAACTCAAAGTCACTTTCTTCTTCGCTACCTATATCTTCTTCATTTGACTTTTTCCTTTTTGATTTCCTTAAACTTGGTAAATTATATTCACTAATTTCATCATTTTTCGTTAAATGTTTTAGTTTCTGAGCTTGATGAATCTTAATCCAGGAATTATAAAATTTCGCTAAAGCTGTACTTTGGATTTTCATTCTATTTTCCCAATTTTCAATTTCTGTCATATTTTTCAAATTGAATATTTCCTTGGCTCTTTCATTTCCTATGTATTTTGAATTTTCTTCTATTTTCTCTAGCAATTGCTTTAATTTCTTACAATAATTTGCGACATGACAATTTTTCAAAAATACTTTCAACTGTAATTAAAATATTTATAAATTGGAAAACAAATTATGTATTGTGTGTATTGAAAATAATAGAATAAGATGTTATACTTACTTGTATTATACAAGGAAAATATAAATCGGGAAAACATACTAAGTGGCTATCGTTTGCTGCATTTTCTAATATTAAACGATAGATAGCATCAATTATACTATCTTTAAAACCATTCTCTTGTAATTGTGATTTAGACATTCTTAATATGCAAATTAAAGATATGGGTTTCATTGATACAGCTTTATGCTTTTTATTAAAATCATAAGACGATAATATCTGAAATCAATATTATAATATATTTCTTGAAATATTTAGAAACGTAGACATTTATTTATATATATTAAATAATTACTATACCTCCAATAGAAATGGTAAAATAGGTATAAAAGTTTTTGTTTCCTTAGAAATGTTAGTTAACATTTGTAAACAGTGGAAACGTAAAGGGTAATATTGTTGAGTCGGTATTACTTTAATTGTTCCAATAATAATCTGCAAGTATACAATTAATAATTACCATCTATTTAACTAAATAATTTATTTGTAATATGATCATATACATACCTGTACTAAAGGATATAATAAAGAGTGCAATATTGATTCCTTTTTTGATAATGTTATTAACTTAGACCAGAAAAATAATGAATTTATATACTGCCAATTATATACTGTTTGAAAATTTTCCTATAAAATAAAATAATGTTATTACGTTAAATAATTAATAATAATTAAATAATAATAATAATAATAATAATAATTATTATTATTATTATTATTATTATTATTATTATATAATTACCTTTTTCTTCAAAGTTACTGCATTCCTTAAATGAATAGCAAGCTGTCTGATATATAAAAAGGCATGATTATAAGAAACATCAGAATCTAGTAGATAAATCTCTGTTAAAGAATGCCTCATAAAATTTATTCCTGGCAAAGTATTTGGCGATACGAATTTGGAATTTTCTACATACTTGACGTACATTGACTAAAAGATATAATTAGAATTTAATTATTTATATAATTATATGACATAGTTATTTACATTATAACATAAACAAGAAAATATAACTTTACCTTTAATAATGTATCAAGTAAAGATTCTTTCTGACTAGTTGCAATACGTAATATACATAAAAATGCAACAACTCTGACAGTTTCTTCACCAGTTGACCAAAATTTTAATAAGACTTTCAATAATGGTTTCTTTAATGAGGAAAATGATTGAGTATATGATAACATTTCATGTAAATGTTTTAAAAGTATTGTTTGAATGTTAGCTGATGAAACATTTCGTAAAATCTATCAAAAATATTGTTATTTTAATATAAACATTGTTACACAATTATTTATGTTATAAATATTAGAACGATACCAACCGTAAGTAAATCAGTTAAATATAATTTTAATGAATTTTTAACTTTGATAAATCTTTTGCATTTATGTGCTGCAAAATGTGTATTAGTATCCAATTTTAAAAAATTTCTGAATGCATTAGGTAAATGCAATATACATAATTGAATGACTCCATTAAATACTGAAATTGTAATTGTTATTACATTTACTAATCATAAATACATTAAGTAGATATATCACTTGATAAAACTTACTTGCGCTTCCTTCTACTTTAAATTTTATAAAATTTTCTTCTTGTGTTTCTGATATGGTTTTCAATGCAGCATGGAAAGCTTCTACCGCAATTTTAATAGACTTGGATGTTCTAATCAAATAAAATTGTAAATAATTATAAATTTATAATATATTAATAATATATAGTTATTTTAATAATTAAAAATGTATAAAAATATTACTTGTCATTTTGAATATCATTCTGCCAAACTTTTAATAATTGTAGGGTAACTTTTATTTGGCCACCAGATGATATATCATTAGTATCTTCAAGTTCAAAATCACTTTCATCGCTAGCAACCTATGATTTTATAATCAATCAAATATAAAAATATATTATTAGAACAGAAAGTATATTATTGATATTTTGTATTGTTATTTTAAATATATATATATATAGTATTTCTATACCTCTAATTTATCATTAGGTTTATGATATAATTCAGATTCATCGGCATCAAATTCATTATAACTATCGTAATCTGTATCGGATAAATTGAAATCTAATAGATTTTTATCATTTTTTTTTAAATAAGAATAAAATTCTAGATCCGTTTCTTTTAATTTCATTAATGATTTCTTGTGTTCTTCTGGATCCATATCGCTATCGCTGCTTTCAATATCATCGATTTTTTGTATCTTTTTATTGCCTGATTATTAAAAATACGTAATTTAGAAGCATATATGTATACATATAGAATAGGATTTACATATGTAAAATAATATATAAATACCTGTTCTTTCATTCTGCCAATGTTTATCCTCCTTACTATCATCGTCTTCAAAATCTTGTTTAAAATATTTATCCTTAGAAACTTTACTCTCAGATTTTTTCCTTTTTTTAACAGATATATTTGAATGTTTTATTCCTTTCTTTGTCTTTACTTTCATTTTGTATAATTATAACTAAATAAACAAATAATTAAACAATAACATATTAATCGTCGATATCTTTAAATAATTTAAAAAGAAATAAATATATCTAATATTTCGTTTTACCTAAATAATATATATAATATATATTTACAATTTTCTTTAAATTATACTGTTTACTTTAAAAATATAAATTATTAGTACTTAACAACTACAATCCCTCGTGGTTAATCCATCAACACTGAATAAATATTAAAATAGATAGACAAAAATTTAGTTAACTTCGAAAATATCTTAAAATACTCATGAGAATTGGCTCAATGATTTCCACCAATCAAACAATCATATTATCAATGGACGTATTTGTAAATTATGTTTGGTTATATTTTGATAAGTTTCGTGTCTAGATGTCGCTGTACTATGGTCATGTTTATAGGCGAAAGAATTCGATTTATAAATAGACTACGCATGTTAACAAGTATTCAAAACGTTGACAGTGTTTCATAGTTATATTAACAGAAATCAGAGTCTTACTATGTAATATATAAACGCAAATTGATCTTTATGTTATGAAAAGGTGAATAATTAAATAACTGTGAATAGTAGATTTCAAAGCCGCCAATAATAAGGATCTAACAGAGTACTGTCCTATTCATTTAAGTATATTCTCCGGTTATTTTTATATGTACATATATTACACTATTTTTTTCTAATCAAAATATTTATTATTATAAATATTTTTTATTATTACGAATATAATAATCATGGATAATTAAACGTATAATTAGATAGAATTCAAAAGGAATCATTCGTATTAATATTACATGAATTTCATATATATATATACACATATATATATGTATATATACATACACACACACACCGCACGTGAGCGCGTACATATATATAGATCATGTAAGAAAATGAATATTACATTCGTGTATATTCTCTTTCTTCATATTTTTGCTCTACATAACAAATATGAATGTATTGAAAAGTATTATATAAGGGCTCGGACTTAACAGTGCGTGTCCTTTCATAAATCGATGATAATGACGATTATCGATGAAAACGGAAATTAGAAGACAACTCGTAGAAACAAATAAATTTAATGAACTTGTCATTATTATATTTTGATTATCAATTTATTATCGTCCAAATCTTTATTTTGTTCATTTGAAAAGAATCGTCTAAGTGAAATTATGAAAAAAAAATATACCTTAGAAAATAATCAATTCGAATGTTTTACGTTTTTTTGTTTATTTACGCATCTATATATCTTTTAACAGTAATATTTTTATTGATTCACGGATTTGATTCATTCTGAGTTCTTTTTTCTACAGAAGTCGTAAAATCATTCGTATTATTTACGTGAACAGTAAAAATTCACAGTCATAAGCGCTTATCTTTTACGGAGGAGATACGATAATGTTTACTACATAAAATACGTTTCAATATATTCATGAATAATAAAAAAGAAAATTTTACTGAATAACTTCAGTTGAGAAATTATATTTTCCACTGTTTTACCGAAAGGATGCATTCGATTATAAGTACGATATATGAAATTGTTGTTACAATTATGTTTAATGTTTCGATCTATACGTTTGCCTATGAAAAAAGAATATCCAATATATTCGTAATAAATATAAAACGAAAAAGGTAAATTGTAAATATATATTATATATATCATTTAGGTAAAGCGATAAAAAATACACACACACACACACACACACACACATATACATATTTTTCTTTAAATGATATTTATATTATTAATTCATTTTAAAATCAGTTATTTGTAAACATTTGGACAGTTTGTAAAAAATTAAGTTTATGTTGTTTGACCTTTAACTCGATCTTATCATGTCATTGAAACCATTATGCATATTTCTCTCTCTCTCTCTCTTTCTCTCTCTCTCTCTCATTCTTTGTTTTTCTCTTTGTTTTTCGTTCCAAATATAAAAGCAATATTTCATTTCGGAACACTCCGAAATTTTACGAAGTTCTGTGAAAATATCGCGCAGTTCGTACGATATATTACGTTCTTTTATCATCGAGAAATAAAATTTTTTAATATTTCTTTGATAAATCTGATGCAAATGGGATGATAACAATTGAGACATTAGGCACCAATAATATCCATTATCTATCGTAATATAAATTATTAATGCGTAGTTATGAAACCTAACGTATAATATGCCGCTAGTATGAAGCATCTAGCATATTGCTTAGACAAATACAACAGTGGTGTACGAGAAGATTGATTAGTTTACATCTCTTCATATCATAGTTATATATATATATATATATATATATATATATACATACATATATACGTATATATATATTTATATGTTTATATATTTATATGCTTATATATTTATATATATCTTTTATATGAACTTAATTGATATTTTTTTCTTTTTCTTTTCTCTTTTTTTTTCTTTTTTTTTCTTTTTTTTTTTGTTTTAATGTATAGAATATATTGAATTATACAATTAATCCTCAATGTACATATATATATATATGTATATATTAGGTTGGAAACTATGAAACGGGCGTTTTGTTTAGTTATTTATTTTCATTCAACGCCCGTTTCATAGTTTCCAACCTAATATACATATATATACATACATGTATACATATATATATTTATATATTTATATATACCTTTTATATGAACTTAATTGATTTTTTTTTCTTTTTTTAATAATAATATATTGAACTATAAAAATAATCTTCAATCAAAACTATTTGAAAGTTCGACTATATATTATCAATGTACACATATATATATATATATATATATATATATATATATATATATAAAGCACCTATATATATATATATATATATATATATATATATATAAAGCACCTATATATATATATATATATAAAGCACCTATATATATATATATATATATATATATATATATATATATATATATAAAGCACCTATATATATATATAAAGCACCTGCACCTTGTACGGTCATGTAAAGTGGTGGTGGTAGCCATGGTCCTCACACTCGCTCCAAGTTATATAAACGATGCGTGCACGCAGATCACCGATTACAACTGCTAGTCGATAGTGTGTTCAGTAGCTAATATCGGTTTACTCTTATAAACTCGATTCTCCATATCTTTTTTCTTTTATTTATCATTTATTGAAATATATGACATATAACATTGTTAATACTTCTCGTAGATACAAACAAAAAGAAAATTTGTACGTGTGAAAGAAAAAAAGAGAGAGAGAGAGAGAGCGAGAGAGAGAGAGCGAGAGAGAGAGAGAGAGAGAGAGAATATTTTAAATATGAATCAAACTCATATCGACTTTGTCGCTCAACTCAAAAATGCCGGCAAGTTTTGGTACATCGTTAATCCTTTCGAAACAACTTTTGAACTTCCCCATCAAGTACCTGATTATCAACAGCAGGTAATTTGTAATTGTTATTGTTCATTTCAAAATGCGTTTTTTCTTTTTCTTTTTTTTTTTTTTTTTTCATTTCTTTTAATCTTTTCACCGATTTCTTTAATCACCGATTTTTTTTTTTCATTTCTTTTAATCTCACGTTTTACTTGTTTCATTTCTTTTCTTTTTATTTTTTTTTTCCCATTTCTTTAAATTATCATTATTATTAACAAAAGAGAAGCCGAAAAAATGTCCAATTAAATTCGACACATTATTTTCCCATTTGCGAGATCAATAATTCACCGATTTTTTGTAATTTTTCAAAGCGATGATGATCGACGTTTTTAAATTGGTTGATTAAGTCTTTTAAATAATAACTCTTGATAGACTTGTTAAATGAATAACATCGATATCATTTTAAAGACGTCGATCTATTTATATCGTATGAGTCGTATTAAAAAAAAAAAAAGGAAAAGATATTCATAAAAATATTTTTATAAATGTTTAGATCTGGATACCCTTTTTCTTTCTTATCATATTAGAGCAAGTAATATTAACTGCGAAGAATAAAAAGAAATCATTTCGATTGAACGATCAAGTGACGTCGTTCTCTCATTGGATATTTCAAGAGTCTGGCCGGTAAGCATAGGTAATGCATTCGTTTTTCATTCCGCTTTGTTCTTCTTTTGTATTCTGTATATCATTTACGTGAAAATGAAAAAAAATAAAGAAAGTAAAAAAAAAAAAGAAACAAACAAAAGAAAAGAACAAAAAAAGAAAAATAAAGAAGATCAAACAAAAATTAAATAAGATAACAATCCCACTTGTTTAATCCTTATTTATTAACATTGTTTAAATATTGAAATAGCGTTTATATGCTATTTTTGTTCTCTTAAATCTTTCAGCATATTCTTTCGCGGGGCAGAATATTATACTTACATTAAAATTTATGAGAATTATCATCAATGGAATCTATCGTGGAACTCCATTTGGACTTGGTATATAACTGCTTTAGGGGTAGACTTTTGTTATTATTGGGTACACCGTAGTAATCACGGTTAAGTATTTGTCTTGATATTTATCGAAATTATTGTTACATCTCGACGTGATTTACACACGCACGCGCACACACAAACACAAACACATATATATAATCTTGCATATTGCATACGTTTTATAGAAGTACATTTTTTGTGGGCTCACCATCAAGTACACCACAGCAGCGAGGAATTCAATCTCGCGGTTGGTCTGCGCCAATCGGTACTACAACATTGGTGCAATTTTGTGAGTAGAAAAGAAAATATGTACAAGAAATGTCACGGTAACCGATACGATTATGTGTGCGTATACGCTTAATAAAATTTCCAATAACATTTAGTGAATATCCCTTTTTATTCATTTCATTGAAAGATTTATTTGTTTTTCAGATCTTTTATTTACCTCTTGCTTTCTTCATACCACCATCACACTTCATTGTTCATCATCAATTCAACTTGATTTATCAACTTTGGATACACACGACGATTATTAATGATCTCGGACCGTTAGAATTAATATTTAATACTCCGAAGCATCATCGCGTTCATCATGGTAGGTATCGTAAGCGATTATTTTTGTTGTTGTTATTTTCTTCTCTAATTTAATATAAATTTTTATTTTTATTTAATTGATATTTTTCTACGAGTCCGAATAGATCTAAGATCTTTTATCTCTAAACACGTTTATTTCTGTTTCCTCATTTGTCATTGTGAAGTACATATATCAGATTATCTTATATACGTAAGAACACTATAACTGAACTGACCTGTCATACAGGATGCAATCTATACTGCTTGGATAAAAATTATGGTGGAGTTCTTATAATCTGGGACAGATTATTCGGGACCTTCATGGAAGAGAAGGATGAACTCATTTACGGTTTAGTAACCAGTCCACGATCGTTCAATCCCTTGTACCTCCAGGTACGAAGTATCCATCAACGTAATTAGGTGTAAATATGTAATCTTTTTTATTTCTTTTTTTTTTATTCAATCATATCAGCAATATGTATTTTTACTTAACTACATATTAAACTACGTAATTATTCCGTTATATAAAATGATGATTGAATTATGCAGATGCATATAACAGATTAACCACATGCAGTTCCGTAATGTAAATATTTAAACGTTTACAAAAAAAAAAAGATTGGAAAAAGAAATTATGCAGAATTAATACATAACCATTTTATTCCATAAATTAAGCGACCTATTTTTTTTTTCTCGTTTATTAAATAAGATTTGTCGATTATTTCGGAGATACTTGGTATTCTTTTTTTTATGATCATATTCTATATAATACGTTTTTGCATACTGATTACATCTATTATATTTACACAAGTTTAATTGCTTGGCTGCACACATATCTACATAAATAAATATATACGTACACACACATACACACATATATCTGATGTATTCAATTGAATTATAATTATAGACGTTTTATGCGAAAGCGATGATAGAAAAGAGTAAGAGCATGAAATCTTCGGCAAATAAACTATCCGTTTTGTGGAAGGGTCCTAGTTGGTATCCAGGTGGACCACGTTTGGGTCTTGACAAGTATAAAATAAACGTAAGTTAGTTAATAAATTAGGAAAAATCGTTATTTAAAAATCTAAATGATATAAAACGATTAATGATGACATTAATTTTCTAAACGTATAATAATTAATTAAAATATTATAACGTGATAGAAAAAAAAAATAAGACGTAAATAAAATAAATAATAAAATCTTATAAATTATTAATTATCAAGTGAAATATTATTTTCTAGGTAACGTCTAGAACCAAATACAATATTCGTATACCAACGTGGCAAAGCGTCTATATTAGTTTGCATTTTTTAATAATTTTTTATAAACATTTGCAATTATATAATAATGAAAAACAAGTAAGCGAGATAATCACTTAATTCGAATTCGAATTTCTAACAAAAATGTATAAATTGTGTATATATATAAATATTTTCATTTTTTTCAGGATATAAATAATTTTGTAGGAATAACAATATTGAACAATATATTTGCTCTTATCGTTATTGGATTATTGTTCGATAAGTCAGAATATGCTGAATTGGTGGAACTCGTTCGATGTATTGTATATTTATTTATTTCATATGAAGATTGTTGTCTTAACGTTCTGATATATTATATTTATATAATATCTTGCTTTATTTGGATCTTTCAAGTAGTACATCAAGTGAAAACAAATTTGTTACGATTATGACTTTGTAAGGGTACATTCAATCACAAAAAAAAAAATAAGAATACTATCGTTACTTATTTAATTTAAGTTAAAGAAAGACAAAATAAATTTTTATAATTGTTGAATAATAATGTGTATTTAAAAATAATAAATTTACATTAAAATAATATTAATGCAAATAATCCTTTTTTTTTTTAATATATATATATATATATAAAAAGAGAAATATGGACAAAATAAATTCATAAAAGAGTAATTTACAATTTGGCGCGTAATGTTATGACGTCGATTAGCGCCATCTAGAATATCTTAATTTGAGAAAGAATAAAATATTACGACGTTGACGGTAAATTTATAAAATATTTTCGATATTCTCACGTTTTATCTTAATACTTGTTCAATTATTGTTTTTAATAAGTTTAATGGTTTCATAAATAATATATATTTATATATATTAATTGTAAATTATTACAACGCAGATAAACAAAAAACTATATTGGCAACATTGAAATCACGTTGCTATTGTCTGAATAAAGGTGAATCCCGCGAAATCGGACTTAGGTGAAATATTATGGTGCGTTAGATTGTTCTCGATTGACTTTAATAATCTTATTTATTATTTTAAAATTAATTATTTTTTATTGCGTGCATGTTATCATAATAAGCAAAAAGCGATTTGATAAAAACCGTTAGGTATTAGAATTTAATTAAATAGGACAACAAGGAAAAGGACATGAAACAAGGTGAGAGCTGTTCTTTTTTTTTTTTTTTTGTATGCCGTATTTCGATTCTTACATATTTTCTTCTTTTCGCTTATTTCATATTTGTTAACATGATTTGTTTTATATGAAATAATTGGTAAGACATAGATATTTAGCATAAAATTATTAGAAAAGAAACAAAAGAAATTTAAGAGAAGACAAACTTTAATAGTTAATATTTAATGTTAGGCGTATTTTTCTTCATTTTTCTTATTTTTCCACAAATGTTGCCTTTATGTTTGTAGCATTTCATTTAATGCAAATCAAGTGGAGTATTTATATATATATATATATATCTTATGGTTCTATATATAATGTATGTATAGTATATAAATTTACATAGCACTTTAGAGACATGAAATGAAAATAAAATTGTTTGTAATAAAAGGTTTGTTGCGTATAAAAATTCTTCGTATAAAGTGGTACATAAATTTATATTTCTCATTAACAAGAACATAGCTTCAAAGTGATAAAAAAGATTATTTAGGTAATGTATATGCAAATATAATGTATGATTTTTTAATCTTAAGTGATTTAAACTAAATCAATAAAAGTTTAAATTAAATCAATAAATTAATGCTAATGAGTAATAACAATAATAATAATAATAATAATAATAATAATAATAATAATAATAATAATAAAAAGAACAACAACAACAACAACAGTAATAATAATAATAATGTTCCTTTCAAAAAGATTTATAATGTTATATATGCTGGCCTTTTGAAAAATGCTTCCTGTCTATTCTTGTAATATCTAATTTTGTAAATTCTAAATATTACATTTGCATATAAAATTTCCTATTTAAATCTTAAGTATTTTCTTGCTTATGAGTATTCACAGAAAATAGCACTATGATGTATTATAACTCACAAAAATTTACAAATTATAATATAAATTGCAAGATATGTAGAATTTGTCAAAATTTTTGAAGAAAAAAGTTATAAGATAATATCATATAATTGAGACATTTTTATAACTTATCATTTAGATACGCTCTTACTATAATACAAGATAAAGATATAAGTAGCATGTAAAATATAAATTCATAAATGCAACATATATCAAAAGTTTAAACAGTTTTTCGTAAAACAATTCAGCATTTTTTAAAAACAATACATTATGAATTATAAATATGTCATTACATATTTAATATTAAACAAGCAAGCAGCATCTTTCACTCTCCTATCTCATTTGCACAACAACATTATATTCTGAATATTGTAACTATCTTATTTAAGCATATTAATACAAATATTTTTAGAAGATGCTACAAAAACAAACATAAATACAATGTTTTATATATCCACAATGCACAAGTTCTGTAGTATATTACTCTTGATATCATGTTTTACATGTAAAGCTTCTTGAATTATTTTGTAGTATATTTATGAAGTCGTGTGAAATTCATCACCATAGTCCTCTATCTGCAACGAATCAATACGTATATGTATTAAAGCTATGTAGTACCAGTTTGAATATAATTTTTTCAAAATATTAATACATATAATTAATTATAATGCAAAATATATAAATTTAGCTAACTATTAAAGTATACATACCTATATGGATCATATTTTTTTTTTTATGTTTTACTACTTGATGGCAATTTTGTTGTATCTTGTTTAGCAATATTTGTTTCTGTTGATGAACTTTGTCCTACAGAATTATCAACTGCCGGTCTTCCAGAATGATTGTTACTTTCTTCTTGTATATCATTATCAGGTTGTCCAATAATAGGTATATCCAAAGAATCTGATGACATACGTCTTCCATTACTAAATTGTTCTGCTACGTCAAGTTGAACGTCTCTGGCATCTCTAACATTATTCAATGAGTCAGAACTTAAGGATGGGAAATCTAATGTTGTTTTCATTTCTAAAGAATCTGAACTTTGACATAAGGGATGTTTTTTATCCGCATTATCTTCTAATTCCAATGAATCTGTACTTGTCTCCATGATATTTGTATCTTTGGCACGTTGGATGTCCTCCGCTTCTGTTACCACTGGTACAATAGCTTCTGAACCAGTTTTTTCAATATCTGTAATTTCTATCTGTGAAATATCTTCAGTAGTATCATCTTGTCGGTCTAATCTCTCTACGTTAGACTGAGCTATACGTATAATTTCATCAATTTCTTTTATTCTCTTCTCATAGTCGTCCGACCCAGAAGTGCTTGGATTAATCGAGCCTGCCGCACTAATTTCCGATTTACGTTGAAGACATTCCATTTTGTATCTATTTTCAGGACTTTCATGTTCCAAAAGATCTTCTTCCTCCCTAGCACGAAGTTCAATTAAGTGAGCTTCCCGACAAGCTCTTTCTAGACCTTCAAAATCTTTTAACGAAGAGAGAGAAATATCATCTCCATGACCAGATCGACCGGTCATATACCTTCTTGGAAGACTCCCATTATTAATTGAATCCTGAGAACCACATTGCAATCTTTTCGAGTTTTCTGCCGCTACGGCACTCTCCAGATGTTCGAATTCCTGTAACGAACTGAGAGAAACAGTATCATGATCCGAAGGTTTAGTGAAATATTTTTTCCCAGCTAGAACATCATAATCCGGAGTGCTACCAAAACTACCACGCATACTACCAACGCTTCCTATCGATTCTTTGTGACTTCCTAAACTTCCAAATCGACTACTACCAGCTTCGAAATCAGTAATCTCTTCTTCTTTGATGTCTTCTAAGGGACCACGGTCGTATTCGATATCGTAGACTCTTGCGTCCGTATGAAATTGCATCTCAATCCATTTTTTACCAGTTTCATACGGTTCCTCGTCTGAATAAGATTGAGAATATTGATCGTCGTTGGATGCTTGGGGTGGACTTTCTTCAGATTCAAAATCGAATAATTCATTATTCCGGGAAGTTTGGCTGCTAGACACTTGAGAATCTTCTTTATTCTCCGTTATTAAGTTCTCCAAGTCTCGATCGTATTGTTTACTACTAACTTGAGGTATTGCAGTAATACGTATACTTTTACCTTCAGAATCAAATTCTTCTGCTTCACGTCCAACTTCTTCAATTACAACAAAATCATCTATAATATCAGGCTTATCGACTAGTTCAAAAGAATCGCTACCTGGTGATTCGGATCGTTCGGATTTTGCTTTCTCTATAACTGTATCAAGAGACAGTCCGGAGGTTGAAGATGTAGACATACTCGCTTGTTGTATCATTGAATGCGCTGAAATTTGCATCACCGTTTCAGCACTTTCATCTGGTGTACCACTTATTCCAGATTTCGGTTCCAAAGAATCTGGTTCCATACTTAGCATTTCGAGCGACTCATCCGATGGTTTATCTTCAATTTCTATTCCCATTGTAGTTTTCAATGTAGTTTCTTCGGTAGGTATCTCAGTTGTTGACGTTGTTACTTGGGTCGAGATAACCTGGGTGGATACACTTTGAACGCCATCTTCCGTAACCCTAGCCGTCATTATATCTACCGATTGCACGGCACCAGGTGTTACAACAAAAGCAGACGTCGCAAAATCGACTCCCTTCGTGTCTTGTTCCAAAATGGGTTCATCTAAATCGGTATCGAGAGCGGCGTTATCGTCCATTATTTGTTGAAATATCATTTCCGACGATCGCTTCATTCGACATGGTATATTGCTATCGATTTTGTCCATCGCATCGTCCATAGGTATATCACTTCCAGAGGAATCGGATTCGGCATGTTCTTCGTCAAACGCACGTTCCAAATCTTCGTGTTCTTCGCCCTTGTCAGCATCCGGTTCAGATGCTACCAATGTTTCTGATAACTCGCTGGTACTATCGATACTACCAAGATGGCCTGAACTAAACGAACTTAAAGATTTCATAGATTCGCGAGAACTTAATGTACTCACGGCAGTTTGGTATTCTTGAGAAGTTGGCCTTGAGGTGGCGGAGTGTTCAACGGACATCATCGCAGTCTCATACTCGGAAGTTGTTCCCGATGGTGGCATCGTAGCAGACTGGAGGGCTTCAACATCAGAAGAACTTGGTCTACTTCCACTGCCAATTTCGTAGTCGCAAGATTGATAGTTGCTACTCTCGCCCGAACTGGAACCAGGATCGACCTCACTTTCGGAAGTAACTTTTTTCGATGCCCGTGCAGGTTTATGTCGTCTCCTTGGCACTGGTTGAGGTGGATGCAAGGAGGAGGAACTCTCGTCTTTGTACTCTACGTCTGAGCATGATCTGCTGGCTGGTACGGGACTAGGACGTGTATCATCGTCTTCTTTACTCTCTTCATGGACGGCAGATAGAGTTTCCGTTTCAGACTTGTCTAGCTCCATCTCAATATCCATACATACCTTCTCTTTGTCCATTTCATCACCGGATGCTTCGAGCTCGATTTCTTCCGATCCACTTTCCGTAGCTGGAATTTCTTTTTCATCTCTTTTCGATTCATCAGGCTTTTCCTCGCTCGCTATCAATGACTCAGTCTTCGACGTAACTTCAATATCTACGGCGATCTGTTCCAAAGATGGGGGTCTGTATAAAAAGGGTAAATCATTGGGTATAGATTCTGGTTGTAATTTGAATTGAAATTCAGAAGGTGAGTCTTTGATTTGTATTACAGTCTCACTGTTCTCACTTAGTTCTTCTATCAAGTCCTGTCTCGCCGCCTCTAAGGACTCCTTCACCTCCGCTATTTCTTTCTTAACTACTTGATCTAGAACTGTAATTGCATATCGCGCACTTAAATCAACGCCTGGAAGATCGTCTTTCTTTATTTTAAAGGCACATGTATCGGAAGAAGTTACCGTGCTGACTTTTGCTGCTTTATCACGTTTTTCGAAACCTTTCTCAACATGTCTTTTATAGTCATCGGTAGAAACTTTTATTTTCGTTAGGCTCGGTTCCATCCATTCTTTCGCGAGATCGTCCACGTGAACAGCCTTATTAGGATCATCCTCCAATGCTCCTCCAGCAGCAATATCTTGTGTTTGGATGTCTTCCAAAAGCTTTACATCTTCCTTCAATGGTTCTGCTATCTCCTCCAAGCTAAGTCCAATTTTCTCTATTGTAATATCCTTTACTATAACTTCCTCGTGTTTCTCTGTTAATGGCTCTCCATCGATCTCTTCGTCTTTTCCAATCTGCGACGTAACTTCTTCTTTAGCTTCTAATTTTTCTTCAGAGACGGACGTAATTTCTTTAGCAATGTCAATACTTTCTTTGTCGGTAGAAATTTCATGTTGGTCGGTAGTTGTTTCGATTTTACTCGAATCCACTAATTTCATTTCACTTAATTTTATTTTTGCTTCTTCTAAGGATAAAGGTCGTCGTATGCTGATAGTAGTTAAATCTTCGGTAGGCGTTTTAGCTTCATATTCACGTTTTAAGGTATCCACTAATTCTTGACAGCTAACTTCTAATTTATTTTCTATTAATTCACTTTCTATGTCTTGATCACTGACAGGAATGACGGTAAACTTTTTTGTTTTAATTATTGTAGTCACCGTTGTATCTCCTGTTGTTATAGTTTCCTTGATAGATTCTATAACACTTGGATCTTCCGAAGATTTTGTAGCGGATTCTTGTTCCAAATCAGCCGATTCACTTTGGGAAGATAATCTTTGCTTCCTTATAGTTGTCTCATATTCCTCTAATTCTTGATTGAAGACCTGCGAAGGTTGTAATGTCTCAGATATTTCAATTTTTTCATCACCGATCATCCAATTGACTGGTTTTATTTCAAGATCGTGTCTTATTTTTAATCTTGGTGAAACAAGAGGTGGACTTTCGATTTCAAAACTGTCAGCTCTTTTTACGCTGACTTCGTATTTTTCCGTTGTCGTCGTAGGGACCTGTTCATGTACCAAGGAGTAATCAACGTTAATGTCTTCCGATACTGTACTAGGACTAAAAGTCATATCACGTTCTTGAGCAATCCTTTCCAAAGAATCTACGGCTGCACTTTCGTGCAAAGATGAAATAGTTTTTCCTGTATCTTCAGAGATTTTATATTCGTCCATTTCTAGAGATGGCACATCGACAGAATCTTGTCTCGATTGACTATCAATACCTGGTTCAACGATCTCCAATACTCTTGCTCCAGAAACGTCATAGATTATTCTGTCCTTTGGTAAGCTGATATCGTATTGAGGCTCGTACGATTCTCTTTGTAACGATTCAGCTTGTGCGCTAGATCTATCAGAATGTAATTTTTCTGATTGTGGACTTGAAGTTGGCTTGGTAATGTCTTCAAGTTCATTCGTATCAACGTCCATCGTTTCTTCTAACTCTATTTGATCAGATATACTACTTGGACTCATTGTAATGTCTCTTTCAGGTAATCTTGCCTGTGACGAAGATAAAAGTAAGCTTTCGTCTCTATCGTGAAGTGAGGACTCTTCGTCCTTTGTTATATCCTCGCTTATACTCATGCTATCTCTGGTAGATCTTTTCTCTTCTTCGTGTATAGATGATCTTCGTTTTACCGATTCTGCGGTAGAGTCAGTGTCCTTTGTAGAGTCTACCAATTGTTTCTCCATTGTTTTCTTCATAATACTTTCGAATTTTTTCGTTAAATCGTCAGCTAACTTTTCATGATCAGTTTCCACGCTTTCTTTAACAAGTTGCTGTAGATAATTACTGTCAATAATCTCAGCTCTCGGATCTTCCGTTATGGATGATCTTTTAGTTATTTCACTTTCGATCGATTCTATAAGACACTCTACTATTTGCCTAGCTTCTATTTCTTTTGCAGCACGTCGTTGTCTCTCCTCCAAAGTTTCATGAGTCAGAACTTTTTCTTCTGGCTTTTCATCCTTTTTAACGGATGCCAATTTCTCGTCTACTTTGCTGGTAGGTATAAAGTGTCTTGCATCGAAACGTTCAACAGTTTCTTTATGTGACTCTCCTTTAGTTACCATTTCTACTTTTCCCAAGTCTTCGAATATTTTAGATGTTATTGGAGGTTCTCCCGTGTCTTCAACTTTCTTTTTTTCATCTTCTTTACTTATTTTAATAGCTATTTCGATATCACTTTCCTTCAGTCTATTGACTCCAGATTCCTCAGTCATTATACCTTCCTTGTCTTCAAGTTTTTTAGATAATTGTTCCTTCTTGGCTTCGACTCTACTTTTTGAAGCACTTGCATCGATCGTTTCCTGTCCATCTTGTAAATTTATCGACATCTTTTGAACAGCTGTCTCGTCTATTTTTTTACTTTTACTTTCCTCTTTCTCTACTGTTTCAGTCGACGATTCCTTTTTCATTTTGGATTCTGATAATTTTTTAGATTCGATTTGTTCTTTTTCTTCGTGCACAATATATTTGTCCGTGCCTTTAGAAATTTCGGAAGATACAACTTCTTTCTTTTCTAACTTACTGGAAGCTTTATGATCGACTTTAGATAGTTTTATCGTATCTTTCTCGCTCATGTCCTCGGGTAATTTAAATGTTTTATGTGGATCAGTAAAAGTTTTAGAAAATGTTTGGGTTTCACTCTTGGAAGTTGTTTCCTGACTGGAGGATTTCTTCTCGGTCACCGTGCAAGTTTCCGTTTCCGTTTTAACGTGATATCCCTTTTTAATATCTTTCTCAGACGATTTAGTTGCAGAAGTATCTATGATACGTTTAGGAATACGAGATTCAAATTCTTTTTTCTTATCAACAGGTGACGTGATGCTAAACTCTTCCTGTGGAATACTCGATTTATCGATTTCTGATTTTTCTAACAAACGTTTCGACTCTATTGAAATTTTGCTCCTCGATGATTCCTTGTGATTTCTATCTTTTTCAACTTTAGCCATTGAAATTGGTATACGTGATTCAAATTCTTTTTTCATTAACTTACTATCACTTTCGATCGTGGACTTTTGAGGGCTAATCTTGTCCTCCTCTGATTTTTCTTTTCCTAAATCTTCAATCTTTTCTTTTTGTACTTCCGGAATAAATTCAGTAACTTGATCTTTTTTACTTATCTCGATCTTAGTATCCTCCTTCAATTTTTCCTCCAAATCGCCAATAGTATAATGTTCTTCGTATAGCACTTTTGGTTCTAAACTAGTTTCAGGAACATTGATTATTTCTGTGGTTACAGGCACATCTTCGTCTCCTTCAATTTGAACGATCTTAGTCACTTTTTCTTGCACTAAGCTTCCATCTTCTTGAACCTTCCATATTATAGTCGTTTCTTCCTTTATAACGCGTCTCCCAGTTGATATATCCTTGCCCAAACCTTTTTCTTGCATTGAAATATCTTCTTTATGTTCCGCCTGTTTTGAATGTATCTGCATAAATTCACTTTCTTTACTTGCAATTTCCATAGTGTGCTTTGGAGATTCCCCACGTTCGATTAAATATTCTTTTTGAAGTTCCAATTCGTGCTTTTCGACGATTCTATCTATATGCTCTGGTAATTCTTTATGATGTATTTCCCTAGCTTCCTCGATCGACCTTTCCAATTGTTCTGGTAAAATTTGTACCAACGCAGCTTTTTCAATGTGCTTTTCCAATTCCTCATATGTTTCTTTTTCAAGTTCCACTTCTTCTTTCCTCTTTGATTTTCTTACTTCTTCCTTCACCTCTTCCTCTTGCTTCTTTTTCAGTTCAGTCTCTTTCCTCTTTGCTTCCTCTTCCTCTTGTTTCTTTTTCAATTCAGCCTCTTTTCTCTTTGCTTCCTCTTCCTCTTTTCTCCTCTTTGCTTCCTCTTCCTCCTGTTTCTTCTTTAGTTCAGCCTCTTTTCTTTTAATTTCTTCCTCTTCCTTTTTCCTTCTTATTTCTTCTTCTTCTTGTTTTTTTTTCTTTGCTTCTTCTTCTTTTTTCCTCTTTGCTTCCTCTTCCTCCTGTTTCTTCTTTAATTCGGCCTCTTTCCTTTTAATTTCTTCCTCTTCCTTTTTCCTTCTTGTTTCTTCTTCTTCTTGTTTTTTTTTGTTTGCTTCTTCTTCTTCTTTTTTCCTCTTTGCTGCTTCTTCTTCTTGTTTCTTCTTTAGTTCGGCCTCTTTCCTCTTAATTTCTTCCTCTTCCTTTTTCCTTCTTGCTTCTTCCTCTTCTTGTTTTTTTTTCTTTGCTTCTTCTTCTTCTTTTCTCCTTTTTGCTTCTTCTTCTTGTTTCTTCTTCAATTCGACCTCTTTCTTCTTTGCTTCTTCTTCTTCCTTTTTCTTCTTTAATTCAGCCTCTTTCTTCTTTGCTTCTTCTTCTTCCTTTTTCTTCTTTAATTCAGCCTCTTTCTTCTTTGCTTCTTCTTCTTCCTTCTTTTTCTTTGCTTCTTCTTCTTCCTTCTTTTTCTTTGCTTCTTCTTCTTCCTTCTTTTTCTTTGCTTCTTCTTCTTCCTTCTTTTTCTTTGCTTCTTCTTCTTCCTTCTTTTTCTTTGCTTCTTCTTCTTCCTTCTTTTTCTTTGCTTCTTCTTCTTCCTTCTTTTTCTTTGCTTCTTCTTCTTCCTTCTTTTTCTTTGTTTTTTCTTCTTCCTCCTTCCTCTTTGCTTCCTCTTCTTCTTGTTTCTTTTTTAATTCAGCTTCTTTCCTTTTTGCTTCCTCCTCCTCTTGTTTCTTTTTCAATTCAACCTCTTTTCTCTTTGCTTCTTCTTCTTCTTGTTTCTTTTTTAGTTCGGCTTCTTTCCTCTTTGCTTCCTCTTCTTCTTGTTTCTTTTTTAATTCAGCTTCTTTTCTCTTTGCTTCTTCCTCCTCCTGTTTCTTTTTCAGTTCTGCCTCTTTCTTCTTTGCTTCCTCTTCTTCTTGTTTCTTTTTCAATTCTGCTTCTTTCCTTTTTGCTTCCTCCTCCTCCTGTTTCTTTTTCAATTCAGCCTCTTTCCTTTTTGCTTCCTCCTCCTCCTGTTTTTTTTTCAATTCTGCCTCTTTTTTCTTTGCTTCCTCTTCTTCTTGTTTCTTTTTCAATTCTGCTTCTTTTCTTCTTGCTTCTTCTTCTTCTTGTTTCTTTTTTAGTTCGGCTTCTTTTCTCTTTGCTTCTTCTTCCTCTTGTTTCTTTTTTAGTTCGGCTTCTTTCCTCTTTGCTTCCTCCTCCTCTTGTTTCTTTTTCAATTCGGCTTCTTTTCTCTTTGCTTCTTCTTCCTCTTGTTTCTTTTTTAGTTCGGCTTCTTTCCTCTTTGCTTCCTCTTCCTCTTGTTTCTTTTTCAATTCTGCCTCTTTTTTCTTTGCTTCCTCTTCTTCTTGTTTCTTTTTCAATTCTGCTTCTTTCCTTCTTGCTTCCTCTTCTTCTTGTTTCTTTTTCAATTCAATCTCTTTTCTCTTTGCTTCCTCTTCTTCTTGTTTCTTTTTTAATTCTGCTTCTTTCCTTCTTGCTTCTTCTTCTTCTTGTTTCTTTTTCAATTCAGCCTCTTTCCTTTTTGCTTCCTCCTCCTCCTGTTTCTTTTTCAATTCAGCCTCTTTCCTTTTTGCTTCCTCCTCCTCCTGTTTCTTTTTCAATTCTGCCTCTTTTTTCTTTGCTTCCTCTTCTTCTTGTTTCTTTTTCAATTCTGCTTCTTTTCTTCTTGCTTCTTCTTCTTCTTGTTTCTTTTTTAGTTCGGCTTCTTTTCTCTTTGCTTCTTCTTCTTCTTGTTTCTTTTTTAGTTCGGCTTCTTTCCTCTTTGCTTCTTCTTCTTCTTGTTTCTTTTTTAGTTCGGCTTCTTTCCTCTTTGCTTCCTCCTCCTCTTGTTTCTTTTTCAATTCGGCTTCTTTTCTCTTTGCTTCTTCTTCCTCTTGTTTCTTTTTTAGTTCGGCTTCTTTCCTCTTTGCTTCCTCTTCCTCTTGTTTCTTTTTCAATTCTGCCTCTTTTTTCTTTGCTTCCTCTTCTTCTTGTTTCTTTTTCAATTCTGCTTCTTTTCTCTTTGCTTCCTCCTCCTCCTCTTGTTTCTTTTTTAATTCAGCATCTTGTTTCTTCTGCAGTTCAATCTCTTTCCTCTTTATTTCTTCTTCTTCTAGTTTTTTCTTTAATTCAGACGCCTTCTTCTTAATTCCCTTTTCTTCCTTTTTCTTCTTTAATTCAAACTCTTTCTTTTCATCTTCTTTCTTGTCCATTATATCCCTTACCTTTCGATCCAGTTCAATCATTTTTTCCATACCAACAACAAATGTCTCTCGATATTCCTCCCTATGGAACTTATCTACTCTCTCTTTATATGTAATCTCTTCATCTTTGAAGTCTTCCTTCCGTAACTTATCACTTTCGTCTTTATCCTTCTCTTCTACATGACTCGACTTTAATTCTTTCCCCTCATGTTCAATATCTCTCGTAGTTTCCACTTGGGCAACATCAATAGGCTTTTCCACTCGTTGAATCTTAACACTTTTATCTTTTTCTGGTTTCACAGTATCTTGCTGTTGCAATTTAGCCGGTACCTTACTCAATTCCTTTTGTATTTGTTCCTCAAAATAATGTGCCTTCTCCGCAACGGAACATTCCGAAATATCAGGGATATTAACATTTTCCATAGTATCCGAGCCAACGGATGTTACCTCAGTTATCTCTTCCTCCGATACGACATTTTGCATATACTCACTGTCGCTCTCGTTGACTGTTAATTGTGAGGTCCTTGATACCTCGGATTCGGAACGTTGATAACTCTCTCTCTTCTTTGATATATCCTCCCAGAATTTTCGCTTCTCCGAATATGTTTGCTTTTCGACGCTAGGCGAAAGATCATGCTCTTGTTGGCCGGCTATTTTATTGGGATAACTAGCATCTACGGATTCTAGGGGACAAGCCGCTTTTTGTGCAAAGGATTCGTGGATAGTAGCGGCATCTAGAACAACCAAGAATGATGCTCATATTACTTTTTATTTAGCACGTTAATTATAATCAATAATTACATCGTTTCATTTTACAATTTTTTTTCTTTTTTAATCTCCCATTCTCTCTCTCTCTCTCTCTCTCTCTCTCTCACTCTCGCTCTCTCTTTCTCTTTCGTCGTCTCGTGCTGCGTGCAAAACTCTTTATGTACTTGCGCAAAAAAGCTCATAGCTTTCTAATATAATAATCAAACGTTGAATTAATTCATAAACTTTTGTTAACTATACACATAACAACTCGTTATTCTAACATGAATAATACATTCAACAATTCAATGACTAATTCAATTAGTCATCGATTTCTATTTAATTTATAATGTATATTCTTTGTATGTGTATGTGTATATATATATATGTATATATATATATATATATACATATATATATATGTATATATTTTTATAATGTATAACATTGACTTATATATGCATCTGCGAAATTTCGTTAAAGAAGTTGAAGACAGACATGCTGTTATTTTGTATTTAATATCCCATATGGTTGTCTATGATTATGTTGATGACGGCAGTTCTGCCTGCAAGTATAACAAGTACATAAAAAAATATCGCATTATTATCGGCATCAAAATGTTAAAATGAATCTTTAGCCGAACAGAAAAGAAGTATACAGACGCGAAGAAATGTAAAAATATAAATGTTTGCACTCGTTTCATTTGTACTCGAAAAAAGATATTAATTTTTTTCTTTTTTTTCTTCGAACGGATTACAATTAATCATTAGAGCACTGTTTCACGATTAGAAATAATTTGTTTGAAAGAATATTTATCTGTGAAATATTGAAATCTCTTTTTTATTTAACCCTTAAGTAGTATCGACCATATCAAGATAAATAAATTTTATTCTCCATATGTTTCGGATTATTAATCCAAATAAGATATTTGTCATTTGATTAAATAATTAATACTATAAAAACAAAGAGAAAATAGTTTGAGAATCTAAAAAAGAAAAAGAAATTTTGTTGAAAGTTCGAAGCAAAATTATTGCACGGAATAAAATATTTAGTCACGAGGACGACCAAAGCGATGTTCAAGACATATCACTCGAGGGTTAATCATTACCAAAGTTTTTTTTATAGATCAAGAAAAAAATAGATCTTCAATAGATCGAGCACGGTGCAAAAAGGAAAACGAATAACACAATAAGAAGAAATTCTTTGCGATTGAGATAAATCAAAAGATCCGATTGACGTGAATAAATAAAACAAAATGATAATGGAGGGATACAAGATTGTAATCCTTGGTAGCAAATAATCGATTTGATACATAACATTCCACGTTTCGTTAAATAAAATTCATTCGGCACATTTTAAATTCAATCTACATCTTCAACATCGGTATAACAATCACCGATGTTGACATCTTCCTGAATATCCTGAACAGCGAGCGTGTTATCCATCTTATTAACGTTCGTCATTACGATCTGAGAACCTGCTAAAACGTCAAAATCTTCGAACAGATCGCGATGACTACAAGAAGCTACTTGTAGATCATCCTCATCCGAAATTTCCATATCCTCGCTGTCCGTATTCGGCATGATCACAGTTTCAGATGAATTTCGGACTTCAGTATCTTCTATTTCTTTCGACATTCGACTACGTATCTCTACGGAAAATGGTCCATCTCCTTCCTTGGTAGTAATAGTCTCACCACCAAACTCGCACAAGATATCCAATCTGGGTGTGACGTAAATGATCGGTTCATCCTCGTCATTTGATATATCCTCGACGTCAGTTTCACCTTGATAAGTAACTCCTGTTAAGGTCAAACTCTTTCTTCCTTCTAGTTTCTGTTCGTTTTCAGGTTCACTTGTGTAAATCTCATCGACGTCCGTGAGATTTTCCGCAAAACTTCCACGTCGAGATATGTTTATTTCAGGAGTCGACGATATTGTTAAACATCGAGGATTCATATCCTCCATTATATCATAACCATCTTTAATATCTTCCATTGTCACAGAAATTATAGGTCCTCGTGACTTTGCAGGACTAGGAGTACGTGCATAAGCTTCCATAATGACCAATTCACCTTCCGAGTCCGTATCAGAGAAATGTAAGGATGTATTATTGATCATGGCATTCAATCGTCTTCTCGTAGATCTGGATTTACGTTTTTGTTTCATACCCGTTATCTCTTTTCCTCTGGATGGACTCTGACAACATTGTTTCAACTTTTGTGAATTATCTTCTAATGCACAACATTCATTATAATTTTTTTCATCGCCCTCTTTGGCTACATTCTGTTGATCGTTCTTTTGCTCTTCCCGAGATTCATTCAACGGGTTCGAACAATTTTTATTATTCACTTTGTCTTCTTCATTGCATGAATTTGTTGAACAACTTTGAGACATCTCCTTGGCACCTATCTCACAATTGATCTGTTTTAATTCGCATAAATCAGTCGTAATCTTAGAGACCGACGATTCATCGTTCTCGGTCTTATCTTTCTCATTATTAACGTCGATTGTAGGACTCGTTTCGTTCATGGTGTTCGCTTGGCCTGAATCTTCCATTGTAAAAGATTTTTCTATTCGTTGCACGTATATATATATATATATGTGTGTATGCGTGTAAATATATATATATATATATATATATATATATACATATATATATATATATATATAAATATGTACGTACGTATGTATATCTATTTTATATACTTTTGTTTTCAACGTGCGTATCGTAAGTGCAAACTACTAATGAACTTAAAAAAACCTGCAACTGAAAATCATAAGGAAAGAGAAAATTAATGAAAATAAAGTCAATGGAGAATACAAGTGCACGTAAATAAGAGAATGAGATTAAGGAAATAGATAAACGGATATTTGAAATGAAATCGATGAGGATCGTTAGAAAAACGTATACGGATAAAAAGAAAAATAGAACTCACATTTTCGACGATTCAAATCAGAGCTACTCAAGCATAAAGGGACAAGCAAAGTTATTAGCTACTGCTCTTTCCTCGACGAACATGGTAAAACTAAAAGAGGCTATCTCGGCACCTTCCGAGCATTTGTTGAGACTCTTACGTATAATTAAATTATAGAAGCCTCACTCAATCTTTAAGCCGTAAATGGATTGACATTTTACCTTAAACGAACATATAAATACAGAACAAATAAAACATAGAAATGTTAAAAAGAAAAGAAATCAATCGAACGTGAATCATCAAGAACGGAATAAATTATTATTGTCACATGATTTACGAGATTTATATAAAATTTAAATGTGTCGACGTCTTCCTCACGTAAACATCATTTTAAAAGTTTTCTTTTTGCACCTTGCACACTGTTTTTCATTCTCGATTCTTAACTCTATAGATTTTTAATTTTAATGCATCCTTAAGTTAATCCTTACTTTATAATTAAATTTAAAAACAATTTTCCATTGTATTATAATAAATGAGAATATCGTACCTGTTTGTTCTTTCTGGAGAGTATCGGCAATGAACTTTTCCTCTGACGGTGACGTGTCTTTTGGCTGGTCTCCCTTCTCCTTCTGTTCCATACCGTATTTTGATTTGTAAAAGTCCATTTTTTGATTTATGATATTCGAATCTTCGTATGTTGCTGTTAAGAAAAAAGAAAGTCATATTTATATTCTTGCAAAAAATATATATATATATGCATACATATAAGTGCCCAATAATATTACCTGTTAGTTTCTTCTGAATTTCAATTTTGCTCGTAACCTCAGGTAAGACGATATTCAGTACACAAATTGGTTGCTGTGGTGGTTCACCCTTTGCAACTTTAGGTTCGCGCATAAATAACATTCTTGCTACGGGATCCAAAAGTGGATCTTTTACTTTAACATGAAATGATAGACGATTCTGACGGAAAGCTTTAAAAGTGAACTTTAATTGTACTCCTGACTTTGTGACTGGTATTAGATTTCCGCTGAATTCGATGTAAAGATCTTTTCCATGTAGAGCCTGGAACAAATATAATTGACAAACGTTATATATTATTATTATTGTTGTTATTATTATTATTATTATTATTATTATTATTATTATTATTATTATTATTATTATTATTATTATTATTATTATTATTATTATTATTATTATTATTATTTATTTGCATTAATTATAACTAGAAGGTATTTCTCAGTTTACCTCGACATCACGGCTCTTTACAATCTCCAAGAATTCTTCTTGTCTTTCCAACGTGTGCATTCCTTCCTTGCCATCAGTCATGCACAATATCCTTAACGTAGCTTCGAGAGTGTCCATTCGTTTTGAATATATTACGAAACTGCAAGAACAATTAGAAATCTTTCGTCATTGAATATTTGCAAAAGATAAATGTAAAAAAGGAAACACGTACTTTGTAATGTAAGGTATAAACAAAGATTCTTTATATAGTTCCGTCGCCATTTTTGGAACTTCGCTAATATTCCTACAATCCATCAGCCAAAACCTAGCTGAAACTGTGGTTGTGAAGGACACACGGTCATTCATGAACGTCAATGGTGTTGAACCAGTAACATCTTCCCATTGGGCTTCGCTGGTACCACCTGACATAGAAAATGAAAGCTTAATTATTTACTAATTGTCTAATTAATTACATTAAACAATCCCTTTATATGTGCGTATATATATATATATACATATATATATATATACATATATATATATATATATATATATATATATATATATATAAGGTTGGAAATTATGAAACGGGCGTTGAATGAAAATAAATAACTAAACAAAAACGCCCGTTTCATAGTTTCCAACCTAATATATATAAATACTATTATACTTTTGGCCCAGTAAATCATTCAAAAGAATTACTTTTGAAAGAAAAAAGAGACATGTGACCAAATAACTGTTATCACATTACTAGAGTTAGGCAAAATTTACCAAATGCATTATCAAATATTCATTAATGTTGTTTAAATAATTTATATAATATTTTGATCGAATCTGCGTATACCAGCGATACTGCAAAGCAATCGTAAAGTTGGTGTTTCGCCTCCGTATTGATTGATCATTCCTTTGTTCGCAGCTTGTGGCACGGGTATAGTCAAGGTAATCGGCTTGTGAAACTTTCTTCTTCTGGGCTCAATTGTAATGACGGGTGATACAGCAACACAGTTACCTAAAAGTTTGGCTGTAAGCTCTGCAGGGATGACGTGTGCCTACAACAAGGTATCATATGTCTTAATAAGCCAATACTCGTTTGTTTTTAATAGCTTAACTTTTTGTGGCTTCACTATCGTCGGAACTGACTTGTCTACGACTGAATTGTATTGTGTATGTGTGTACAATTTACCAAATATAAATTAATTCCCAATTTTTACGATCAGATTTCAGGAAAAATAAAAAATTCTATTTTCAGTTTTTTTTTTTTTACTTACTTGTAAGCCAACTTTGATTTTTTTCGTTAGAGCACCAGGTGGAAATACGGCTTGAACGTCGTTTGCTACACTAGACATTAAAATTCCACCTTCGGCTCCTATCACGTGTACCTCTTGCTTGATTCTAGTCACTATCGCGAAATATTGAGGAAAGTCAGTAGTTATTATACGAGTTATTCTGCCGGAATGGGCTGCGTTCATTTGGGGATCTGTGAATTAAATTTTTATTCATAATACGACGATAATTCGTCGATAATGGTGTTAAAAAAAACAATGCTTCATTTTTTTTTCTTTTTTTTTTATATATAATTAATGCCGCTATAAATGACAGTATAATTTTAACATTATATAATATTTTAATACGCATTATAAAAAATTGGCTTGTAGAGGATTTCTAATATTTGATACGTACCATGTGGTGTATTAAGCAAGGTGTCGTCATTATCGACCGAATTATCATGCTCTTTCCACGTTTCTCCATTTTCACTCTTAAGAATAATAATTTCCCTCTCTTTGCCACGGATCGATGCAAAGTGTGGTATGTCGATCAATACTGGCCTATAAAGGATTACATTCGCGTAAAGAAAATTCTTTTTAAATAATCAATTTCTAAATATTCCATTGTGAACTTACCCTAAAAAGGTTGCTCCAACTGGACCCATCTCTATAATTCGAGTTGCTAAAGCCTCACCTTCCATTAGAGGCGGTGGATTAGCTACTTTACTAGGTTTTACTAATCTGCACGTTACCCGTAATGGCATCGTTGCTCTACGGGGTGGAACAATTATTCGTACACCACTATGCCTGCAACCCTTCATTGCACCACCTCGTGCATCCACGAGGAAACTCACTAAAAATCTGCAAATTTGAAATATCATAGCAAAATATAGAGACATTTTTTATAGAGACTTCAGATATATAGATATATAGATGTATTTGAATTTTCAAACTTTTTCTAAATTCTAGCGATGGGATATAGGCGTTTAGGTACTTACGATCGGAAGTGAAGTCTCCTAAAATCAAAATACGTTTAATTCAATCAATTATTTCTAAGGAAATCATTACATCTAAAGCTACAGTGAATTACGAAACATTAGAATTAGGTCAAATTACGATATTTTAAGCTCCGTGTTATATAATTTTCTACGTAACAAATTTATATTCAATGTTTAGATGATAATAAGAGTTTCTGCAAGAGGTGAAAAAAACTTGAAGAGATCTTTTATATTACAACTATGAAACTAATCTAGCTTATCCAATATTTTAGAGAATCTAAAGCGTGACTTCTGGCTTTATTACCCTAATATTTATTATTCGATCACCATGATTTTGGATTAAATTCAATATAGATTATTACGTACCCCAAATTCAATGTATCATTACTGTCAAAGTTTTCTGCGAGACAGTAATTATTACTTTGAGTGAATTCCTGTTTTTCTTCTTTTGTAACTAAAATGAAAAAAATCGGAAATCGATCATGTTACACGCTCTGATTAGTATTTAAACTAGTATTAGTATTTAAATTTAGTAAACTAACCTTGTCTGTGTATTGGGTCGTCCTTCGTTACATCGATTGGTAAGGAATCATCTCGTAGACTCTTCATTAAATCCGCGGTAAGATATTTGTATGGTTGCTCGCTAATCAATGCATCCGATGCTAATAAACGCAATTAAGATTTATGAATGATAAATCAATTATAAGACTTTAACGTATAGATAATATTATTCTTACCACCCTCGTCATCGGAATCGGACATAAGACTCGTTTCTTGCAAACTCTCTGGCGCTATAACTTTGTACTTTTCTTCCCAATTTTTATTATCCGGAGCTAAATTATCATAAGGCATTCCTTTCAATACTTCCATCACTGATATATATCCTAACTTTTGAGCAATATTTAAAGCAGTCAAGCCATCCTAAGGATAAAAAGCGATAGATATCACGTAAACATAAATACCGGAAACAAGTAAAAATGTAATTGGCAGGATTAATTGTGATTAGATTAATAACTAAAATAATTAAAAAGCATCTTATGAAAGTATTTACGTACGTTTGTACGAGCTTTGTGCGATGCATTTCCTTCTAAAAGAGCACTAACAACATGAGCGTGACCCTGTTGCGCGGCCTGATGAAGGGGCGTGTAATTTTGAGCCGTTCTTACGTCGATCTCTGCATTGTGTTTTAATAGAAATCGTATCATCGAGAGATTTCCAAAATGTGCGGCAACGTGAATAGGTCGATAACCAGTCTCGGTTTGACTTTCGACATTGGCATCATTTTTTACGAGAATCGAAGCGACTCTGACGAAATCTTCTTGAGCACAGAGATGTAACGCTGTTAGACCATTCTGAAAAGGGTCGAACAGAATTATTATTATTATTATTATTATTATTATTATTATTAATTTAATCGATTATTTAACAAAAAAAAATACCTTAGCTTTGTGATTTGGATCAGCTCCATGCTCGATAAGTAAATTCGTCATATCGTAATGACCCTTTTGTGAACTCAAATGTAGAGGCGTGAATCCTGCCTTAGACTCGGCATTTGCGTTCGCTCCGCCTTCCAACAGAGTAGAAGCAATGTCCATCTGTCCCAAGTGATGTAGATTTTTCGTTAGAGATATACATTAAAATGAAAAAATGGAAAGGAATGATTGGTATTGATTACTTTAATACCTGATTTTTACGTGCAGCGATGTGTAACGGAGTATGTCCATTTTGTGATGCAAGATGGGGTGAAGCACCCTTCTCTAATAGAAGATTCGCAACATTTGGATGATCGTAATGGCATGCCAGATGCAGTGGTGTAATGTCGTTCTAAAAATGATTAGTAAATTCTCACCGTAATAGAACACGTAAATATAACCCTCTGTAATCTAATTTTTGTTAGTATACAAATTATAGTATTGCTAAGTATGTATTCTTAAAAACATTTAATATATATAAAAAAAAGAACAGATATAAGAGTATAAGACTTGAAAGTTATTAAAATTTATAGAGGATTAATGGAACGATTCCTTTTCTTTTCTTTTCTTTTCTTTTCTTTTCCTTTTTTCTTTTTTTCTTTTTTTTTTTTTTTTCTTCTTTTTTGTTCATTTTTATCTCATCTTTATTTCATTTTATATCATTGAACTGCTATAAATCGTCTGCTAACCTTTCCTTGAGCATCAAGCTTGCTGTCCTTTTGCAGAAGGATCTTTGCCACGTTCATATTGCCATATTTGGCCGCTATGTGGAGCGGCGTAAAACCATTTTTCGTTGTGGCTTTTACCGAGGCATTATTCTCCACTAGAATAGCGGCCACCTGTTTATCACAAAGTTTTGTGTTATATCAATAAATATATATGAATATATATATATATATATATATATATATATATATATATATAGACTGATAAAATTTTACGTTTATGATATGCGTTCGATAAGAATAAGTTCAATTACATATATGTGTGTGCGTGTGCGTGTATATATGTTATATCAAATAATAATGTTGATTATCTCCATCATTGCAATTAGAAATAATTGCTTACCTATTATTGCATAACGAAGAAAAGTCAGTCAACTAATGACATATGACAACAAGATAACAAGATTTACGTTCTTTTCGTTTTAATTACAGTATAATAACGTTAACTTATTAATTTATTTAATAACAAGTACAACGGGAATATGAAATTTAATGGAGGAAATGAAAAAAATTATATAAATGCAAATAAGTGGGAGGGGAAGGGAAAGAAAAACAGGCACCTTTCACGCATTGCTTGTTATAATCGTATGCATGGTTATATCGATGGAAAGTATAATGAAAAAAAAAAAAAAAAAAAAAAAAAAAAAAAAGAAATGTTTAACATACTATGTATGTATGCGTGTATGTATGTTTGTGTGAATGTATGTATATGTATGTATGTATGTATATATATATAGTTATATATATGTGCCTTGGAAACGAGCGAAACGAATGTACGTTTCTGGCCTGTCATACTTATGACTCTGAAATTTTAAGATCCCTAATAAATCAGTATATTATATAAGTATTTATATTACAATATTACATATGTTCACGCATACAAATATATATATATATATATATACATATATATATATACGTATACATGCACGATACATTGAAAAAAAAATTCTTTCGCTCGTTCGTTCGTTCTTTCTCACGCTCTCATTTTTTCTTTTCTTTTTTCTTTTTTTCTTTTCTTTTCTTTTTGCATTTTTTTAAGGAGGGAAACTAGAATAAGGACTAAGCAAAAAAGAAAAATCAATTGAATACTTGTATGCACCGCGAGGAGTTGCATGCTATCTCCTCGTTTTAATTTATCTCATGCTTAAAAAAAAAAAAAAAACGAAATGCAGTGAAATAAGGGAAAACATAAAAACGGTAAAACCAATGTAACGAAAATTTTATTAACTCACGGATACATAGAGAAATAAATATAACGTAAAATTATAAATCTCAAACTCTCTATAAGTTTGAAAATAAAGAAAGTGTAAGAAGTGATTTCAAATCGCGTTTATGGAAGAACGTGTATAACTACTGTGTATATGTGCAGGTGATTATAAAAATTGCCCAATTCATTATGCATATATGTACATATTTATATATATATATATAATTTTTTTTAAAACATAAACGAAAATAATAATCGATTTAAATTATGAATTAGACCATTTTTACGATTACCATTACATATAATTAAACAAGTGCATGATAAAACAAAATATTGAAGAAAACAAAAAGGTTTTTGAATAGATAAAAATAACGCGTTTGCTTTTTTTTCATTTTTACATTCATCTTCGAAGAAATTAAAATTCAATCTCTCTTTCTCTCTCTCTCTCTCTCTCTCTCTCTCTCTCTCTCTCTCTCTCTCTCTCTCTCTCTCTCTCTCTTTCTCTCTGTTTTTCTTTTGCTTTTTTCTTTTTTTTTTTTTTTTTTTTTTTTTTCACATAAGGTACTCCCGACGCCGTGACCAAAACAAATACGCCCTATTCTGCTTGTCGATGTATTCTGCTATTTTTGCGATTTCTTTGTACATTACCTCCTCCTGACCTTCCTTCGCTGCAATGTGCAATGCCGTGTGCATATCTTTTGTTGTTGTGTCAACGGCTGCACCGTGTTGCAATAGTAACATAACTATATCGATGTTACCCAATCTGGATGCGATGTGCAACGGTGTTTGTTGTTCCTACAAAAAGAGAATTAAATTTCTTCGGTTCACGGGAAGCCCAAACTTTTTTTATCCGTCTCGATTTAATCAATGAAAGAAAAATCTTCGATCAACGGATATTTGATTTACGTCATTTATATTATTTATTTCTTGAATACTTGGATAACACAGCGAAAATATTTTAAATAATGATATAACTGCACGTTAATGAAGCTAGAAAAGCATAAAAAAAAAAATTAAAAAAAATAAATAAATAAATGAAAAAAAGAATAAGAGAGGAAAAAAATTTATCTACGAATATATCCCAGACTGGTTAATGGACTCATGCGTTTAAGTTGAACGCGAACAAGTATGATTTAAATATGATCGATCATTTTCTATTTAAATGATTCTGCGTTTTCTTTCGACGTGACAAATTTCCTGTTGACTTAACGAATTAAAGATTTTCGAGATATAAACTTGTTTTGTTGTTTTACAAGAGGGAAAAAAGGAAAGATGAAAGACGAATAGATAGGAAAGGACGATTTGACTGATAGGAAAGGGAGGATCCCTTTTTTGGTTTACTTACCCTAGCACGTGCATCGACTTTGGCTCCATTTCTTAATAAAATTCGAATAATATCGGTTTGATTAGCTCTAGCTGCCAGGTGTAGGGGTGTTTCTCCCCTAACAGTTGGCACGTCGGGATTGGCTTCATGTTGTAGTAGGAATATCACGATATTCATGCATCCCATAAAACTGGCCACGTGTAAGGGAGTCAGTCCGGACTGTAAAATATATGTTATTTTCCATTAGGACATTTTCTTCAATTCCGATTCCACAAATCATTCGCTTAGACAAAGTTCCCTCTCTCTCTCTCTCTCTCTCTATCTTTCTTTTATTCTCCTTTCCCTATTTTCTATAATTCTCCGTCGTTTTCAGAAATAAACAGCATAGAAGGAGCACAGAATCCATATAAATGATCAGACTTTATATCCCGTCTTTCATCTCCAACTCGCACAATCCGTTAACCAGCCTTCCTATATTATTTCTTCATCTTCTCCATACTTCAATGTTAAATCATCATTTGAACGTAAAAGAAGAAGCAGCATGAAAAATATAGTGCAAACATTTTTGTAAATGAAGAAAGAAAGAAAGAAAGAAAAAAAAAGAAAAAGAAAATACTGGCTACGATCTCTTTTAGATTCTTTTGTTATTTTATTTGTTAATCTTTTTATTTTTCTTTTTTTCTTTTTTTTTTCTTTTTTCTTCTTTTTTTTTCTTTAGTGCAGATATATAAAGTATATATATTAATTTCGCGAATTGTATGCAAAAGTATATCGAAGATAAGATAATAAGAAATTGTCGAGAAACATCGATCGTTACCTCTGTTGTAGACTCGATCGATGCGCCATGTTTCAGCAATAACTCGACGACCTTTATACGATTCTTCTTGCAGGCGATGTGCAGAGGCGTAAAACCGTTTAAAGCTCGTGCATTTGGATCCGCCTTTCTATCCAAAAGCAATTTCGCGACTCTAACGTGGCCACAATGTGCAGCTACATGTAGCGAAGTTAAATAATCGATCGTCACTTCGTCCACTGGTGCACGATGATAGAGTAATGCCCTAGCAGCATCCACATGATCTCCTTGAGATGCCATATGCAAAGGTGCTAAACCATTCTATAAAAGAAAAATTCTGTTTTATTATCTCGCGATTTTAATAATCGATTTTAATTCCTTTTTTATTATTATTATTATTATTATTATTATTATTATTATTATTATTATTATTATTGAAAATTTTTGTGATAATTCACCTTTGTACGTGCACTGATTGGTGCTGAGTTTTCAAGAAGAGTGTTAACAACTTCCTCATGTCCAGATCGCGCAGCACAATGTAATGGAGTTAAACCATCTCTAGTTTTTGCATCTATTTGTGCCGAGTTCTCTAACAGGATTTTTACCATGTTATTTTTGCCCCATTTCGCTGCTACATGAAGAGGACTGATATTGTGCTGAAATTACAATATTTCAGTTGATGTAGGAAATGAGAAATAAGGTTACACAGACAAAGTTTTTTCTTCTCTCTCTCTTTTTTTTTTTTTTTTTTTTTTGAAGTTTCATACCTTTGCCAAATAGTTCACATCAGCGCCACGTTTAATTAACAAACGTGCTATCTCCTCGTTTCCATAATGAGCAGCAATGTGGAGAGGCGTGAAACCACTCTTAGATGTGACATCCGGCTTGTGGTCGTTCTAAGAAGTAACATTGCATTGGTCAATTAAAATATCCAATTAAAGCAACATAGATTTATAGACAAAGAGCAAAGTTCATTTGGTATTAATAATAATTCAAAGAAATATTGATTTATTTATAAAAGAAATTACCTGCAAAAGTAAATCGGCGGCTTTGCAATCGTCCTTTTTAGCGGCGATATGAAGTGCCGGTAGCCTAACTTTTCCCTTCGAATCATTTTCCAAAAGTACACTGACGACTTTGTCGTGGCCTTGCTGCATAGCCACAGCAAGCGGAGTGAATCCGTCCTAAAATTTAAAAGGAAACGAAATTCACATATGATAGAATTCTACAAATTTCTAACAATATCTTTAGCTTTACCTCCGTAGCGAGGCTTTGATTGGCTCCATTGCTAAGCAACAGCTTGACGACCTGATCGTGATTCTCTTGGGCCGCCATATATAATGGTGTGAATCCATTTTGCGATTGAATATTAACCGCAGAACCATATTGAATAAGAATACTAACTATTTCCGCTTGGCCAGCTAAATAATAATAATAATAAAAATAAGAATAAAAATAAGAATAAAAATAAGAATAACAAGAATAATAATAATAATTATTATTATAATAATAATAATAATAAAAGTAAAAGAAGAAATTATCAAATGTATTACTTATATCATAGTGAATAGAATCAATGACTGCATAGTTTACCTAAAGATGCTATGTGCAATGCGGTATTGCCTTTCTTTGTCGCAGCGTCGACCTTTGCACCTCTTTTCAAAAGTTCCGTCACTATTTCAACGTGTCCATCTTTCGATGCTAAATGCAAAGCGTTTAGACCGTTCTGCAAATTAATAAAACAATTGTCAATTAAATTAAATATTATTAGAAACATAGGAATTGATAGAATGTTATCGTAAATAGAATGAAATATTACCGAGTTGGCTGTATTGATATCTAGATCAGTGTCTAAATATTCGATGACTTTTTCGAGGTTCCCAGATCGAGCTGCGCGAAGAAATGCGGTTGTATCGTCAGCCTAAAAAAGAAAAATTAAATGGGGCTGATCAAAGCAGTTATTAAAAGAAAGAAAAAAAGGGGAAGAAGCAATCGAATTGAACTCATAACCTCGAGATTATTTATATTCTAGTATATTCTATTTTTGATCTAATTAAACTTCATCTCTTCTGTGAAATCTAGTTTACTGCAGTAGTGTCCCTTCCTGTTGTGTACATTAACGCTTCGATTACGATATTTATTTTCGTTATAGCTTAGAGAAATCGATTATTACAAGGTCTGAAGGGTGATAAAAGGATTAAAAAAAAAATGTATTTTTCATTCGTAGTCATCTAAGATACAAATTTTCTTTTATAAATTTTCTTTTGTAAATCGTAATTATTCTGTTATAGTTATTTCTTTGTGAAACTAACTATAACTTTGAAAAAAGAACATGCATGAAAAAGGGAGAAACGCGCGATGTGATATAATAGTATTGCACATTTATTTGACCATTTATAATGGCATCAAGTACATATTCACGTAAATACATATATATATATATGTACACACACATATATATATATATATATATATATATATATATATATATATATATATATATATATCTTTCAAGTATAATCCCTATACGCGCGGAAGAATTCATTCATTGGAACTTAGCGATGTATTATAGTTACGAACAGAATCATACAAATCACATGTTTCTATCGGTACGCATAACTCAATGTAATATATAATTTTTTGTCTAGATTGTATGTATGTATGTCCATATAAAAACATTAATTGTTTATTTAAACTGTGACAATTTAAGTCTAACGCAATTCTTGTAATATAATATTATTAAAAAAAAAAATAAACAAAAATTTTTTTTTAAATAATTAAGATCATTACCACTTATAAAAATCAAAAATTGAACTACTTACTATTATCATTATCGAAGCAATTCGACCAATTTATCCTTATTGAAAAAATTCTAATTAACTGTTTATAAAAAGGATAGACACATTAAAAAAAAAAAAAAAAGAAAAGAAGAATAGAGAAAAAAGAAAGAGAAAAAAAAATTCCAAAGTAACATGGGTAAAAATAGTAGTCAATATCTAACACTCGATGCCGCACGAAAATGCCGCTCTGATAGTACGACCTTCGCACACTCGCTCCCCAAATCGTATCATGTACGCATCCCCATACCCCACCTCAGACCCGCCATATCACCCAACACCCTTCTAAACGTCGTCGAATTTAACGAAGGGATTTCTTTCTAGTATATCCTTTTTTAATCCACCGACCAAAGTATCGATAGAATAATGATATTTTACATAATTACTTGTTTGAACGATGATTATGATATTCTTTTTTTTCTCTCTCTCTCTCTCCCCCCCTCTCTCTCTCTCTCTCTCTCTCTCTTTCTCTCTCTTTCTCTCCATAACTTTTAGCATCGAATTAATCTCGTATTGCTAAAGAGAAAAGAAGGCACCAGTACGTTTCGACAAAACGATAGAATACGAGAAATCCTTTAATCATAGATTATTAACGAAACACTTGGAAATGTCCTACCTGATTCGTACTGTCCGTGACCATGATGTCGTAGCCGGAGAACCGGGAGACGTCTTTGACGATGTTCTCTCTCCGGCTCGACGAGGGGATCGTGAATCGAGGGTGAAAAAAATGACTACCCTCGTAGAGAGGCCCGCGTCAATCCACCATTCGTGAAGCCGCCCGGGAAAGGTAACGCCAGAAGTACGGAACGAACGAACGGCCGAGGAGGGTGAGTTGGAGTAAGAGAAAGAGAGAAGGAGAGAGTGAGAGAAGGAGAGAGAGAGAGAGAGAGAGAGAGAGAAGGAGGAAGAGGGAGAGAGAGGGAGAAAGAACATAACGCTAGATAGGAGCCGCCCTTGTACGTTCATATAAAGCGCAGACTCGAACTACAACGATTCATGTATGAACAGAGGGGATGTTAGTATCGGTAATAATAGTAGTGGTAGTAGCAATAGTAATAGTAGTGGTAGTCATGGTGGTGGTGGTGGTGGTGGTGGTAGTGGTGATTGGCGGGGAAGTATCGTTTTTCTTGCTCCTTTACGTTACTCTTTTCTCTTTCCACTTTTCTTGCTAACCTTTCATTCCTCCTCATTCGTTCGACGCGCATAACTTCCGCGTTAGATCAGATCCGGTGATTCGAAAAAACCCGGTTTTTCATTTTTTGTATTCTTTCAATTTAAACTATTTGTAATTCCTAATTCGAAGACCGTTTTAACGCATGTTCCATGATATTATTTCGTTATATATATTTTAGAAAAATATAAAGATGACGATACTAATCGTTTGTTTGATTATAATAATATAATAAATAAAGAAATAACAAAATCAACCGATACTTTTTAAATACAATCATTTACCCCATTATATTTATACTATTTCACTTCTATGCTTTAGATATATTTCCTATCTATTGATTTGATTAATCCAATATGAAGTATATTCAATGTTTCGTTTTTTAAATGACAAATTTAAAAATATAGATTAAGGAAGATTCATCACGTTTATTCTTATTCAAAAGTCGAGCCCTTAGGCGCCTTCTATTATATAGCTTTTAGCAAAACAAATAAGAAAGAACTGATGGTCATTAAAAAACCATGGAAGAAATCATATTGATTAAGAATTATATTGTGGATTCTATTTTTTTTTTCTTTTTTTTTCTATAGAATCGATCATTCATCATCATTCCTAGATTTAGATCGAAGGATCTAACTTTTTATTAAAACTTTCATCAAACTTTTTACCTTTAGCCATATCACCTTCTACATATGCACCCACATAAATAATAATTGTATCGTTAGAACAATTTCATTTGATTTGCAAACTCCGACGAAATTCGAAGAAGCAGGATAAATGCGCGTTCCATCGATCGCATTGGTCATTTCAAGGGGGACAACCAACAGCAATGACGTGAGGATACGGTAGGAAGTAGTAGTGGGAAATGAGTCAGACCTTTGGCAGTAACACGTTGTTATGCGTCGGCGTCCTAAATCGGTTTGTTGTATGGCGGGCTAGAAAGCGTCACCTGTAACACACATAGTGTGTCTGCCCTCTTGGCGGCATATATGACGATCAATAAAACACCTCACCGTAATCTCTCTCTCTCTTTTTCTCTCTCTGTCTCTCTCTCTCTCTCTCTTTCTCTCTTACGTGCTAATCAACATTGGAGTAAGGAGAACACGAATGCAAAACCCTCTATACAAAGCGTTGCGTGTAAAATGCACCTTCCACACGACGATCTTTTCTTTCAAGGCTTTCATCACTCATACCACCTTAAACTTACCCTTCTCCGTCGTATTATCGTCCCTTTAAATCATCCCTTTTCTTAATCTTCTTTATTTCCTCTTTTTATTTTTATTTTTTTTTTTTCTTTTCTTGGTGCAATATCGTGTTATTCCATACAATAATAATTAATATTTAATCATCTTTAATAAAAGGAGAATTTGTTTTATTAATTACGAAAGAGGAATATATTCGTTTTTAAAGATTTTTATCGATTATCGCAATTTAAATCTCGCGCTCTTCGACAAGTCATTGTTGCCAATCACCAGAAGTGCCGCCAAAGTTAAATCGAATATTTTATTGCGTACCTTATAATTATTTTGATTGTTTTATTTAAATGCATATTCAATTCGAGTTCTGTTTTATTAATGAATTTTATAAATTTGAAATATGTCAAATCTACAACATATTAATTAGAATGACGTAACATTTTGCAGACATTTTTTGAAGAAAATTGTTAAATAATCAAATAAAATATTAAATCTTATTATATAAATAAAATGTTATCGTATATTTATTATATAAATAATATGTATATTTTATTATATATATAAAATGTTATTATCTTCGTAGAAATGAAATGAAAAGAATGTTCAATAGCAATGTCCAGATTATAATAAAAAAATTTTTTTTTTCTTTTTTTCCTTTAGTTTTAATAACGAACTTAACAAATGTTAAAAGAAATACAAAAGAGAGAACAAAATTTTGGACTATTTATAAACATAGAAAAATAGAATTCTCAGGCAGTAACGCTTTACATAAATTATATGAATAAATACAAGGCACGTGATCGAGTTGCGTCAATTACGTAAAAATAAAAATATTCGAGAAGTTCCCTTAGACGATTAAAGGGTCTTTTGTTTAATCCGAATCATGTGCTTTTTGTCCTTTTGTTTTTTACTTCCTTCATTAGATTAATAAAGCGACAAATAAATAAATAAACAAATAAATAATATAGGCTAGGACGCGTACAAAATCGCACGACTAATAAACTTTTCAACGTTTTTTTATGAAATAAATAGAGGTTAATAAATGAAAATCTCTCATGACTTTTGACCTTGAAACATTAGATATTGTTTTCGATTAATATTTACCTGAAGCCTAATAATGGGTAGAAACTCAGCCTCAGTCGTCATTCCTAAATAATAAACTGTGTACTTAGTTTGACAAAACTTGATGTGTACGTATGTATTATACTCTCCATGCTGAAGACGTAGGTCATCGGATATTTATAGAATTTCTTGTTATCCTCACATCATCTTCTTCTCTATGCTTTTACAAAAGATATTTACATAACTCGGATATATTATTTTAATCGTTTGTAAACCCATGAACGATTAAATATTTTTTATAATTTTTCATTCACACTTCAATCATTTCATCGTCCAAGAAATGACGTGTTCTCAATTTTTCAATTTATCTTAAAAACTTCAATAAAATCATATACTTTTTTTTGCATACACATAGGTATATACATAAATGTAAAGGTGCATTATTATTAACTATACTATTTCTATTAATTCGTATTATATCGTTCATTCGATCTGTTTAGATTATGAATTTTATCAAACGTATTAACGACAATTATTTGAACTGTGAATACTATCGCAGGTGAACCGATTTTTTAAATATTATTTCAATTTATTTCTAATTGGTTGCATGTTCTTATTATACAGATTATAAGCAATATGATTATTTGCGGAATCGTATTTTTTTGGAGAGCTTATTTTTTAAATAAAATTATTATAAAAAGAAATACTTTAATAATACGTAGAAAGAACATTTCAAAATAATTGGCGTTAAATTAACGATTGGCAACACTGCTTTTTAGGCGCCAAATTACGTTAAAATAAAATATTAATATTTGTCGTTATTTTATTTATTGTTGATTTATTGACTATACCGTGATAAATTATTTAAATTATTTTTTATATTAGGAACTAATTGACGTGCTGAATGAAGCCTCAAAAGCATTTATAAATAAAGAATACCAAACAGCTTATAATAAATATAAAGTGGCATTACAATTATTTGGAAACTTAAATCTAAATGTAGGTTATCAAAAAATTTATATTGGTATAGATATTAATATATAATACCATTATATAAATATTATATTTATTATATATGATTTCAGGTAAAAGATAGTATTCAAAATACAATAGAATACGTATTATGTATAATTTTATTACAGTCCGATACATTCCACAATATAATAGAAGCATTAAACATTCTTATGAATTTAGAAGATACTATTGGAGAAGTCTATCCAGCTGTTTATTATGCCATAGCAAAAGCATATATTAAATTATATAGGTAACATGCACATACACTTTTAATACATTTAATTAAAAATGTTGCAGTATCTAATAGAATTTTTATGTTTAGGTTTAATTTTGCTATGAATACAATTAACAAGGGACTCGCTATTTTAAATGAAGAAACATATTTTTCAACCCAGTATATACCCATGACGTCTATTATTATAAATGAAACTACAAGAGAAGGTTTATTGGTATGATTTTTGTAAATGTTTTAATAAAAATGTGTTAAGAGGAAAAAGATTTATACAGTATATCTAAACATTATATGTATTATTTATTGCTCATTCATACTTTATAAAGACATTGCTATAATATTAAAATGATATTTCATATTGTACCAATAGATTTCATTAATGGATTTACAAGAAAAAGCTTCGAGTTGGCATTGTCCAAATGCAAAATGTTTCTTAGAGAACTGTCAAAATAATATTCCATATTGTTCACCATGTAGAGATATATTTTTCAGGTAAATGTATCCATCACATCGCATACATAAGTATACATAATTATAAATTTCTTTTCTTTTATCTATTTACAGTGACCCAACTTTTTCTGGCTTAATTACTATCACATGTAGCAATTCAAGTAATCCTTGTAAATTAAACTTTCATCCAATTTGTTGGAAATTTCAAAAAAACAAACTACATATAGAAAACAAGCTTTCAGATATGGTAATAAATATATCATATATTATGCGCTTTTATTACACATATCTTTAATAATATATCTTTAAATAGGATATGATAGGTCGCTCATGTTTTACATCAAACTGTGGAACTAAAGATAAAAATGTTATAACAAAAATTGAAATATTAAACGATAATGCCAAAGTAGTATCAGTTATTGAGAATTCCTCATTATCGATGCTATTAGTATCTGATTCTCCAGTTAATGGCGCTATTAAAAAACATGTATGAATATGATTATTAATTTTAATACTCATTTCTATAAATTTTTAATGTCAAGCATTCTTTATTCTATTTTTATATATTTATTTTTATTATAATATAGCGTTTTATAAAGCCAATTCCAAAACTTAGAAGACCAAACTTTCTCCCCCTTCGTAACACACAAGAAGAATGCATCAAGCCATTTAAAGAAATGTAAGAAATTTACAATATTGAAAATATGTATAACTTAAATAAAACATTCAAATATTTTATTGTAACAATAATTATATTTTAATAATATTTCTTCTGATATATTTACAGATCGGAAAAAGAAATGAAATTAATGAAACTAATACAATTGCGAGAAAATAATTTTGGTATTCCACGTGAAAATGTAAGATTGTATTTGTAGTTTATATCAATGTATACAAACAAATGTTACTTATCTTTTATAAATTACATGTACCTTTTCTTTTTACAAAAGTTAGAAGCAGACAAAGACATGTTTAATAATGAGGATATAAATAGCACAAATATTCTGTCAGAATGTGAGCCTGAAAATATTGATTCAGAAACAATACAGCAGTGTCGTTTCTTATCAGAGTGAGTAAATCACATTAAAAATAAACTAATAATAATGACTATCATTATTTTGTTTAAACTTAATAAATATTTTGTATAAATATTTTATATATTTTTTATTAGGATTATGTATGAATTTATTAAAGTAAATTTAATAGTTCATAAAAACAAACTATTATCAAAGTGGCATGAAACAAAAGAAATTATGGAATATATTACAAAAACAGATGAATATTTAGGTGAATAATTTAATTTTTAGTAGATAATCCTTACAATATTATGTTATATTATGTTAATTTATAATTTTTATTTAAAATTTGTATCTTTATTATTTCATTTTTTAGATTCAGATATATTGAATTTCTTGCTTAAATCCCCAAAACTTATTAGAATTGGAGATTATATCTGTGTTCCACAAGCTATTCAACAAATGTTTCACTTATTTGAAAATGAAATAACTAAACAATACAAATTAATATTGGAAAATGAAACTAATGAATATAAAGATACCACATCAACAGGTATAATCAATTGTAATTATATGAGTAATCTAAGTTTCATTAATATAAAAAATGAAACAACTAATGTTATACTAAAAATTGATTTGCAGATAATGAAAATATTTTACATAAAGAGTGTGTTACTAATGATGACAGTAAAACTAATCAGGTCTATACATATACATTTAAAAAACAAAAAATTTATTTCTTATTTTCGTTATATTTTAAATATATCTTCTTAATTAATATTGAGCATGTAATTAATCTTATTATAAATTATAAATATTAATCTTATTATAAATTTTAGAGTCCTCAAAAGCTGCTTAGTTTAATAAATGATGTCTTTGAAGATAATAATGTTGACGAAGATAATAATATTTATCAGAATGACAATACTTGCGAGTCATCTGCAACTTCTTTAGATAGCTGTTCAACAAATGAAACAGAAATAAATTCAATATGTAAAAGTGAGAATGAATTTGTTTTAAAGCCCAATAATGAATGTTTTGATGTAAATAATTCCAAAGAAGATGATGATTATGAACAATCAATCTTTTACAAGGAAGATAAATCCTTTAATTATAATAATGATATAACTGACAAAGATAATTGTACTAATATAGTATATGATGATACAAACACCTCACAAAGTTCTACAAAAAATCCCTTCTTGGAAGAAAATATGACTAATAATTCAATAAAAAATATATTTATTCAAGATTTCGAACAATTAACAAATGATGTAAGCTCTTAAATTTATTCAAATTATTCCTAAATTCAAATTTTGTTATATTCATTTTTTAATTCTCCAGGAACTATTGTCACCACCGGCACTCCAAGATAAATATAAACTACTAGCATATAATTATTTCGTAACAGTACAGAATTTTGCTAAACTTTCAAAAGAAAAAACGGACATGGAAGATAGTTTTAAGTTAAAACTAAAGGAGAAAGATTCCATTATGAAAACTGTTATTGAAGAACGTAAAATATTAATTGATAGACTGAATTCATATGAATCGCATATTTCGGAAAAAGTATCTGATAACTATGATGAATTAAATGCGGATATATTAAAATTAAAATCAAACATAAATCGATTGGAACAAGAAAAAAAGGATGATGAATGTAATTTTAAACTACTGATAGAAGAGAAAAATACCATAGAAAAAATATTACGAGAAGAAAATGCACAATTACTTAAGAATGTAAAAGAATATGAAGCTGAAATAAATAAGAAAAATGAGGAACTAAAGTAAATATTTAAAATTTGTTTAATTATAGATAACTAATTATATTTATATTACCTAATTATAGATATAATATAATAATTATATATATGAAATTTTTTATTCTCTAGTATTCTTCAAGATAATGATTTAAGATGGAAAAAATCATTTTTGCAAAAATCATTAGAATCGCAATACTATTCCAACAAAAATATGTTAATGAAGTAAGTAGATATATAATTTTATATATATTTACACATTGAAAAAAAAAATATAAGTAAAACGTATATTTATTTAATATAGTGGCATTGACTATTGCAATTTATCATTAGACATCATAAATAGATTAAATTCTTTGATTAAAAAATATATTGGAATGCATATCATTCCAGACTATATTGAATGGTCATTTACACTAAACCAATTCTTGAAATTGTCTTCAGAATGTGAGGTACAGTATAGTAAATTTTATAATGTTTGTTTCAATATATCAACAATAATCAAACAAACCAATAATATCTATAATATTGAATTTATTGTAATTATATGATTGACATACTTTTCTATTGATTAATTTGTAATAGGCGGAGTTTTTAAAATGTATATCTGTGCTAAAATCAAAAACAGAAGGTCAAAAATTGGATGAGATAAATATGACTTCTATAAATCTACCTAAATATCCGAACAAATCTTTATCTACCATCGTATGCAATGTTTTCATGGCATTAGATAAACACATAACAGAAATTTCAGCACAGAATTTATCAATAATGTTACCGTCATCATTATCGTTGAATTCTCTATCAAAATTAGAAAAATTTTCTAATAATGGCAAAATTATTGAAAAGAATTCTAATGTCAACTTGTTTAAGACAGAAGATAAATTTAATAAGCATACAGAGAATAAATTTCAAAATATTTTAAAGAAGCCTGGTAAAATTTTGACATAAATCTATAAATGCAACTTAATAGGATACATATAACAATACAATAAGAAAGTAAATATATTATACTTTATAAATTTTTTACAGATTTAAATGAAAAGAATAATGAAGCTGTTCAATGTCATTTAGAATGTATTGACAATAACAAAGTAGGAAATTCTACATTAGAAACAAATATAAATGAACATAATAATCAAATTGATGGAATTTTAGAGGATGTTGATAATAAAGCAAAATCAGAAATTGCAGAAAGTAAAAATTTTCCATATGATATTACTAACAATGAACTGCTAGAAACCTGTGATAATAATAAATTAGAATCAACTAGTATATCTAATGAAACAGACCATAAATTATTAATGGAAGAAGTAGATTCCATTGAACAAAAAAACCAGAAAACGGAAGATATAACAAAAGAAAATAATACAAATATTGACGAAAACAACAAAGAAACTTCGATTAACTCTACAGATGAATTAATGAATATACTGCGGAGCAAATATACAGGAATATCTGAGTATGTATATATTATCTAAAACTTAAACAATAATTGAAAATACTTTTAATAATCATAATAATTCAGAATTTCCATATAATTAACATACTATCTTTTTGTTCATGCAGTCAATCCCTTTTGGAAAGTTTGAATGATCTCCAAAAATTTCATAAAAAAAAATCGCTAACAGATATACCTTTAAACATAATTATCCAGGATGTACAAAAGTATATTTTATTGCATCAAATAAATCGTAAATAAAACTATTAAATCTTATTATGTAAATATTATATATTATTTGTAAATATATTTTTATATTACAGATTTATGCGCTTACGTTGAAACAAAGGAAAATATAAAAAATACAATATAAACATTATAAACATAAATAATATATATTTCAATGTATTAAAGAATGGTTTCAACAAGATCAATCATATCCAATATATCATATTCATTGCAAAATTGATGAAGAGTATCCTCCTTTACCTTGAAAACAAACATGAATTTTTATGATAAAAAAATAATAATATCAGATTAAAATAAGTAAACCTTATAAAATGTTAGTAAAGAAATGTATAAAAATGCGTTTTCTTATATTTTCTATGGATGTAAATATATTTTATATTGACACTTATTTAATTTTTAAAAATATAGTTCCTATATAAAGATATATAATATTGTTAAAATTTATTTATACGATTTGTGCAATGGTTATGATTAAGACTTATTATTTTAAGTTACCTAAGTCCACCAAAAACTAACTGAAAAACTTGGTGTAAGTGCAGTTACATGATGCCACCATTTCGGTGGAATATATAACATCTCTCCTGGTCCTAAATAACACATAAAACCTTTGGCTTTTTTAAAATCTGGCCATTTTATATAATCAGGTTTAAGGGGATCTACTTGTGCTGTATTATAAAGTAATTTGGTATCATAGGGATATAAATTTATAGAATCAGATGGATCGTATAAAAATATTCTTTTATAACCAAAAACCTAAACATAACAATGTTAAGTATAAGTAATAGAATTGCAATAATAAATACGTATATATCCCATACCTGACACAATAAGTTATTTTTGATATCAAAATGTAGTGGTGATACAGTTCCAGCTGGTCCAAACCAAGCATTTATATCTGGTGGTTCAACTTCTACATTTTCTTTATCAGAAAAAGAACAGTAATCTGGTACAACTATATCATTTTTTAGTTCTGGTATCTGTTAATAATTAAATAAAAAGTTTATAAAAATATAACAACAAGATAATATGTATTATGTTATCACATTACATGTATATAGTTTCTTATTACACAGTAATTAACATAATTAGCAATATTTCTTGTTCCAAATAATACCTGATCAAAAAGTTGATGTTGAGCCAAATAACCAACTTTTTGAGTATTCTTAATTATATGAGATTGTAAAAATTCTGAAAATATAATCAAATCTTGGCTCCAATCTTCCTCGGTGTAACGAGATCCTATTTCAATAGGTACAGTGCGACTTCCAGCAATCTTATTTAGATAATCGATATCTTGCCACAAATGTAAAGCATTCCAATGTTTCATAGAATCTAGAATTTTTGATAGAGATATATATACATATATATATATATATATTCATTCCTTATTTTCTCTCTCTCTCTCTCTCTCTCTCTCTCTCTCTCTCTCTCTCTCTCTCTCTCTCTCTCTATCTCTCTATTTACTTAGACTATTAAAACGAAATTATTAGTTACCTGTTATTACGGCTGGAATTTTTGGTATAAAAATGTCTTTATAAAATGATTCCATAGAAGGTATGCTATATCGATTAACTTGTAAAAATTCAGGTAGTAATGATTGAGAAACTTTACTGTAATCTATTTCTATTTTTTTTGCAGTAAGTGTTCTGACGAATTCTACAATAAGTACATTGTATACTTTTAATATGATAATTATTTTGATATCAAAAACTATTTCTTCAATAAATAATGACACTTACTATTATAGTAATTATTTATTTTTGAAGCAATCGATGTAAGTAATAACGGCTTACTCGGTAAAGGAGCACCTAATAGAATACCTTTATCAATTTGTTGAATAATTTCTTGTAAAACTTGTATTTCTGTATCTGTAGATTTTTCTTTGTTATGTTCATGTTCAATTTCTAGCAATATTACCTAAAAACATTAATAGACATTAAAATATACATTATTATAATATAAATCATCGTACTACTAAGTCTGTTCTATACCTTTAAAAGACTACAAAAAGAATAACTATATCTGTACGATAGTGGAACATCTTTCCAATGGCCTGAATTCAGCATTTGCCATGTACGATCTAAACAAGCTTCTATTCTAATTAAAGAATTATTTATCCATTTTGTTGTCCTCTCGCTTTAATAAAAATACGATATATTAATAAGAATATTTATAAATCGTTACCAGTATAAAATAATGCAATTATATATTTACAATTTTTGCATGCTAATTTTTTGTAATACATCAATTATAGATGCTAGATGTACTTCTATTTCAGTTGGTAAATATTTCAAATCTTCTTTTAATAATGTCCAATCTATTAATTCAGTCGTTAAACATTCAGCCTCAAAAGCCATTTTAGTATGCTCTATTGTGCTTTCTGAAATTGGCATAGGGGTCCAAAATTATGAACTATATTAATTTAAAAATAAATGCATTTAACTATGATGAATAAACTTTGTTATACAAAGATTTATTTAAACATGGCCACCGTACAATTACATGATCTACCAAGTAATATAAAATTTTTCCTGTTAACGAAAATGTTTTAACTCTACAAAAACTTTCTATAAACACAGTAGTGATATTAAGAACATAGAATATCTTGAATACAAGTGCTATAATACATAAAGGAACACAAGTCCCTGGACCATTACATAAAAGTAATTCTGGCTTTTCAGACCATAAAAGAGATACAGCTTCTAATGTCGCTATAATAGTTGTCCATACAGAAGAAATATACGACTGTCCAACTCTCTGCTTCTAGTAATCTTTATTATTCTATAATCATTTCTTTTTCCTTCTATATCTTTTACTTTTTCTATACTAATTTTGTCAGTAAAAGCACAAACATATATTCTAGGTGTATAATTTTCATAATTCATATGTTTAACAATTCGTAACATTTCTGCTGTATGTCCTCCTGATCCTAAAATTATCATAGTTTTTGCAGATGTTTCTCTGAAATTTCTCACTGCTATTCTTCCACTTTTCATGAATATTAAAAATAAAATTCTTACAATAATGATCATGAGACATGTAATTAAAAAAAAATATATATGTGATAAGATCATTTTGTCCTTTTGTTATCTGAAACAAATTATATTTGATAAAATATAACTTTTACATTATTATTATAGATACATAGATATAGATATACAAACAATAAATCTTTAAATCCTTAATCCATAAAATTAGGATTTCCAGGTGATAATTAATTGAAAGTTGTGTTTAGATATATAATTCAGATGATTAATAGACATACAAATCTTTCATGTGTGGAAAAATCTTTCATTGTGATAATATAAAGACAATGGCAAATGCCGAAAAATGCTGATATATAAAAAGTGAGTATTTGTTAAAGAGAAAGAAAAAAAATGAACGGAGATAAGAATGATTGACTCCACAAGGCAACTTTGTACATGTTTCTGATCACCCTTGTTGATACATTACATTTTGTTGATACGTTCCTGAGTAACCTCAGTACCTGCGCATGCTTAATCTACGTAGGTCACGTGACATGCCCCTCCACTTCTCCCCGCGCCATTAACGGTTTTGAATTCTCGGAATTCCTCATCCATGGGCACTTCGACGTTGGCCGTGCTGTTGGGTGCAACGGAAGGGGGGAGATTACTTATTGATGAGATTCGCGTGTGTGACCGGTCCCCGCTTCGTTATATTCGTAAATATATCATGGGTGTAGATTGCATTATCAATTTAAATATTATTTTATAAATTATCTACGAGAAAGGGTGAACGGTGGTTCGCAGAGTGCACATCCTGGAGGCTCGTATCTTCGGACCAGCAGTAGGTGAATAAAACGCGTTCTACTAGGCACGAAGAAAACGTCTTTTATTCCCCTACTCTTTCTCTTTCCGCTTATCTATTTACGCGTTATCGGTGTACGTCATTCTGTATGCTCTTAGGATCTGCTCTCTGTAAGATTTGATATTTTCTTCCTTCGCGCATTAAGATTTACAAATAGAATATTTTATTGGAAGAAATTTTCATTACGATAATCGAAATATTTCAATAGTAACTTTGTAAGTATTTATCGATATACGGAAAGGTAATTCGATATATTTGGAACTTTTCTTCGATCAATGTGCAAAATTTAAAAGCGTCAAGAATTCATTTTTTTAAGACCGCTCATCAGCTTTTCCAAGCTTCTTTCCGATACCATTGTTCTCTTAATAATATATATTTCGCTATAATATTTTGTTTTTATCAAGTTATATACACGTTCTATCGTTCTTTTGTTTGTTATAATGAATATTTTTTCAAGAGGTTATGTTTCATATGATTTTCGTGATTATCGATCGATAGATTATCTTTCGTAAAAGTATTTATATAACGTGTTTATATTTGGCATATTATATTTAATGTCGTAACAATGGCGCTTCGAATAATGTATACAATTTTTGTTAAAGAATCTGTTCTTTATAAAAAAATTTGTAACAATGTATATAAACCTCTGAAACGCAATACTTTTAATATTTATTACAATTAATATTTATTATTGTTATCTGTTATAATATCTTTTATAGTAATATTTTTTACTAGGGTCCTCAGAGCCAAAAATTGAAATTACTGCTTCCAAAATGTCCCTTTGGGCAAAAGCACAGCAATTACCACAAGAAGCGTTACAACAAGTACGCTCTGTTTATGGTGAACATTTTCCGATTGAAGTTCGACATTTCTTATCATCTTGGATTGAAGATAAAATGTGGTAAGAAATAGCAAAGAATTTCTTAATATTTTTAAAAACAAATACTTTATACATAGTTTTTTTTATATTGCAGGACTGATATAGAACCTGACAATCCACAGTATGAACAATATATAGCTAATCTAGTTGCGTCTCTAATACAAGAATTAGAGACAAAAGCAGCTTCTTTAAACACTGAAGATTTATTTTTAACAAAATTAAAGCTAATGGAAGCTGCCAAAACTTTCAGAGTAACTATAAATTTTTCTTTTTAATTTATTATGTGTATATTACATTAATATTTAAAATGTAACTATCATTTAATTATTTTTCATTACTTTATAACAGCAAAGATATAGCCAAAATCCGGCTACACTATTTAAAATAATTAGACATTGCCTAGGAACAGAAATGAAACTTGTAGCTCAAGTTGAGAATTTAGGAGGTCTTATGAATATGGCAGCGGGTAGAGTTGGTTTAATGGTAGGAGATGCTGTGGCAGAAATAGCACAACAAGTTGAAGTATTACGACGCAAAACGCAAGAAACTGGAGAAGATTTGCGTAAAATGGAACAAGAACAGGAGGCCTTTGCCATTAGTTATCATGAATGCACAAAATTAAATGCTCATTTACAGCATCTCGCCACTCAACCACAAAATCAGCAAAGTTTAGACTTGGAGAAAAAGATTAGGCGGTATTACATAAATTAAATTGTATTAATGTGTGAATTATCAAATTCAGTAATTTATATTGATTATACTTTTATACATATCACAGACAAAAAGAGCAACAAGAACAATTATTGAATCACAAAGTTACGGGTTTAATGCAGTTACGCTTGACGTTGGCAGATAAATTGAAGGATACTATTGCCAGACTGAATACTTTACAATCAAGAGTTCTTGATGATGAATTGATTAGGTAAATATATTACGAACATATATATATATATATATATATATATATATATATATATATATATATATATATACACATATACATACGATTTGTTATCATGTAATTAACTATGTAACTTAGGTGGAAAAGGGATCAACAATTAGCTGGAAACGGAGCTCCGTTTAACAGTAATTTAGATTCTATTCAGGAATGGTGTGAAAGTCTTGCAGAATTAATATGGCTTAATCGGCAACAGATTAAAGAAGCAGAACTTTTAAAACAAAAATTTGCACTGGATCCTCCAGGAATACAAGATATTCTTCCTACCTTAAATTCACAGATCACACAACTTCTTAGTTCCTTAGTCACTAGTACATTTATCATAGAGAAACAGCCACCGCAAGTGATGAAAACTAATACTCGTTTTACAAGTACAGTACGTCTTCTAGTGGGAGGAAAATTAAATGTTCATATGACACCGCCTCAGGTAAAAGTAAGCATAATTAGTGAAGTACAAGCAAATGCTCAATTAAAAAATGGGAAAATGGCAAAATGTGGAGAAGCTAGTGGTGAAATTTTAAATAACAGTGGAACTATGGAATATCATCAAGTAAGATTGATAGTTATTTGGAGGTTTCGTATTTTCTGTAAATTCAACTAATATAAATAATTTTAATAACATGTGATTTCCCTTTTAGGCAACACGACAATTGTCAGTAAGTTTTCGAAATATGCAGTTAAAAAAGATTAAAAGAGCCGAAAAGAAGGGTACAGAATCAGTTATGGATGAGAAATTTTCACTTCTATTTCAATCGCAATTTAGTGTTGGTGGCGGTGAATTAGTATTTCAAGTGTGGACTTTAAGTTTACCAGTCGTAGTAATTGTACATGGAAATCAAGAACCTCATGCATGGGCTACAGTTACATGGGACAATGCTTTTGCAGAACCTGGAAGAATTCCTTTTGTGGTACCTGACAAAGTACCATGGGGACAAGTAGCTGAAGCATTAAATGTTAAATTCAGATCAGCTACAGGAAGATCTTTAACAGACGATAATCTCCATTTTCTTGCGGAAAAAGCATTTCGAGGCGGAAATACAGGTGGTCAGGAATACTCTAGTTTACTTCTCAGTTGGGCTCAGTTCTGCAAAGAACCTTTGCCAGAAAGAAATTTTACATTTTGGGAATGGTTCTACGCTGTTATGAAATTAACAAGAGAGCATTTAAGGAGTCCCTGGATAGATGGCTATATTCTTGGATTTGTCAGAAAAAAACAGGCAGAAGAAATGTTAGCTAACTGTCCATCAGGGACATTCTTAATGCGTTTCTCAGATTCAGAACTTGGAGGAGTTACTATCGCTTGGGTTGGAGGTAATACATTATATAAATAACATGATATCGAAAACATTTTATACAAATTTCATACTGATATCAAAATAAGATTAGGAAAAGATTAATTTATATTATATATTTATTACACGTATTTACGGATTTATTTTTATCTATACTTTATTATTATTATTATTATTTTTTTGTTTTGTTTTTTTTTTTTTTTTTAGATCAAACAGAAGTCTTTATGCTTCAACCATTTACAAGCAAGGACTTTGCAATTCGTAGTTTAGCAGATCGAGTTTCTGATTTACAGCATCTATTATATCTGTATCCCGACTTATCGAAAGATCATGCTTTTTCCAAATATTATACACCAGAAAACCGATCGACATCGATAAATGGATATGTCAAACCATTGTTAGTGACACATGTACCTGGATGGGGTGGTCCAGTTATAGGAGGTCAAACGCCTTCTCATTCATCAGTGGTTGGTGTTGGTAATAGCAGTCAAAGTGGTCCAGGTGGAAGTTATCCTGCTACTCCTTCTACTATATTCCAAGCACATAGCCCTGACCCATCCGTAACACGTGATACTCCATCTGTTGCTTCCAGGTCAGTTCCCTGGATATAATGTATTTAAAATGGAGGTTTGGTTTCATGAAAGATACTGACATAGATATTTCATAGAAGATGCGCAAAGTTAAATTTAACCATAGTCGTTAATAAATATTTTGTATATTGAGACTGAATCTCAGATATTCTGAACTTATATTAATATACAGAGAGAGTTATTTAACGTGTATGAAATAGATTTCTTGTTTTTAAAGGTAATAGAAACTCTTAAGAATCAAATGGCATACAAATTATTATCTTTAAGTTTTCTTTTTTTATGCCACACAATTTTGTTCTTAAGAGTTTTCATTATTTTTAAATGCATAAAAAATATTTCAAATACAAATGTTAAGTGATCCGTCCTGTATATAGATATATACGGTACTTATGATTGAAATTAATTCTAGATCTATTAGAAGTATATGAAAAAACTTCGTATACTAGTTTTACTTGATTTAAAAAGAGAAGTATATCAGTGGAATTAAATTTTTTATATAATCATTAGTTGCAGAGATATCAACTGGTTTTTTTTTTTTTTTTTTTTTTATATAGAGTAGAGTAGAGTAATAATGACACAAAAATTATTAAATATAGCCAATGATTTTGATTTGAAATATATGTATGTATCAATTTTACATATTAATTATGCAAAATGTAATGAACTGTGAATTGTTATAAGTTGTTACATTTTAATCGTAAATAAAAAGTAGCGATTAAATTTAATTCTTAAATTATTATTTGATTTTATTTCTTCTAGATGACTAAAACAAGGTGCTTGTTCTATATACCTTGTTGAATAATATTAATATACAATTAAATTTACAAGATCCAAAGATGAGATCTGCAAGTGAAAGTTTTACAAGAAATTCATATGCACTGTTATACTTTTCCCTCTTTAAACCAAGTAACTTTTGTATAAAAGGATTTTTTGTATTTTTCTAATAGCTTAAGAACCAATTGAACATACTGTATCGTAAATATATGCTTCTAATAAGAAGAAATAATATTTCATAAAGACTGCATAAAAATTTAATATTTTATCAAGATTCTTCTTTTTTTATACAATTAAATTGATATATGAAAGCCAATTATATTGTATATGGTGGTGTGTGTAAAGAAATTCAAATTTTCTGATTTTTACTTTAGTGTTATCATGGAAAAAAAAAAGGTTCATGAAAATAATTATTAGATATTCTTAGGAACAAATTGATGATATGTGTGATACATTGAATAGAAGAATTAAGCAATTCGATTGAAAGAAAACATATGACATTCCTATGAATATTACTTTGCATATCTTCTGAATTTCTGTGTAGAAACTATAACAGTATTTTTTTTATGCACATTTTTTTGACATCAGATATACACTTTTCTTAGACCTTTATATAGGGCATTTAGATTAATATTATTAAAGTAAAGTATAAAAAAAACCAACAGTATAAATATTACATTAAGTAATTTACCTATATTAATACTAATCATATGCTGAATATTGCATTAGCGGGCTACATAAAACTATGAATTTTTTATCTCTAAATCGTTTTGTAGTGTTTATAATGATATATTTTATTACTAGTTTTTGCTCGCATGATTTAAGTTTAAAATATATTATCGTTAAATTTGATTTTTATCTTATATAATGTTATTTTTTTCTTTATAGGTTTTAAAAAAACATATGTATATTTTTATTAATATTAATACTATATAAGATTGATATTTACAGCCAACATTTTGATCAATCTTACATTCATTATGACATTAATAATTATAAAACTTAGATATAGAATCTCTTTTTTAAGTACTTTGCCATCAATTTAAGGTTCTATAAGTTCCAATGTCATTAAAATCACTTTATTAGAGTAATGTAAAGATAGGATATTCATAGATGTTATTTGTACTTTTATACAATTATAAATGTATAATATAAACTAATATTTTTCAGTATTATTTAAATATTTTTTTAATATACTAAGTCTTGGGTTAAACATAAACATTCATATATAAAAGATCACAGTAAGATGAAACACATTTATCAAGGTTGTGATAGGAACTTCTAGAACCTTCAGATATTATATATATTTTTTATGTTATAAAAAAGCTTTAAAAGTATTAATCCTTTTAAATTATATTAATATGAAAGAAAAAAATTAAGAAGTACTTAATGATGCACATTTTTGTACTTCCACTTAGTGCGAAAGGAATTGAATCGAAAATAATATAAAAAAAATAATTGAATTAAACGGCTTATCCATGGCTTTAACATAATATTTGATCTTTCTAAATTTTTATACTATGTTTAGAATTATATATATATATATCTATATATACTTAAATATATTTCTATACATGTCCATGTGTGTGTCAGTAGACACAATAATAATGATAGTCCAATGATTTATGATATAATTGATAATTTACATATAACTTACATTTAAATAACTCCTTAAATAAAAATAAGAAGAGAGTAAAGGCCTGGAGCAAGCCGGTACAACCACAATGGAAAATTGTAGATTTTCAAGCTACCTCTGCAAAACACAACTCCAATTGCCATAATCATTATTAATTTAACTGGCAATTTAACTTTACGTTAATAAACAACTTATGTTGCATCTGCCATGTATATTATCAATTACATAACGTAATAAAATTTGTAATAAATATTGATAATATCATCATTTGTAATCAATATTAATAATATCAGTTTTTCTCACATTGAAATATTAATGACAAAAGGGTATGATACTAGTTTCTTGTTCATTAAACTTTCTTTTTTTAAAATCTAGTGACCGATAATCGTTGGTTGGGTGGGTGTTTTGTGGTTGTTTGTACTACCCCTTGCCGTGTTGTACCGGCTATCCGGCTACTCGGTCACGAAATTTTTACAAAGTAGGCCCTATGCAAAAAAAAATGTAGCTGCTTATGTTACGTTATATGCTTCAATAGTTGAGGATTGCCAGTGATTGGGGTTGTGTTTTGATTTGTGGTAGCTATGCTCCGGGTCTCGGCCAGTCAGGTATTGGGCGACCAAACTCGGACATGGACTATGTGGAGTTGATGGGTCATGGCGAGCTGTCCACAATCGACGAGAATCTCAACTTGGACCAATTTAATGGTTTTGGTTTTTCCGAGTTCGTGCAGTCATACAACACCAAACCACAGTAGGTATATCGGGTGCGAAAAGTTGTGAGTTGCCATGGCATACCTTAATTTTCGATCTCTATCCTTATTGGATATAATCCAAGCGATATGATCCGAGATCACTTGTTATATAACAGGGGAGGGATTTATAGTAGAGGCACATTATACTTATCTAAGAAACATAATATATCCTTCGATTACACATCTATCATATAAGTGCAATATTTTCTGAAGTGCAACCACTAAGCGTAAATATACTATGCGAATTTAATATAGAAATTAATCATGTTATGTCAAGTAACGAGTTTATAGATTATTATAATCAGTAAAGTTTTATTATCAATTTTAAAATTGCCAATTTACATAAAATTAATTATCTCTATTGGAAGATAGAATTATACTTTAATATGATGATGATTAACAAATTTTGTTCACATATTTTTTACTTATAGTGGGCATTTTTTACTTGGTTTTGTTTTTCATTATTCATCTATTTTAGTGTAAGTCCTTGTAAGATATGAAAAACACTGGGTACAAAAAAAACCATAGGTAATGATCTATATATAAGATATGATAGAACAACAATTAGTGTGAGTAAATTTATATTTTATGTATTAATAAGAAAAAACTATGAATTATTCACATGAAAATATTCTTGGTTTTCTCTTTAATCATGCTTTTTTTTTTATAATGAATATAAATAATTATTCAGATGTTTATTAATGTATTACAAATTCTTTTTATCTTATATAAAAGATAAATAGTAAATCATTTTAATTTCTATAATGAAGATACTATGAATTATTGATATCAAATTAAGAAAAATCTATTGACAGTGGATTTGAAGATCAATTGACAATAGATCTGAAGATAGTACACAACAGAGTTTATAAAGTGGACAATCATTTTTTCTTTTATCTTTAAGCTTGAAAGCATGTAGAAATTGTTAAGCTTTATTAGTATTTTCTGTTAAATATATAGATTGCAAAGTAGTACAATATAGAATGAGATATATGCAGACTTATTTGTATATTGTAACATTGATGTGATCTAAATATGTGCCTTACACTTCAAAACTTTATACTTACAGAATGATTTGCAAGTTTTGCAAAGTATTTACAAAGCAAGATTTTTTATCTTTAAGTCTATTTTTCTTAGGGTGTCTCAGATCATATGAATATGCAATGGTAGAAATACTTGATATAATAATTACCATTAAACTAATATTTTTTAACAGGAATCAGAATTTTATAAACTAACATTGAACGTTTGTATGTGGTATATAATTATGCTATATTTAATAACTTGTAGAAATTGCGTTTGTGCATAACGAAAAAATTTTCGTTTATTTTAAATAACTTGTTTAGGCACACATACACACAAAAAGAGAGATACATACATATTTATATGTAAGCTTAAATAGTTAATTGTGTTTCATATTTGAGCTCTGCAATCTCTCCCCTGTCTTATATGTATTATTAAAGAATTATCAATTGTTATGCATATGTAAAGCACCATTACATATATGCTGAATTTTGTCCCCGCTAGGACTGCACACATTGTTGTCTCTTTTTATATTTATCATTATATGATATATAAGCCGAATCTTTTGGCAAATGTACGTTAATATTGTCTATTGATCCTTTTATCAAAGATTAGAGTTTATTTTATTATTGAGAATAATTTTATCTCCTGTAAAAGATAAATAATGTGCTCTTATATATTCATCCTGTATACAGTAATTATAATAATATAAATGTAACATAAGTAGCGCTTATATATTTATGCGCAATAAAATGTTTTAATCCATGCTCTTACAAATCTTCATTAAAATCTATATTAAGTCCACAATTAGTCCTATCAGTGCAAGTAAAAAGGTACAAGTATATAAAGTGAAGTGTATCATACCTTTTTATATATATAGCGATCAAAAAAAGTTGCTTTAAAATAAAAAAATCATTTATCAAAAGAGTAATATACTTCCATTCTTAATTATAATTTATATAACTAATTTCAAGAGTAATATAGTATTGTTTCAAAAATATCATTATCGAAACTCTTATTCCGTACATGGACACTCATTCTCAATATAATATCCTGGTAAAGGATAACTCATTTGGTAGATTGTATCCGTGGTCATTCGTTCCTTAGGAACTTCATATGTAGTTCGATGTGCCCATGGCATATCCATTTTAGGAATTGGCGTCCAAGCTTGGTATGATAATTTATTTATAGTCTCAGAATCTATCTTAGTAACAGGTCTAAATAATAAAAAAAATTGATTATTTGAAAATGATAATTACTTATTAAAATAATACTACTTACGTAAATATTATAAATATAGATGTAATCTTAAATATAATACCTGCAGTAATGACCAATAGGTTTGAAACTTTGCACAGGTTCTAATTGACCAGGATGTAAATATGACAAACCAGTTGTTGTCTTATCAACAATAGGATCTCTTGATATACGAATATTATTGCATGGAATAATCAGTTTTGGAGGTGCAATTATTTTGGGTATAAAATCATGACGATTTGTAGTTTCACTTTGTATTGAACCTTCTATCATTTTTCTACTACGTGGTAAAATCGGAGAACGCTTCTTAGACCAAACTGGTTGATAGCTCAACTGTACCATGTTTTTGTAGATATAATAAGAAACTCAATTAATGATTTACATTACTCTTTTATATTTATAATCATTTCTTACTTTATTTGTTGTATCAGTAGATATTTTTTCATTTGATATGAAAATATTAGCGGGTGGAACGATTTTTGTTGTTTTTTCTACATCACAAGGCAAATAACTCTCTTTATAAATTGTTTTGTCCATAAATTGTGCTTTGTAAGGTAATATATTTGCTACACTAGGAATGTATGGTTTCATCTTTTCATATACTTCATTCTCCAAATAACTATCAGAATAAATAGTCTTCGCACACATTGCAACACTTGGAGGCCTTGCACAAAAAAAACGTTAATTTTGTAATTTAATAAAAAGAAAAACTTTTATTCTTCCTATATACAATATAATATTATATGATAATAAAAATAAATTACTATTTTAAGTTACATACTTATATATAGATTTCTGTGCCCAAGGAAACTTCTCTTTTTTGCTAACAGCAAAAGGTTGATAACTTAATTTGTTAGTAGTATCCTTTGAAACTGAATGACTGGGTCGGTGATATTTTGTTACAGGTTTAAAGCTAGTAGTAGGTTCTATTATACCAGGATTTACATAAGAAAGACCCGTAGTTGTATTAGCATCCAAAGGACTTGCACTTATTCTTATATTTCCACAAGGTACTATCATATCTAATTTTTCTGTATATTTTGGCATATAATCACATTTTGTTGTAGTAGCGCTTTCTAATGCTCCACGTCCTAACAAAGCTCTAAAATTGAAATGATATTTAAGTCATTTGATTTTATGAAATTAGACATATAGCTTAAGATCCTTATTTATCAAATAAAATTATATTTACCTGAACTTAGGCTTAATTGGTTTTCTTTTTGCCGTATGCCAAATAGGTTGGTAACTCATTTTACTTGTTGTCTCGTGAGAAAATTTTTCATCTGATTTAACGAACGTTTGAATTGGACGATAAGGTTGAACCCGAATAGATTGAGCTGTTCTAGGATCCATATCCATATATGAGAGATAATATGTTGTACAAGTATCAAGTGGTTTCGATGGAGGTCTGTATAATCTTTCAGGAGCAAATGATTTGACTCTTGGTGGTTGTACATATTTTCGCATAGTCTAAACAGAAAATCATATCTTTAAACTTATTACTACTATTACTCTTTAAACTAAAATATTAGTTATTAGTAAAAATATACAATGGTATCATAAACATAAAATCATTATATTATATTATTCAAGAAATATATGATCACTATATTTTTATATAAGAAAAATTACCTTATCGCATAATTGCTTCTCAGCTGGGACTACACAATGTTTTCTTTCTGTGCAAACTTCTACCACTTCCATTTTATCAATGGATTTATTATAATTAAATGTAAATATGTAATATTATATCAGATATATTGTCAAATATATCTTTTCGGTAAAGTATTTTGTATAAAGAATATAAAAATGTTTAAAATAATTAAAATCTGAATATAATTGTCAAAGTTTATGACATGTTTAAGGTTTGGAATGAGGATGAAATGTCATATTATATATTCCAAATGAATTTTGTGTTGATTTGAATATACAGGATTGACCAATTAAATCAAATGAAGATAGCAAATAAAAACCAAATATAAAATTCTCAGCATATATTCTAAGTATAAGCAGCATAATATAGCTAATTTATATACAAAACAAGTGAACTTATTGTCTCACTTTATTACACGTAGAGTTTCTGCACAATTATTTGCTCTGGTACATGAGCATAAACTCTGAAAAAAGTGAGCTATAGTACATATTTTTTATTGTATATATTGTCTAATAGATAGTAAATTAAGTAATAAATAAAGAGGAATCTCTGATGTTTATTTTAATATCATATAAATTGTATGATATATTTACAACTAATATAATGATTTTAACTAGCAAAAGTAATGTTAAGAATTCAAAGAAACTATCGGTTCCAAGGAAAAGAGAGAGACATAGACAAAGTAATTTCAATTCTTACAAGTGATAATATCCCAGAAAAATATTGGTGATAACAATATAGTTTTCTATTTTAATTACATTTAAAAATGTTTGTTCTCTATAATTTTGTAATATAATATCACTGTGATTTCCTTGCAAGTCACAGTAAAATATTTTACTCTCGCGATATTAAATATACGCACATGACACAGATGTATCAGCGCACTTTGTATTAAATGATTGGCACAAGTTACTATATAACATGTATTTGCCAATAATGCATCTGTACGTATGCAGTAGAAGATTTCCTAAACTGTAGAAATGTTCATTTTTTTTATAAATACATATTAACCGATATATTCTATTATCCGATTGTACTCATTATGACTCTGTTTTATTTTATATTGTCTATTAAAAAAATTAGTTTTAATGTGATATATTTACTGTATACAATATTTGTGTACGAATGCTAGTTATGCCTTAATTAAAATGAGAGATTATAAATAGTAGATTAAACATAAGCATCGATCAATAAATTTAAAAATTATATCGAAAATAATTCTAATAATGAAGAGAAATGGATATCTAAACAAAGAATTAATCAAAGCTTTTCAGTGCACCATAGAGTTCCTTTTCTTAGCTGGTACTGCTATTAACACTGAATTAAGCATTCTTTAAGAAGTGCTTAACACCAGGAAAAGAAGGGACTCTTATTTTGGAAGCGCTGGGTGAATGTATCAGAAAATGAGAACAGACTTCGTGTGCCATTTCCTTTGGCTCTGTAAAATAAATAATAAATGTATTTATATAATGTTGCATCTTATACTATTCATCTTTGATATAAAAAAAGATATATACTTCTCGACTATAACAGCAGGCATTTGAACTAATTGCACTGGACTTTTGGAATCTTTCAATGCCTGTTGTAAATTCAGAATCTGACCTCGCATTACGCTCATTTGCCTATCAAAGTGATGTCTGTCGAATCCTTTATCTTGCTGTACAAAATAATAATATATTTATAAAATAATACTTCTAATAATAAATTCAGAAAAATCCAAACAAATATAACTCACTTTAAATAATTGGTATAAATCGTCACAAAGATCTTGTACAAAATTTTGATCAGAAAGCTGAGGCAAAACTAATTCACGTGTGGCTGTACTGAATGGTTGTTTTGCTTGACTTAACCATGCCCAATGGTAAGGATAAGCACGCCAAGAATCAGGATGTTTAAATGGAAATGCTAAACCATTATCTATCGCTGCTATGTTAACTTCACGCTCTAATCCATTTTTTTCCGTACTATTATCATACTTAATAAGCCAATTATCGTTACCTATAAAAAAAACACTTAAATTTATTTACAATATGAAAGAAATTAACATTGTAAATACTTTTATTTTATTTTTATAATTACCTCTATCTGTATTTCTGATAATATAATCTAAAATAACCAAACGTTCAAATTGGAGTTGGAACTTAAGACTCAAACGTGGCGATAATGGTTCATGTTCCCATCGTCTTAGCCAATAGTCTGCATCTTTATAACCATCTACAAATACTTGAAAGGATCCGACTTTAGGAGGTAAACCAATACGATTAAAATGTGAACCAAATGCAGGAAACTGATCCATGATGGCTTTTTTCATACGTGTTTTTTGACGATCTAAACGTGGATAGTTAAAAGTTTTACTGACAAGTTTAACTACTCTAGTATTCGGCACAATGCCAAGGCCTAATTTGCGGTCAACTAAACTGGCTCCAGCCTCGCTTAAATATCCTTGATTTGGTATCAAACAACTCCTCCCAAAACAGCATGGACAACAGAGTTTGTGCATCCATTTTGTCCATTTTGGATTTAATCTTCCATAAGGTTCTTCGTCTTTGGGTTTGAAAACACCTATCACCTTCTATAATATATAATACCAATATAACATATTAATGTAATACTTATCAAAATTATCTATAATAAGTATTCACAAGCAAGTGTATTCCTCTTTGTTATTATTTAATAGTAAATATTGTGACATCATTATATTATTTAATATATTACAAAAATCTAGAAAATTATACCTTACCCCTGCCGAGTTTTTTACAAAATAACTTCCACTTGAACCTTGATATATTCTTTCAGGAAAGATTCCATTGTCTATTGCACATTCTGCTTGCCATACTAGTTCTGAAAATTGTGGATCATCTGCGAAGAAGAAATCGAAGTCGTAATTCACGCTTATTAAATCTTTCACTATTTAATATATATTATCTTTATACTCATATTAACACGGCAAGTAAGATACCAAAACATTTCAAAAAGATTATTTATAATAACATACCAGGGAATCGATTAAAGGTAACATCGAGTTCCAGCCGACCAAGGAGAGGCTGGCTCTCCCGGTCTATCCCAGCAGAATCAATGGTTATAGTTTGATCACTACTTATGTTTGGAACAAATTCAACGTCTGGAAGTAGTTCTGTAGACAAGTTTCGTGATACACAACTATTGGATGTTACCGACAGATCTACTAACGCGTCAGTTTCAATCAAAGCAGGTGGATTGGTATTATTCTGACTGTGATATTCTGGATAAGGCACGTGCAGTTGCCGCTGTTCGGAGTCACTCATCACAGCCGAATCTACTTGTGATTGGCAATTTTTTCAAATACTAAATCGAGATTGATATATTTTACAAAAAAAAATTGTATGTATTTAACTGCATTCCTGCACCACCTGTCAGTGACACAGGCTAAAAAATCCGTTCCTTTCAAATTCTGTCAACATTGGATATAATTATATTTATCTCTGTTTTGTGAAAACCAATAACTCAATACCATTTGTACACGTGTGAATCATGTAAGAATAATCATCACTAAATAGAATATACGTATTAAAACGACTGGTCTAAACAGACCAACTAACCAAATTGCAATCCGTCATTCCAGCAGACGGTATCAGCTGATAGGATTACCGCCATATTTAAATTGATAATACCTTTATACGAACGATATACATGGTACTTTATATAATCTTCACGTGTTAATAAATCTTTGGTAAGAACTAAATATTTAAGATATATTTCCTTGTTAAACAAAAAAGCTATTATGAAAATTATCAAAAAGTAAAATTTATGAAATTGATAAATAATATATACCGGATATTACGTAAACGGTTATCTGATCAGCCATGTTCGATAAAATAACCAATCATCGAAATAAGAAAAAATGTGAAACATTTTGATATAAAGTTACCTATTGCATCATGATATCAGATTAGGCTTCTATGAAAACAACACCGTTGTGTTCTTCTTCAAAAACAACATCGATATAAGTAAAAAACATAAATGAATTTAATTATATAAACAAATTTTTAAATTCGATTCGATTATTGGTTATTCGATTCACATGTGATATGATTATCCATTTAATAATACAGTTTGCAATATTTTATCCTTTTCTCTTCTATTTTATTTTATATAATTAAAATTCATATTTAATGATAAATTTTATAATTAAGACAAATAGAATGTTTAGAAATGGAATCTTAACAATTTGTTTACAATAAACCAATCAACTACTTGATATTTATTCATCCATTTACGTCTCAATCAGCGGTATTTTTAAAAGTCGTCATTATTAAAATTATTTATAAAATATATGATCTTTTTATTTAGAAACATAAAAAATTTTAATTAGAAACATAAAAAATCCTTATGTTTGCAACTTTTTATTTTTTATTTTGTATCATTTGAATGAAAGTCCATGTGAATATATATTTTAAAATGTGCACTTGAAAATATTCTTTCAAAAAATATATGGCGGTTAACCGCTTCATGGCGATCTGTCATTCTTCTTTGAGTGGTTTTCGTAAACGTATGCATTGTTTTCATGAAAAACCATTTGAAATTCAACAACTTATTTGTCATCCATCAAATATTTTATTAATGATTTATAACCTGCGTATTGTTTCCAAAAGGATCAAATATAGAGAATTATAGTACGAAATAATTTTAAATTATGTTTGTAAGTGTATGCTTTTAATCTCTGTATTGATTGTTACTATATTTGTATTAACCAAGTACATAAATAATATTAAAATATCTTTATACCAGTGTAATTATATAAATATAATCTGTAAGACTTATGTATATTATATAAAGTTGTTTATTAATTTAGAGGTTATAGCAGTGTTGTGCGTACAATAATTTAACAAGGCTAATTTAACAAATTGCATGTGTGAAGAGTGCTAAATTGATTATTCATACATATTACTATTATAATGCAATTAACATTATTTTAAAACTATATCAGTTTGTGAAATATTTAATATTCCTGTTTTTATTAATATACAATTCTTTTTTAGATAAGAGGAATGGTCAAGGAAGAGTAAATCATCATGACAATGGCTATGCGTAAGCGGAGTGGTTCTGGCTCCAAGCGCCAGCACAAAGGAAAGCTTGTACCTATTTATGAGAGTTTCTTTAAGGGAGAGGATTTAACTTTAGCACATCCAAATTTTTGGAATGAGTTATTTCTTATTAAACCCATGGTCAGTAATTTAATATAACGTAAAATTAACAATATTAACAAAATTACAAATAATCGTAGTAAATTTACTAATATTGTACGTTAAAAATGTATATTTCTCTATAATTTTTTATCCTTGATCTTATTTCATCTGAAAGAAAAAAATTGTAATTATATTTTATTTATTTCTCAAAATCAAAGTCTTACTTTGTTATATTTTTCTTTATAGATGTTTCTGATACATACTGTTTTCTGATTGTGTATGGATTCATTTTGCTTGCAAGATTGATTTGTTTCCATGTATTTTTGTTGCCGTTAATTCACTATTATCACATTTACTATCTATATTTTTAATTGGAACAATCTTTCTTACTTTTCACAGCTTCTTTAGCTTCACCTAATTTGAGTGAGATGTTTTGTGATAATGGTAATATTCTTTTATTTGTAGAAATTTTTTCTTGCTTAGCTATGATTTTTCAATTTAAACTTCAATTATTACAAATATTAATTTTGAATTGTGTTATAGTAAAGAAATAACTTATTCAATTTCTGATAAATAACAAATTTTAAATGTATACTGATATAATATATATTTATTCAGATTTACCATTTTTTTTATGACTCTCTTTGCATTTCAACTCTTTGCGTAAACTATATGGTATAAATTTACACTTGAAATTAAGCCATATTTTGCTTGCTTGTATTTTATATTTTATACATCTTAATTGACATATACATACTTTTCCATAGTATTTTGTTACTTCCCATGATAGTAGTGTCTATAATTATATACACGTAAGCAAAATTCATAAACTAATATTAATTGAGATAATAAATAAAAGACCCACTTGTATTAATTTTGTAAAGAGTTTCCTAACCACCATTATATTGTATTAATTTCTAAATTTTCAATATTTATACACATATCATTTTAAAAATCACATGGCTTGATAATATTGTAAAAAAAATAAAATAATGCTGAAACAAAAAAACAGTAATAGAGGTTATATGTATCAGGTGTTTTATTAGTTTGGTACATTATTTTAATGATATTATTTATCAATAATTATTTTTATAGGTTCCTCATATTGAAAGTGAAATTCTTCATATGACAATAGAACAATTGAATGCAAGCAGGGAAAATTTAAATGCTCTAGTATGTCATTGTGTGGATACACTAGTCGATGAACATCCATTTAGAGTAGTATATGCGTTACAAACATTAGCAGCTGTTATTCAATCTATGTATAAAAAGGCTAGTCAAGGAGATTGTGGATTTAATTTAATAGATATCCTTGTAGGATTTAATTCAGCTGAACAAAGAATGACAACATTAATGCAGCATTGTAATAATTTTTTAACAGGTAATTTAAATTAGTTACTTATTTAACTAATTTATTTGCTATTTATGTATTTTTTGAAGATTTCTTATTTTTTAATATTTTATGATAATTTTCTTTTACTCTTCAGGTGAATATCCTGATAGTTTAAAGGCTTTATGTTTAAAATTATTGTTAATTATTGTTACTGGAATGGATAACGTGAGTCAGAATACACTATTGGAATATGTGATGCTTAATAGTGTCTTCGAGTCTTTAGTTCAAGTAAGGTCCACATAAATATAATTAATTGTACTTTTACTAAATACTATCAATCATATGATTTTTTCTAGTTATTGAGAGATACAGGAGCTAGAAATCGTCATGGGCACGATGCAGTTCTGTTGTTAACACTTTTAGTTAACTATAGAAAGCACGAAAGTACAAATCCTTACATTGTTAAATTATCAATTCTTGATGATGAATTAGCACTTAACGGGTATGGACAAGTAATATCGAGTTCATTAACAGAATTTTGTAGACAATTTGCTCAACAAAGAACAGGTAAATAAGTATTTCCAAATGTAAGAAAATATTTACTAGAACATATATACTGTACATATATAATGTATATTGTATATTTATAAATATTTACTTTCTTATGAGATAATTAATTTTTAGAAATACAGGCATCTTGGTTATCATCTTTAACAAGTATTGTTGGTAGTATGTTTGTTGGAGAAGAGGAAGCAAAAACGCAACAAGTTCGTGCAAATAATGCTTTATTACTAGCTTTATATGAGGCTACACATTTAAATCGTAATTTCGTAACTACATTGGCATATACGCAAAGTGATACAAGCGCTCCACCTTCACCAAATAATACTCTTGGTCCTAATGCCGTAGCTCCTGGAGCTCAACCACCAGATGTTATGGCTCAACCATTTAATTTACTTGCTACGTTTTTGCAGTACTGGTAAAATATTTCCTATAAAAATAAAAATTCATTTATTTTGTAATGGTTTCTTTGGGGGAAAGAATATACTTTATATAGATATATATATGTATTTGTTGTTGAAAAAATGTCAATAATCTTATAATTATTATCTGTGAACAATTTGTATCATTTCAGTTCGATAGTTATGCAGGTTATAAGGACAGAGGCAATAATGAATAATGTTAAATTATGTTTCCTAATATTGAGCTGTATTGCAGAAGATCAATATGCAAATAGTTTGATGCATGATGCAAATTTAGCATTTAGAGTACAGTTACACAGAGTACCTATGCATCATAGAAAATTACAAGACAAAGTAGCACCTGCACAACCTCTTGCAGCTACATTGCTTGGTATAACTGTTATATTGCTTATTGTCTTATTTATATTTCATGAAATATTATGTCAATATTATTTAATTTTAGATTTATTAGTCGAATTTATAACATCGCATATGATGAAGAAGTTTCCTCTTGAATTATATCATCAATGTATTGGCGTTTTGCAAAGACTTCTGTGTTATCAAAAGAGATGCAGAGTTAGACTTGGATATCAATGGAGAGATCTTTGGACTGCCTTAATCAATCTTTTGAAATTTCTTACTACTCATGAGAGTCATCTGATTAAGAAAATGAATATTTTTCCATTAGCTATTCAGGTAACGTGACTCTCAATGGAAGAAGCTTTCAAAAAATTATAATATTGCATTGGCTTTCATAGGTCGCTAATATTTTGAACTTTTTCATTACATATGGAGATACATTTTTATCTTCATCAAGTAGTTATGATGAATTATTTTATGAAATTATACGAATGAAACTTATCTTCACAAACTTAAATGCTATGGGTAAATACATTTCTTGTGTATAAATTTTAACTTTATAATTATTATAAAAATAAAAGTTGATAAGATAATCAAATTACTTAATATATTGCAGCATTAAGATACTCAACTAGTGAATCATATGAATATAAAGAACATGCACTTAAATTAACAAATTCGTTAGTAAATATGAGAGATATAGTAAATCATTTTTCACCAAAAATAACTGCATGGTTAACTAGTGAAAGTTTATCTACTCCATCTGAACAACAAATTATGACGATCATAATACAAAATTATGATAGTCTTACTTTAAAATTGCGAGATAATTTAGATCAATATGAAAGATATTCTGAGAAACCCAATCATACAGGTTTTTTTGAAGATATGGTAAACATAAATTACATATTTCAAATAAATAATATTTTTAATTCAAGTAATATACAACATACATATTTTTAGGTAACTGGTGTTGTTGTTGACACTCGAGGATCAATTGACCTCAGTACATTAGATACACAGGCTATATTACAAGAATTATCAAATATTTCGTAACAGGTTGAATACATAGTTATGCCATGTATTTTTTCATCGATTATTTTAATATAATGTATTATAATGTACTTTTTTAACATATACTTGTATACTTGTATATTAATATGCGATTAATATTCTGAATTAAAAATATATAATATATATAATGTGCGTGTGTATATGTGATCATAATTGGTATTATTAAATTTACAAATAAATATGACTTAAATAATTCAATAAAAACTAATAGTATAATTATCACATTCAGCGTACGAATAGTACGTCTATAAAATTTGCAAATTCTTTTAAAATGTATTATTTGTCTATATTTTTTGTCTTCGCTTATAATATATTATTATTCACTTACATATATTTACTTCTGGCAATATGAGATTACTTGCAAATAGTAGTTTCAATTTTTGCACGATATAAATGAAGTTAACTATAGTATAATAAAAAATGTTATAATTTATTATAAAAATAAAAATATATTTTATTTACAATAATGTGATATTTATAAAAATGTAAATTTACAAACAAATATAACATTATTTTTACAATGTATATATAATCAGATTCTCCTAAAATTAGTATAAACATAATATTTATACATAAATGTCTATAAAGATTAATGACTTCTTTGGGCAAGAATAGCAAGTCCAGCTTTAGATTGATTCTTCCTATCTAGTTCCTTACTAATATAATTACCTATTTCTACTATTTCATTAAAATTTACTCCAGTTTCTAAGCCTTGTCCATGTAGAAGGTACAGTAAATCCTCAGTTGCAACATTACCTGAGGCACCAGCTGCATATGGACATCCTCCAAGTCCAGCAATGGAAGAATCAAATACTCTAATGCCATGTTCAAGACTCGCATATATATTTGCTAATGCTTGACCATAAGTATCATGACAATGTAAAGCAAATTTAGACATATCGTATGACGATACTTGCTGTAATTCTTTCAGAAGTGTCTTAATCTTTTTAGGCGATCCTACACCAATTGTATCCCCTAAAGATATTTCATAACATCCAAGATTCAACATTAATAAAGCCAAGTCAACTACAACTTTTGGCTTAATCTCTCCTTCATAAGGACATCCAGCAATGCAAGAAATATAACCTCTCACCTTTATATTCTGTTCATTTGCTCGTTTTATAACAGCTGTAAAATTTTTTATACTTTCATTTATTGAACAATTTATATTTTTTTTTGAAAATGTCTCTGATGCAGCTCCAAAAATTGCAATTTCCTTAACACCTACTTTTAATGCACTGTCTAGTCCTTTCAAATTTGGTACCAGTACTGGATATGATATACCTGCCTTTCTTTTTATTTGTGTGAAAAGAATAACATTATCTGCCATTTGTGGAATCCACTTTGGCGATACAAAACTTGTGGTTTCAATACTTTGCAAACCTGTTTCAGATAGTTTATTTATTAATTGAATTTTGGTATTAGTAGGTACAATTTTGGGCTCATTTTGTAATCCGTCTCTTGGTCCTACTTCAACCACTTTCACAAAATCTGTGTATTGTCTGATATTATTGACTCTAATATTATCTTTATAATGAATTTTTAATTTCTTTAAATATTCTGTAGAAACTCGTAAATTTAATTTGATCATTTTACCTGTAAAGAGATTATTAAAAACTGATAAAAGTTAATAATGAATAAATGAAAAGTTATTAGTATAAACTTGGTATATTATTATAAAATTAATTGATACAGATGTAAAAAATTGATAAAATCTGTAAAGATAATATGCCTGTATCAAACTTATTGTGCTTTAATATTGATCATGCTAATTATTATTACTTGAAATTAATAAAAACTTACAAAAGATATTGAGAGTTTAAAAATATAATATATTGAAATATAGATAAACAGAGTTTTGTGTCTAAATAGAACATATATTTTTAATAGAAAAAAGTTTCACATATACTGGTAAAATTTACCATATATAAATATAATCTTTTAAATGAGGATAACGTGTTTACAACATTATGTAAATGTTCTGAGAATCTGATAAGATTTTCATACATAACCTAACAATTAGGATGGTATAGGTTAGTACGGATTAAAATAACAGTATTAATAGATTTTTTGAACATCCATTTTTCAGACTTTTATACTTATGTTTTTCTTTGTGATTGTAACATAATTATTAAATAAAATTATATATTATATCTTATTTAAATAAAAATTAAAACACAAGTTCATTTCCATGAAATGTTACGTCGTTTCAGTTTTTCAAATCTATACTTCTACACGCATCACCATAAGAATATTTTGAGTGATAACATGGTAAAATTAAAATATGACTAAAAGCCATTCTTGAAAAGTTATGTCGAATTTTCGAAAATAACGTAATAGCTATCCTCTTAAGTTCCAGTTTGTGAGGACCTTTTCGGTATATAGCCTTTTCTTTGCTTCGTACCTTAACCTAAACGATTATCACTCAAAAACTATAATAACAAAATTGAATTCTAAATTCTTAAGATATGGAAAAAAACTCTAATACAATCCTAACGTATATAAAAAGTATAAACCTTTTTTTTTTTTTTTTTTATAGAAATTGATTATTATTTTTTTAAGAGATACCTTTTCGCAGCGTAGGAGAAATTAGAATTAATACATTAATTGCTGAAAATTCTGACCTAAAAATTCATTAACTTATTATATAGAACTATGGAATATAACTCTACAAGTCTCTTTGTTTTTTAGCAAATACTCTACTCGACTTTTCTCTTTCAAAAGCAATAACTCTATTGAGACTTTCTTTTATCAATTCAAATATTTAATTAATAGTTATTTAAAAATATAAAGCAAACCCTTCGATGTTCCTTTTTACAAACGAGTATTTTAATTATAAGGAAATCATGTACAATTTTGATTCATTCGATCCAAAGACTATCCATCACAAATGTCCTCTTGTTCATTTTTTATTAGAACAATGATAAAAATTATAAATTATTAAAATTTTAAATTAAGATTATTTGAAGTTTCTCACGCGTTACAATCTTTGTAATGTTTAAGCGAATGTACTGTTGTTTACATTTAAGTGGTAATTAAAATAAAATTTTATTGATATATATATAAAATCAGAGTTTTTATTTATCAATAAAACATCTGATATAAGAGTAAGTAAAAATTTATGCGTACTAAAAATTCGTGTCTTCAGAAACGGCCATCTCCGAATGGTAAGACCTGGGAATTACTTGTAAATATAATTTTGTTTCTATTTCTTTTATTTTGTAAACACTTTAGAAATGTCAACATATAAAGCAATATTAATGCTATATATATTTAGTAAATGTAGTATGTGTAAATATCTATGGTGTAAGACGTTTAGGATCACGTGGAAACATAGAAACTTTTCGAATATTATCTAAACCAAGATATAACATCACCACACGTTCCAAGCCAATACCACCACCGGCATGAGGAGGACAACCATATCTAAATGCATCGATATATGATCTAATCTTCTCAATATCTAAAGTACAAACAAAGATATGTAATAATTATATAGAATATATTATAAATTATAAATAAATAAATGAATAAGTATAAATGTAAAGTAACTTACCAATACCATGATATTTGGCACGTTCTGTTAAAAAGTCTGGGTCATGAATACGTTGTGCACCTGATATGATTTCTTCACCACGCATAAACATGTCATAAGAATTTGATGTTTTCTATTATATACAAATATAATTAAATAATTATTTTGATCAAATTGTAAGAAATGTTATAAACAAATAAATTTTAAATGATCACACTTACAGGATTATGGGGGTCAGGCATAGTATAGAAAGGCCTTATTGCTAAAGGATATTTATCCAAAATATAAAAATCGGTATCATACTGAAAAAAAACATACTTTTTATAATAGTGATAAAAATATTGAAAGATGTTAAAACAAAGATGATAAAACAAAATTTACTTTAGCTTTTACAAGTTTCCCCAATAGTTTTTCATCTGGTGTTGATAAATCATCTTCTTCTCCTAAAGTTACACCCGCTTCAGATAATAGTTCAATTGCTTGTGGAAATTCTAACTTCAGGGGTGGATCTAAGAATTTAAAAGGTTCTACTGCATACTGTTGATTGACAGCTGCTATTTCATCGGCATAACTAAAAATTAATTTTTGTTAATTATTTCGAATGTATTTTTATTGTTTTAAAATTTAAAACTAACTTGTCACGCAGGCCTCTGAATAATTCAGTAAACATTTGACCGATAGTATTAATAACTTCATGGTAATGGTATTTAAATGCCATTTCTAAATCAAGACCAACAAATTCTGTCAAATGTCTATGAGTATTGGAATCCTCAGCTCTAAAAACTATTAATATAATTTATATAAATGTTATTTGTTATCTTATCATTAATAATTTAATAATAGAAATATAATCCAGAATTTTAAGTTACTTTATATTTAAAAAATAATTTGTATATTTAACTCTTATCATTATAATCTACCTGCTCCAATGGTATAAACTTTATCAAAATCTGCTGCTATAGCCATTTGTTTGTAAAGTTGTGGAGATTGAGCCAAATATGCATTTCCTTTAAAATAGGATACAGTAAATACATTTGCACCACCTTCACTTGCTGCAGAAATAATCTTTGGTGTATGTATTTCAACAAAGCCCTATAAGACATTGTAGTAGTTAAATTTAAATCTATTATGTATATGATTACATACGAGTACACGAATACATTTACCTATATAAGTAGATATATTTACAAAGAAATTACCTTAGCTGTTAAAATATCTCGAAAAAGTTTGCACACTCCAGCTTCTATTCTAAATATAGCTTGATTAGCAGGAGTACGCAAATCCAATATTCTATTGTCTAATCTGGTATCTTGATTAACTTTTATGTTCAATCCTGTATCATCTGATTCATTAACGGCTCTAGCTGCATCTTCAATTTGGAGCGGTAATTGCGGTTTTGCAGCACTTACTACAAAAATTCTTTGAATATGTACTTCTACATCCTTTTGTGTACAGGATTCAATAATAGCAGGGACTGTTTTTATAATTGCTTCAATGTCTATTATAGATTCCTTTGTTATACTATGGAACAAATATGTGTCATTATGGAATTTAGTGTCATTATAGAATTAGTTTAATTACTTTATTCAATTTACTTTATTCAAATTACTTTATTCAAACTTACTTTGATATAAATTTGATCATTTGCTTGCTAACTTGTTCATTCACTGCAGCTAACCCTTGTACCGTATAAGACTGCTGTCTTAGTACTATGAAACATTGTTTGCCTAAACAATTGTATAAAATATTACATACTATCATTATATTAGAATAATAATTATTTAATAGGAAAATATATACCTTTTGCTCTACTTGTATGTAAGCGTCCTCTTAACCATATAGTTTGATTTTCTAATCTTTTATTTAATTCTTTCACATGAACAAAATTTCTTTCCTTATATGTTTCTTTACTTTGTATCATAGAAAACTCTCCATATTTGCCAAATGATATATCATCTTCATCTATTACATCTTGTTGCATTTGCTAATTTTTAATGCATTTATTAATTTATAAAATATAAAATCATTACAAACTAGTAAATGTAGTAAATAATAAATGTAAACTTTATACGTACTACTTGAGCTTTACGTTCTGCTTTTTTTGCAGCTTTTTCTGCTTCTTTTTGTTGTTTCTTAAGAGCTTTCTTAGATAATCCTTCTCTTTATAACAAATAATAAATGAGATGTTAGAAATATTATTTTTACAAATAATTTTAAACATATTTTTTATTTAAACATCTTAGTATTAAATATAATATTATAAATTAAAGTTTAAAATAATGATGCAACAATAAGAAATGTGAACATACCCAGCTGTCGGTTCCATTGGTTTTTCTTCACCCATCTACAGATAGCGATTAAAAAATTTATTAAATGTGTAATAATTAAGTCCTAATGATATTTAAAGTCATAGCTATTATCGCAATTAACGTTGAAAAATTCATCTATTTATATATCTTATCAGCTCAGATTTTTTTTTTAAAGGTTAGTTCATGCACAAAGTACTTTTGAAAGATAAAAAATTAAAAAATTAATTTGTTCGCTAACATTAACAATATACAAACCTTGAACAAACCATTCAATTAGGAATGAAGTGAAAGAAAATATAAATTTATAGTAGTAGAATTTGTGAATCATAAAAAATCAACAACCCATAATACTTTCGCAAGTTCAGTGCAGACGACACGTACTAAACCAACGCCATAGTTATGACTATATACCGCAAATTTATGCTTGATAATTAAACGATTACTTTTTTTAGATTTTATTATTTATTATGTTTCTTACTTAGTAAATGGTCTGGTTATTTTATTTTATTTATTAAATATACGTTACTTATAACACTATTATATTTATTTTCTATTATTTTTTAATCAATTTTTATTTAATATATATTATCATTTATTTTAATATATTTTGTTATATTTAAAAATTAATATTTAATTATATTATATAACAATATATAAAATTAATCTAATGTTAAGATACAGAATGTACAAGCAATGTGAAAGTTTAACCAAATTATTTTTTACAAGCTCGCTACGCAAACTGTGAATGTTTTGAAATATGAAATTTACATTTATGAAACTATCATTTTAGCGCTATAATCTGCTGATTCCAATAAAAGAGAAATAGGATCTTCAGGATCTGTTGATGTATGCTTGATGGATGTTTTGTCTGCAATTTTTAATGCTTGGGAACCAGATTTTATGATAAAACCGGCATTCAGTGTTATGTCATTCCAATTGCTCCAGTTCAATTGTTCACTATCTGAAAACAGTTTACCTCGAGCTTTGCGAGCGAGCGTTGCAATATAGGATGAAAAGGAGAAAGTTATACAGTGATACAAGATGATAATAATTATCTTAAATCTTATTGGTAATGTGTGTATCTATACAAAGAATAGTAAGATACATATCGTGCTTTTAACTATGTATATATGTTTGTATGTTATATTTATAAGCAATATTAGAAACATAATGAAAAAAGTAAAATCAAAATAACTTGTTTCCTTTACTTCTTACTTTTCAATTTATCTGAGGAGTCATCAAACGATGGATCTTGAATGTTTAACATGAGACTATTTCCACTAAGATACACTCGATTTTGAGATTGTGCAATCTACAAATAATTGTTAATTTCATTAATATATATTAAAATTGTCTTTTTAAATATTATATATATATTTAATTAATTTTATATTTCATTTACCGTGCGAGCAATTCGTCGAGCCGCACGTATTTTACGAAGCTTCAAATACCCTGGATTTTGGCTCAAAGCTATACCAAGGTGCATTGGAGTTAAGGATAATTTCATCACACATAAAATATATATAATATCTAGAAAATATAAATTATAAATAATGATTATAAAAGGATATCATTTTAGCAGCTTCTGCTTCTCCTTCAGCCTGTACAATTTTTTGTTGCCTCTCTTGTTTAGCTGTTTCAACTACAAATGCAGCTCTTTGAGCTTCTTGTTGGGCTACTTGTTTAGCTTCTACCGCAGCAGTATATTCTTTTCCAAAACTAAGCTCTGTTATAGAAACATCATCTAACACAATATTAAAATCACGGGCACGTTCAGTTAATTCTTTACGTACTAAATTTGAAACTTGCTGCCTTTGTGTTATAAGTTGTGATGCATTAAATTTAGCAACAACTGACTTAAGAACTTCATTGCATATACTTGGTAATACCTATAAATATATTTCCAATTATTAACAAAATTTTTAATTTAATTACAAAAAATAATATTACTCATATTATAGAATTTATTTTATTTTTTTACCTTCTCATCATAATCAAGACCTAATTGACGATACATAGTAGGCAATGAAGCTGCATCAGGCCGCGATAGAACTCGAAGAGATATATTAACCATTTGTAAATCCTTTGAACCGGTAGGTGATGAAATTTTTCTTGGTTTACTTCTAATGTCATATATTATAGGGTAGTGAAACCATGGAACACGAAAATGTAAACCCTCTGAAAAAATATCTTTTTGGATCCCATTAAGACGAGAAAATATAATAGCTCTATGACCAGCATCCACTGTAAAAGAAATAAGTAATATCTTAATTACTTTATTAATATATATGCAGAATATATAAATATAGAGATCAATTTATAGATGATCAAATGAAAATAATGTTTAAATTAAATCAGACCTGTATACATAGATTTAGCTATTCCGTAAGCCGCCACGCCGGCTGCTGCAAGAACTTTGAAACCTAAAGATAAATTATTAGGACTTTTGCTAAATCGTGACGCGAAATCATTTAATTTATTTTGCGCCATTGTTAAAGAATAATTGTTCTTGAATTACTTTATTTCAATTAATAGATATTTAAATATTACTACTATTAACACCGATCTAAGAAAAAGGTTACAAATTCAAGATGGAGATACAAAATGGTGATCGAATATTTCAAGAATATATATATATATATATAAGAAAAGATGCAAATACGCCATCTGATGGGATAAATTTACAATTAAAAAATATATTGCTTAGGCAATATTTTCTACATATATATATAAAAACTAGTAGTCCTCGTGATAATTTCTTTTTTTCTAATATTCCTAAATCTATATTTATAACCAACAAAATATATGATTATTTAAAAATAAAACTATAAATATCAGATCATTATTGAAAGTATTACTTTTGTAAAAATGATTTGTTTATATAGACACACATAAACATACACACACACAGAACAAATATATTGCGCATTAGTTATATATTACTCTAATTAAATTTTTACGAAAATCATTTAAAATCTATATTATACATGTTTATAATGTTCAAAAATTTATTGCATTGAGCGCAAAATAGTGAAGTATGACATTGATGTACGGACAATCTTGAAAAAGAAAAGAAAATATATATTATAAATCTAATAACTGAGATCGTATTATCGAAAAATGAATTATTTCTTACTGTACTAAAAGTTTCCATAGATATGACGAACATATTTGCTGCAGTTAATGTGCAAGGTACTCGTGATCTAATTAACATAAAATTAATAACTTTTCTCGTTCTAATCGAAGTTTGATACCATTCAACATTTATTCTGTAATCGATGGAAATTTTTGATAAAATTGAATATAATTATAACACTTGACATTTAAATTCTTAATAAAAAAAAATAGATTATAATATATTAACTTACAGATATTCAATCATGCGATCACTATGATCCATAAGACGTTGAGCATTTATACTTTCAAAAAAGAGATGAGCTAATTGAGCATAAGAGAATGCCAATTGTTGAAGAAACTTGCTTGTTTCATCCATATATGTAACGGCCTAAACAAATGTCTATCTTTATGTGAAAAAAAATGTAAATTAATTGTTTAACATGTAGAAAAATAATCATTAATTTATACCTGCAGGCCTGTAATACTCATCCCAATCATATTGAGTCCTGCCTGCAGAAAGAAAGATGTGGAATAATAGGATTCCATAAGGTCGGCAAACCTTTATAGAGTAAATCGTTACATTTAGTAATAAAGTATTTTTTGTCATTACAATTTTAATGTGTTTAACATATTCACACCGGCATGTATCATTGGTGGTACATTTAGGACTGTCCCATTGGATAGCTTGTGTCACCAATGGTACATACACAATTGTCCCGTCGGACGGCTTGTGCCATCGGTGATATATATACATTGTCCCATTAGACGGCTTGTGCAACCGATGGTACATACACAATTGTTCCATCGGACGGCTTGTGCCATCGGTGATACATATACATTGTCCCATTAGACGGCTTGTGCAACCGATGGTACATACACAATTGTTCCATCGGACGGCTTATGCCATCGATCATACATACACAATTGTCTCATTGGACAATTTGTATCATTGGTAGGTGGTTCAAATCGCCGGATAAAAAACATATGAATGAGAGAACCGTCTCATGGCGAGAAAAACAAATTATATCACCGGCGTAAATGTGTTAATATCGCACAAGACATAATAAAAGGAAAAATAGTTTTAAAAATGAAGAATTTATAAAACTACGAACTCTATTGCTTTTTTGTGTCTATAAACGCATTCGGCCATATATTTATAAGATTTATCATGCTTTATAGAAGGATTTATGTCAAAATCGAAAGTCTCATTGTCTGCCACATGATGAAGTTGATACCTGGAATAATATTGATACATTTAATACTTGAAATATATTAAAATCTGAAAATTGTGTTCTCGTTTGAACAGACAAAAATTCTACCCTATTGTTGAAAATAATCCGCAAGCATGCTGTATGAAAATCAGAAACATTGTATCAATAGCAACGATCGTAGAAACGCAAATTACAATGGTTACATAAGAGTGAAGAATAATAAAATAATAATATCTTTGAGTATCTACGAAATATTCAACGTGATGTATCAATGGTCGTTCGCTTGTTTCGTTTAAGGTATTAAAAATAACTGGCTTCAATGGTGTGATCATAAATATTACCATTGCCGCGTATAAAAAGCCTAGAAAATCATGTAACAGTCAGATTTACTGTTAATTTTAACAGTATTTATATAATACTTTCTTCACCTGCGTATATGATGGTAAACCTTCTTCCATCTTTAGCATATTTTTTTAGAATATTTACTTCTCCAGCTTTAGTATATGAAATAATATCTGTTTGAATGCGGTCGATGAGTATCTTCATCTACAAATTAATAATTTGCTATTTATATTAACGCAAGAATAATCGATTATATACGAATAAAATAAACTACAGGAAAATACTAGATTTGATTTGAAGAATGCGGTAAGATGAACTTTAGCCGTGAAATAATGCGAGATATTATTTAAATACCTTCTCCGTTTTAAGCGCACAATTTATTATTTTAATTATACCACCTAAATCGACTATGAAAGGAGCCAAGTTTTCCAATAAAACATCTATATCATGAAACGAAGTTATTAAAGCACACATCTATAGTGAAAATAAAACAGAAAAAAAAAAGAAAAGAAACAAAATTAAATGACGTTTAAAATCTTTTCTATAAAAAAAAAAAAAAAAAGAAAAAGAGCGTTATTGATATAATTAATAGATACCTTGGCTATCATTTGTGTGCCGGCTAGTAAAAATAAGATTGATAAAGTGATATTTCTTCGACTGATCGTTTGATAAGGCCACTGGCCGATAAAGGATAATAAAACTTTATTGATTCTATAGTGACTACCGTCAAAGAAGTCCATTACGTTCGACTACTATTGAATAAACACTGGGAGAGAAATCCCCTTTCCATGTGCAATAGCACATAATGTATTCGGTAATTTTCTTCTCATCTAAGATTCCCTTAGTGACGATAATAGCTATAAGAGACATCTGTAATTATGTATACTCATGTGTGCGTTTACACACGTATTGACATTTACACGATGGCTTAGAATTAGCTGTTATTTCTGATAGTTTTCCTTTGACTTTGAAAGACAGATTATTGTGTCTTATATTGTTCAATCAAGGGAAAATTTGTTTTTGATTTTCTCGAGATAGAAATTTATCATGGAAGAAATTGATCAATATTATGTAATATAATAGATCTATAATACGAACGGAGTGGAAAATCAAATAATTTATTTTTAAATGAAACATGAAAAATTGATCGATATATAATTCGATTATGTTGATTACTTCGATATATCGAAAACCAATTCTACAACTAGACATTGATGTCGCTTATGGTGAATATAATAAAGTATGATTCGACATGGTAGATAATCGTGTTGTGATATTTTTTGAATAGTGATTAAAAATATATTTATTACAAAAATTCATTTAATTCCTTAGATAAAGAATTCTACTTCTTTCTAGAAAAAATTATATTTATAATATATATTATTGAATCAGGTAAGTGGATGACAGAAAAGTAATCTAACTAAAACAAAATTGTACGATATATATTATTAGTTTTTATTGATATCACAATTAAATACAATTGTTTTTCTTATAAAAATTTTTTATTAATTGATTATTAAATATATATATATATATATATATATATATAAATAGAATGTCTTATATAGAACATCGAACATGTACAGGTTATCTCTAATGTATATATTCACATATATATTCGTGTTTATAGATATATTTATTTGCTTATACAGGAATATAAAAAATGCAGCGAGAAGAAAAGCAACTAGATGCTGCCTTAGAGGCTATTATTACGAGAGTTAATGATTTGAAGACATCTATTGCATCAATGATATTTAAATTAGAACACGAGTATGAAACTTTAAATTGGCCAAATTTTCTTGATAATTTTGCACTTATTTCTGGTCATGTAGGTAAACTTAAAAATTAATTGAATATAGATCAATTTTGAACGCTATAAAAAATAATTGTTTTATAGTTGACCAGTTTATCCAAGATACTTAGTCATGACAAAGCACCAAGCCTAAGAAATCTCACAGTATTACCATTGCGCTTAAATCCCGAGAAAGATGAAGAATTACTTCGATTAACTGAAGGCAGAATTCCGACATTTGCTCATGATTCAGTACCTGATTATTTAAGAACTAAATTAGAACCTCAAGTGGAACAAAAAATGATGCAGTTAGAAGCCAAAGCAGCAAATTTAAATCATGAAGCTTCTCATGTAAGACAATTTTATATTTTTTATAGATATAAAATGAAATTTATAATATCAACTTTTTTCATATGTAATTTAAACATATTTATAACAACAAAAATATTTTCATGATGAAATTTGTATACTTTCTTAGATAAGTAAACATAAAAGTAATTTATTCTACTTCTTTGTTAATGTGCTAACTAAACCACAACTAGGAATATAATGTAAGCTACCATCAGATAGCTTGTATTTTTTTTTAGTTCCATTAGCTTTGGACTGTGATTAAGATAAAAGCTTGATGTAGAAAAATTTATTAACACACATATTCTATTCAGATGCATTTCATAATTCATTTATCTTTTACTCTTAACACTGTTAATTATTTTTATTTATAATTGATTATATGTATTTGTCATATACAGTTCATTTAGCAAATGGAACACAAGACACATTACTGTCTAAATTTCATGTAGGTTTTGATGGGTTTCAGAAACAAGTAGCACAATATACTAAAGTGATTAGTCATGTTTGGGATATAGCAAATAAGGCACGTGAAGAATGGGAAAGTGAAGCTGGTTCTAGAGCAACACAAGCACAAACCAGTAGTGCAGCAGATACTCATGCACTTGTTGCTGCTGTTGGAATGGGAAAAGGATTGAAAGTAATAATCTTTTATTTTTTAAAATCACAATATATTAATTCATTTTATTTAAACAGATACTACAGATATTATTCAATTACTTACAGTCCGACTCAGTTCCAATGGTTCAGTCAAATGTTAACCCCGTACCAAGTGGTATGATGGTAGGTAGACCTGCAAACCAACAACAGTCTGGAGGACAAGGACCACTTGGAAATACACAAAGTAATTAAATTATTCTAAGATATCATTAATTAATACTTTATAAAATTATATTAATTTTCAATTATTTTATTATAGTGGGACAAATGAACAAAGCTCCTAGTGCAATCAAAACAAATATTAAAGCTGCATCACAAATTCATCCGTATGGAAGATAGGAGATATTAATATTTTTATTAGAACATGTGACAACATTATAACTGAAAAAGGTATACATATATACATATGTATAACATTTATAGTTTTAATTTATTATTGCAGTTTTATTTAATTATATTTTTTTTTATTTTTTGTGCTATAATAGCATTAGATCGTGGGGATAATATTTTATTCATAACAGGAAAAATAGTTGCTTTTAAGCCTTGTTCTTGTAACCAACACAACCGATCTTGTAAGACTATTGATTCTGCTGGTGCTTGTAAAATTAATTGTAGACCAGTATAAATTTCTACTTCTTTTGATCTTTGACAATGATGTTTCCATAATTCTATTATATCATTTTCGATTATTTCATGGTAATTAATTTTGCCTTAAATACAAACAAATTTTTTTTATTACTTATGTGAAATGTATAAAGCATATAATTATAAAAAAAAATATTTTACCGTCTTTTTGTGGCATTACTTCATTGATTGGTTCAAAAGTATATCTTAATAATGTATCCTTCACATAATTTTCAATGCTAGAACATTGAGATCGTCTTGTAGCTTTTCGAACTCGTTTTTTTAAATGAAACTTATCTAAAATTAATTTCATTAAACTTTTTATATATATATATATATATATATAATTTAGGAAATAAGAATAAAATAAAAAAAATATATATATATATACACATGTATTTACTTTCTTTTACATATAATTCAACCACTGCTCTAGCAAGTACGTGAAAAGCATGTGTATCATGTGAATCTTGAGACATACTAATCCATCTTTCAGCTGCCTCTTGACATGCTAATCGTAAAAATGGTTGTCTTAAAAATGTACTAGTATCTAAATTTGAATTAGCAATTACTTTCTGAAGGCATTGTGACATTGGAAAATTATCAAAATATTGTGTGTTATTTGGCATTTCTTTTCCATTTTTGGATATAGAAAGTTTATGGTAACAACACGAAATCAAAATCAATAATTGTGCATTTTTCATATTACAAAATATTTTAGATACATATACACTTAAGTCTCCACAGGCGTGTAATCCAATAAAACAAAGATTATCAATTTTTCCAAACTCAGAGAATACAAGGAATTCTATTGTTTCTATAGAATGATATGATAATTTACAAAATGCAAATTTAACATGATTTACAGATGTTGGATATATTTTCATTTGTCTATTGCGAGCTATATTTATATTTGTTTCATTCCCATCTAATCCAAGTACTTTATATCCATATAAGTAGTACAGTAATTGAGAAACATATCCCTAGAAAAATAAATTATGAAGTTTTACTTCAATGTTATGTATCCGATCAACTTTTATTTTTGTAATAAAAAATTGTTTTCTTACCAAACCACTTCCAAAATCAACAATAACATCTATCTTTTGTGTTTTACATTGTGCATGTATCAATTGTGCCAAGTGCATTATTTCATGCTGTTTTTTGGGATTTAATCCTTTTATAAATTGTTGTGGCACTTCTAATATTATTGAAGGATTTATATCTGATAATTTATTAATATATTTACATTTTTCTATGAAATTCTGAAGTGTTTTAGGCCATGCAGGCTATAATATATAAAAAAATATATAAAATATTATATAATATATATATAAAATATATATATGAAAAATATATAAAAAAAAAAATATAAAAATAAAAAAAAAAAAGAATATTAAACCATTGTTGCAAATTCTAAAATCTTTCAAATAATTCTTATAACGATAATTATTTAAACTTGCTTACCAATGTTTTGTTAACAACAAAGTTGTTAAGTTCTTCATTTGATAAAGATTGCAATACATCTAACCATTCTTTAGGAATATCATCCAATGATCTTTTAACTAATATTTCAGTAACTGGATGGTTATAAATCCATTGTGTTTTATGGAATAAACATAATGCATCTAGGAAATATTTAGTTAGCAATTCTTCATTCTGATGACAAAACGTCATAATTACGAATAGTGAGAAATAAATAATTTTACATCTCCTGCCACAATTATGATTAATTTATGTATTATACAAAGAATGATTTAAAATTTTTATTCAAATCATTCTAACTTTAATGTTTTCACTTGAGCAAATCGGAGTTGATTGAAGCGCCTTCTAATGTTACTTTTAGGAAACTTCTTTTAGTCTAAACTGTCTCACAAGACGCATGTAATGAATACCTTTAATTTATTGATAAAAAATCAATTTTTAATTATTCTAATGTTTTCTATTCAAATTCATTTCAATATAATTTCCACAAATATAAATATTACAAATGTAAAATTTCTTTCTATATGATAAGAGCTATTGATCTTTGCAGGAATACAGAACTAAATCTATAGAAAAGATTCTTTTATCAAAAAACACTTTTTATAGAAAAATATTAATATAATTATATTTAGTTTTTTTTTTTTAATACATAACATTATATGATTACGCAGCTATGCAAAACTACGTCTTATTTTATCAATTTTACAATATAGTAACAATAAATGTTTTTCCTTCTTTTTATTATATAACAAAACAAAATCTTTCATATCTACAAGATTTTACGACATTAACGCCAACGACAATCATTGAAAGCTCTATCGGTGAAATAGTTATTAAGAGCTTTCTATGCATGATAAGAAATACAATAGTATGCGTGAGTATATCAATTAATCTTTTCGTGCCATTTTTTTTATTTTTATAGCGATGGTTATAAAAATTCAGCTGCTCATAAACATTCTGTATAATCTGATCTTTCATTTGATACTTTGTTATTATCGAATTCTGTTTATTTTAAGTTTTAATTTGTCTGGGAAAAAATATTTATCTCGAATTTCTAACGATTGCCGCTTAGTGTCGCCCTATGAATTTCCGAATTATTTCTTTCACAATTTCTGAATAATTTTTGTTTGGAACGTAAATACATACATTGTATATATTATGTTATAAATATTTTGAGAATACTAATAACAATTTCGAAATTAAAGTAATTATTCTATAATAACTTATTTAGCTACTTCTGCTTGAACTTCTTCCTCTTGATTAAAAACAATCCAATTTTCCATTTTTCTATGCAATAAAGCATCATTGCTTGGTCCAATAAGAGCACGACCAATTTTAATATTTTTTTGTCCTAGTTGTAGATATTTTTCAGCAACTTCCATAATGTGTTCTTTAGTTACACATTTTAATTGTTCTCTGTGTGCCTGTATCTCATCATCAGTAAGATTATGAGTGAATTTAAGCATACCACGACTGCCTGGAGATATTGGAGCATCAACTTGTTGAAAGACTCCTAGTTTTGCTTCGTCTATTTCTCTTTGAGACAATTCGTAATTTTTAAGAAATTCATATGCTCTATCAAAAGTATCAAATGTTTGAACAGAATTAGGATCTCGATAGGAATAGAATGTAAATATTCCTGCAGAAGTCAACGTAGCTCCACCACCATAAGCTCCACCTTTTTCTCGAATCTCAGGATGCAAATAAATTGATGTAAGAAGTTTAGAGAGTATACGTAACACGGCATATTCTGGATTTGTATATGGTACTGTTAAAATTGCTTTTGAAGAATAATTAACTGTGTATGGCAAAACATAATGAATTGAACTTTCTTCAACATTATTATCATCAGCTGATGTAATGATATATGGCTCCTTTGCATTATCTTTTAATGATTCGTAAAATGTACCGATGCTTTCTAATATACTTTCTTTATGTTCACTTGATAAATTAATAACAGATCTTAAATGTTCTTTATTTAAAACATGTCTAGCAATTTCCTTCATTTGATGCAATATTGGAGTTAAATCTTGAAGTTGTGCTATACTCTTCATTCTTCCTACATACTGTAATCCAGATAAATTTTCTTTAAGTTTAGCAACTGAAGAAACCAAACTGTTAGCAGTACTCATTGCATACATATGTCCTTGATCAGCAATTCCATTCACTAAATGCGCTGCATTCATTTTAACTAATGTGTCAAATCTTTGAAGATCATCTAATGTTACATTATTAAATAATTCTGACCATAATTTCCACATATCATTCATGTTTCTGTCTAAACAATAAGATTCTATCATAACACCTTCTTCATATTCCATTACATTACTTTTATGTTCAGCAACATGATTCATAAAATTTAAGCCACCAGTTTTTAACTGTATCATTTGATCGAAAGTTCTATAATCATAATTTCTTGTACCCATTTTGGCAATAATATTATTGAAAAGTGGTAATAGATTTTTTAATTCCTGTGGTAATTTCTGCGTATTAAGAATTCCACGATAATAAGAAATTCCATTAGTTGGTTGTACACTCACTTGCAATGGAACACCAGAGATATTTAAATTTGTTAATTGATATCGTTCCACATCTTCTTTCAAGTCTTGTACTCTTAAAGTAGGAAGAACTTCTGCATCATCTTTTTTTTCCTGTTCAGCTAGTAGCATCAATCCTTCCTTATAAACATTATCTAATTCTTCTTTAGATAGTTCATTTAATTTTTTTGTTAACAATTCTCGTTCTGCGTCAGTTTTTTCAGCATCATATCTCTCATCAGGTGACATTGTTAATGTTAATCTATGATTGTTGTCTATTAAATAATTCTGTACTAAATTTTGTAAATATTGAGGATTCTTTTCCATTTTATTTATGAACTGTTTAACTGCTTCATTGATTCTCAGTGATTGAATAATATCACCATTATGATTCCATAGTGGTGTTACGTTAAACAACAGATGTAATCCAAAGTTTGAAGTTTGATGTTTCATACTTAATTCGATACCATGTAGAATAGCCTCTATATGATCTTTTTGAAAACCTTCTTTAATGACTTTCTGCAAAGTTTCGTCAAAAATTTGTTCTACTTTAGAAAAATCTTCAAGCTTCACTCCTTGTAGACTTACAATAAACATAGTATCTTTACACTGTGCATCATATCCAGTTATAGGACCAAAGCCGGTACTTATATTTGATTCTACTAAGCTTTTGTAAAATGCCGAATTAGGACCTTTCAATAATAATTGCGACAATACATATATTTCAAATGTTTTCTGCACATCAGTTATATCATTACATAAATGTCCTATTACAATAGAACCTTGCCTATTTGGATCTGCAATCATGGGATCTGGTCTACAGGAAATATGCTCATATTTAGGTTTATCCCATCGCTTTTCTGAAGGAACTTTTGATCCAGACGTATCGATCCTATCTGATAAGAAAAGATAGCGATCATTGATGAACTTCAAATGCTCTTCAAGTGGAAAATTGCCATATGAATAAAATCGTGCATTAGAAGGATGGTAATAAGTTGCATGAAAATTTAAAAGATCAGAATATTTCAAATTAGGAATAACAAGAGGATCTCCTCCAGAAATGATTGCATATGTGTGACTTGGTAGGATTGAATTTAATAATCGTTCGGCCAATATAGCTTGATTTTCATTGAAAACTCCTTTCATTTCATTAAAAACTACTCCTTTAAAAATAATAGGACTATTTTTGTCATTTACATCAGCATGTTCTAATCTCCATCCTTCTTGACGAAAATCCAATTCTCTAAGATTAGGCTTAAAGACAGAATCTAAGTACACTGATTGTAAATTCCTGAAGTCTTTTAAATTTTGTGTTGAAAATGGATATATAGTATAATCTGGACCAGTCATGGCATTCATAAAAGTAGCTAAGGATCTTCTGAGCATTTTAAAAAATGGATCTCTACAAGGGTATCTTTCGCTGCCACATAGAGTTGTATGTTCTAATATATGTGGTAGACCAGTAGAATCCATAGGTGTCGTGCGAAATCCAATAGAAAATACATTGTTACTGTCATCTCTGGCTAAATGTACATATTCTGCTCCGGTAGATAAATGTGTAAGCCTTACTGCAGTAAGATACATTTCATCTATTCTTGCAACTTCATCTATTATAAAACCATGCAGAACAGTTCCTTTTTTGAATTTATCAGATGGATAATGTATTACATCTCTATTATAATTTATTGTTTCATATTTTACATTTGCAGAATAAGGACGTTTTAAGCGCTGCAAGAAGCTCTGATGTTGTGAATAAGTTTGACGTGAAAATTTAAATATTCTTAACATTTTAGTTGATGATGCAAATGTTACTACTGAAAAAACCAATGATATATAAATTAATTATATTAATGAAAGATAATATTAATTTTATATTCACAGATTTGTACAATTGACCATATTTATATTGTTAATCAAAATAAAAATACATAATCATTGATCTAAAACTTATAAGTAATAAAATTCACAAGTATTCCACTTTAATTGTTATGAATTAAACAGAAATGTATCTTACAAGATTCCTATAATATATTTCGCAGTTTTATAAAGAGCATTTATTGAAATAAATCTAAACAAATACAATTTGTACAAATTGTACAAATCCTGATGCAATAAAATGATCATTAACGACACGTAATAAAAAATTTTACCTCGATTAATAAGATTTCGTAAATACAGATTTACTCTTTCGCGTTTTCTTGTCGTCCTAAATAAAACAATTTTATGAGCAATTCTAAACGTTCAAATATTCTCGTCTTTTTATCTTTTCACGTATAAGTCAAATTGAAAATAAGCGGTCGATCAAAAATTTTACCGATTTTGCAGACGATTTTAATCGAACATTGAAATAATAATCATTAGAGTGTTATTTTACAAGAATAAATTTGTAATTTGCTGACTAGTTGCGCCATTACGACGACAATCGTAATAACCTATAGATATCATACCGTGGACAAATCTCTAGATTTAATATTCCAGTTTTATTTATAACGATACAAAATAAATCGAACTTTATCTTTAATTCGAATTAGCGAGTTGCATCTTTATTAATAAATATATTGAAACATGAAAAAAAGAAAAGTTAAGAAAAGACGTTGGAGAGAAAGAAAGGCCATTGGCTACTCTTGAAATCGTTTGTCGAAAAATAATGACAACGTTATGTTCGAGCGGACCAATTGCATGCCGGAGATGTTAAAATGTCAGGGCGCCGTGTCGCGGAGGCGCTAAGAAATTTCTTTCTTCTCTCGAATGCGTACGTGTACCGCGTCGAGTGAAAGACGCAAGTTCTATGACGATCGAAAGAACGCGCAAAGTGCTATCGGTCTGACTTCCGTGGCCAATACAGAGAGCGAGACCGTCAACCGATTGTCGTCACACCGTGTTTGAGGTCCGACATGGGCCGCGGATGAGTGCTATCAACCGTGACCGATTTATGCCGGGACGATCGGCGTTAAAGTGTCGCGCGTTGTAGTTATGACGGTGAAGCGCACTCGATCATATTGCAAGCGCTTCGGCGAATTGTCGGTACGCGCGAGTGGAGGCTCTCGAATGGCGCCCACGCAGGACGTATACCGGAGAGTGCGATGCTAACAAGTAGTAATAATAGTAGTAGTAGTAGTAGTAGTAGAAGTCCAGCTGACTCTGACAAAATGGTAGGGCCCTCTCTATCGGCGGGAGGTTATAGATTCGTACGTGCTACATAATCCGGTACCGTCGCGGTTAGGGTACGATGAGTACTGATAATCATGATCAGTCCAAGCCCAAACCACCACCACCACCATCATCATCGGCATCGGCATCGGCATCGGCAGCAGCAGCAGCAGCAGCAGCGGCGGCGGCAACATTACCACCACCACCGCCACCACCACCGCTACCACCTCCACCTGCGATACCGCCATCGCCATCACCACTACCACCATCGTCTACGCGGAACAACGTCTCCGTCGACGAGTACGCTTTCGACGGCACGCGCATCAAGAAAGAACAAAGTGACATTTGTCTCGAGAACGGCGACGGTGCCGGTGCCAGCAACGTCAGTGGAGGCGGTAGTGGTGGCAACGGTGGTGGCAGCGGTGCTGGAGGAAACGTTGGAATCACGAAAGCCGGTATCAACGACAACAAGAGACCGCCGGCCACCCCCGCTCCCATTGCCGGTAGGCTCTCCAACGGCTTCCACGAAGGTGACCTACTTCAGGACATCATCGCGGCCAAGTTCACGACCCTGGCGAATCACGGCTCCACCGGCAAGAACGACAAGATTCGTCTGATGATCGAGGACAGCGTCAGGTTTAAACTCTCGACCTTCATTTCATTCTCATTTATTCCCTTTAATCACAACATTTCTTTCTTTTCGCACACCTGTTTTATTCTTTCTTTTTTTTTCTTTTTTTCTTTCTTTCTTTCTTTCTTTTTTTTTTCTTTTTTTTTTTATTTTTTTTTATTTTTTTTTCTTTTTTTTTTTTTTTCTTTCGATTAATTCAGAATTCACTAAGTCGAAGGTTTTGTTTCCTGATCGGAATACAGAATTGTCTTTTATAAGCATTCGTAATTAATTGAAGTATATATGGGAAGTGAATCGACGCAACCCAAGTCGCTTCGTGCTAATCGACAATTATAAGATTTATAAGATTGCTTTATAGATATACGATATAGCCAAATCTACTGATATTACTGGTCTCAGATTGTATTTTTTTCTTACATTGTACGTTTTGCCACAGTTGTATATTTGTACGAAACTATATCTTTTATTTATGATGAATTCTTCGCTCGGAAATAATTCGCGAATGTATCGAATTGTTACTCAACACATATTTGCATTTTATTGACGATGTTTTCTTTTAATACTTTATTACAATAGTCATTTGAAATATTTTCGAATTCGATCGAGTAATCGATATCGTGATTACTTCTGAAGTTAACTTCGAGTTCTTTCGAATTGTATTTTTGGCGCTCCTGTTTTAACGAAAAAAGGGAATAATTAGCATATTCATAAAAGAATTTGCACATTTCGCGTTCAGCACAATTTCTTGATGATTAATTCGCATGTACTTTCCATGTCAATCTTTACTTACAATTTGTTAATTTAAATAAATCCCTTTCTCATCGATTTTTATCCCGAAAGATTTATTGAGGATTAAAATGTCATCTAATAATATATTTAAAATTCTTAATAATTTAGTTGTTTTACAAGCGAATTTAATTTGTTTATTAATAATGTATAGATTCTTTGTTTAAAGACATGATATATAATGACGTCTTGTATGTTTGAAACAGTGAAGAATCAAAATCACGAGTTCAGGAAATATTTTCCCAAGTTGAGCAACTTAAAATAGAGGAAAAATTGTTGCTGTACCTGAAGCTTCCATTGTCGTTGAACAATACTGGAGGAACTGTTGATCCATTGAGGCAGCCATTAAATCCATTAGGAAATCGTTATGAAATTCATCAGACTATTATGTGGATCAAAACACATTTGGAAGAGGATCCTGAAGTTTCCTTACCGAAACAAGAGGTCTATGAAGAGTATAAGTATGTTTAAAATAAATAGATCATATTCGCAATGATAAGTATTGGTTTTCAATAAATTTTTATATTTATATAATATCTATTTACAGCATGTATTGTATAAGGAATTCTATGAAACCACTGTCAACTGCAGATTTTGGAAAAGTTATGAAACAAGTCTATCCACGGGTACGTCCTCGAAGACTAGGCACAAGAGGCAATTCTCGTTATTGCTATGCAGGAATGCGCAAGAGAGTTAAATTGGAAGCTCCAACGCTGCCTAACATATCTGGAAGTCAAACTGTGAGGCACATCTAATAAATTTTTTTGATATTTTTCTTTGTATCTTTCATAATATGTGTATAATTGTAAACAGAATCTTTCATATATTGATAAGTAATATAACATAGTAACAATAATATCGATTATTTGATATTTTTAGGAGGATGGTACAGAAGAAAATATTACCGAAGAAATGTTAGGCGCTGCTTCTACATTGATTAGGGAATGGGCAGAAAGTGTGTTAGGTTTTAAATTTCCAACTTTGAGTGCCTTAGCACGTCATCTTGTGGATAATCTTTGTGTCGATACGCGATCTCTAGCTGCCGTGTGCATTTTATGCGCTTCCAGGGAACCTGATACTTCATCCAACGAAGGTATATCAAATAAAATATAATGTGACGTGTTGTGATGCTACTAAAATCAATAAATATTTGTCAATAGAGCCAACGACTGGTTTGTCAGTTACATCAATATCTGGAAAACCAGGGAAATTAAGAGAAGCACAGATACAATTACAACGTAAGCTACAACAACGAGAGCATATAAAAGATCAAAAGCATAGGCACATTGACAATGTTACACAGGTATAGTGTTAAAATATCTGATATTAGAAATTTCATACAATAGAATATAAATCTAAACAAGTATAAGTATGTACAAGTATAAATATTTCAGAATCAGAATAAAGAAAAGATTATTGATAATAAAGCAGGAGTAAATAAAGGAAGTAAGAAAGTTAAGACCAATCAGTCGCCTCAGGGTACAAATACGCCAGCTGGACAATATGTGTTAAACAAACACAATTTACCTGCCACTGTGACAGTTCGGCAAAAAAAGGTTCTTAAAGCTAGCAGTCAACCCTGCAACAACGTTTCTCCGGAATCCAACTGTGATAATATAGTGGTACAATCGATCGAAGATGTTCAGAATAATAGCAGCACTAGAGTAGTAACGACCAATTGCGTGAATTCAAAGCGAGACGTTAAACCTAAAAATTCCAGAAAGCGTGCCAATCTTAATGTACCAAATCAACCATCGGAATCCAGTCCTGAGAAGCAAACAAAACTTGCAGAACAGCAGGTACATGAAAATGTAGAGCATTCCAGTATGTTGTTACCTAGGCTCTCATCTGTACAACGTGCGGGGAAAATATCAGTGATATTAGCTAGTAACCTGAAGCCTACCAAGTGTAAAGCCACAGAGGCTGTTAGTAATCAGCCTGCCAAAAACTGTGATATTGAATTGCCAACATGTTCCAAAAATTCCATCAAAATAAATGGTTGCCCAAGTAGTTTTGATTCTAATGGAAATGGAACTGAAACATCGACTCTTTTAACCAAGGATCAACTACGATTGTTGCAAGAAAATTCAAACCTCATAAGTAAGAATGATAAGCTTTGTTCTCTTGATGCGGATGCTTTGGATGATTATTTAAACGGGGGTAATAATTCTCAAGAACAAGAAGAGGAATTGTTGCAGTATTTTCAACAGAATAGTTCGTCTAGTTCAGATGTAGAGGCAAATGCCATTACTGGAGACACGGAACAAATATCAAGATCCGATAAAGTGTCTCAGTTGAGATTAATATTAGAACAAAATCTAAAAGCTGGTACCGAGCATCCACCGATTGACATAGTATCCGCTACTATCGTCAGGCAGAATACAGTTAGTGAAAAACAGGAGGTTACTCAAACGCATAATTTGATACTTCCAACATTGTTAAATCATTCGAATCAAACTAATACGAGACGCAGAGTTAGTTTTGAAACTAATGTCGTTGAACATGTACAAGATTCCAATGTTGTTACGAATACCGTACCTCAAAGCCCAAATACGCGTCGTAGGATATTTAATTTCACCCCAATATCACCTGGTCCACATTCACCTATCAATGGTCGTGCTTCCAAATCTAATTCAGCAAACGCGAGTCCTTTCGTTTCACCACGAAATACGCCAGTGCCTCGGTCACGGAGTAATCTACAAGGTGGCAGCTTTAGATCTCGAGCGAGTCAAAAGTCTTTGTCGCGTTCCATATCATGCAGCATGCCATATACTGGAAAAAACGATACGTTTGTAGTACCCACCAGTGGTCCTGAATTAGTGCGACAGGTGTCGATGCCGCAATCACCTCTTACTTGTACAAAGTCATCCGAAGTACAGGTTGGTGGCAATGGAACGCACATCGCTATAACGTCGAAGCAAGAAAATCAAGGATCACAATGCCCTCCATTTTTAGCATCAGATTTGGCACCGCAAAAGCAACTGCTTATTAATTATCCAAGCCAGGAAAATTTACAAGAAATTAAGAATGTGTATCAAAGACCACAACCAACAGATCAGGAGATCAGTGAATTATTGCTTGGCAATAAACAATTTACTACTGAACAGCTTTTTTGTAGATCGCAATCTGTTCCTTTACATCGTATGGTAAATCCTGCATTAATGTCTCCTATTTCAACACAACAGTGTCTCTCAAGTTTTCAAAGTCATAGTTTTAATCCATCTACAAGCAGTTCAATAGCTCCTACTCCTGTACCTAGTGAATTCAATGACTTTGGTTCTATAGGTCAATCAGAAGGGACTTCATATTTATTAAACGACGTCGATCCAAACTTTATATCGGATGATCAACAATTTTTGATGAATGATAAAGAGATTACATCTGAAAATATAACAAATATTCTTAATATCCTGAGCGAAGAGGGATCGCAAAGTTTACAGATTCTTCCGGAACAATCTGGAGAAGAAGATTTGATAGATAATAATGGGATAGTTTTAGATACTTTACCAAATTCAAATATAAATTTGTCAGAAGAAGATATGCTGGATCCTTCGAATGTTCTTGATAGTTCAGTGAGTGGGGCATTGCAAAAGATCATACAATCTCGTTCTTATCCAAACACACCTCTTCCTGCACCAGTATCAACATATACACCATCTTACGCAGAAGACAGTAATGGTTCAAGATCATATCCTTCAACACCTCTGCATACAGTACAGTCTCAGGAAGTTTATCAAGAGTCAAACGAACCAATGCTCTCCAGTCCTACACTTAATTCTTTGAATTTACACGGAGATACAACTAGTATCGCCACATCGGATAACGGCTGTAGGAATGTCGCAGATTTACTCGAGACCAGCTTCCTAGGAGAGCCCGATGGAGAAGCCGATGATCTGGATCCTCTTAGCAATTTTGATGGATTGCAAGATGTTGATCCATTGACTCCCTTATTCAATGAAGTGACAGAGCCTAATCGTTGAGAAAGGTCTATTTTGACAGAGGTAACTCAGATATTGCATTCTTTATAGAAATTTATTAAATATTTTTTTATGTAGTCGCATGTTTTTCATCAATTATATAATATATAGTACTTTGTATAATAATAAGTAAATGTATTATTTTGCAAAGTACATATTATCATCACAAGGAAGAATTAATGAATTTAAGTTCATTCACAGTGTCACAGATGTCAATGTATTTATGTTAAACTTTTAGCAATGGAAATACTACATTGAAATTTTTAACTATACTTATTTTTAGGCTACTATTTTATAATCAATTTTAATTACACTTTTATCTTTGCATCAGCCCAATTTTCTCTCTATAAATCTCTATATATCTTCTCTGCTATAAATATTATTAATGATTGCAATATATTATAATTATTGTAATTGAATAACTCTAATATTTATAAATTTATGATCACTTTTTGTCATAGTTTAATTAAATAAAATAAAAATTAACTCATTGATATAAAAAAAAAAAAAATAAAATAAAATAAAGTTCAAATTAGATGATCGAACCAGTTTAGTAGTAGTAGTCCGTTTTTGTAATATTCGACATTACGAATTTTCAGCCGACTATGGGAACATAGGATGTTCTTCTAATTTTTATGGAATAACAAAGCTCATAACTGCCATACTTTTTAAACTTCCATTATTTGAATTACTATCTAATTACGCTCTAATTGCTATATAATTAATAAATACGAAGGCACTGTGACACGAATTCTAAACTTTTGATAGTGTTTTTCTGACTGCCGACTGTCAAAACATTAAGATAATATATTAAGATTTTAGAATCTTTTGATGCAAAATTAAAATTATAATGATGTTAAAAGAATAACAATGAAATTGCTCAGCTGAGAGTATTGCTATCTTATATCATCTTAGATATGAGAAAGAAAAAAGTTGATTTTATACAAATACTTTAATATTCGTCGTTTTGAAGCGCTTGTTTCTAAGTCATTTAAGAACATGTTAATGTGACTCTGTTATTTAACCACTCTATGAAATATTAGCAATCAACTGTTAGGCATTGGTATTGTGCGGTATTGAGCCCAGTATATAATAGAACGTACTTTGTAATCCTATAATTGATTAGTAACTACATTTTGTAATAAAGTATACAGTCTTAGTTGATCTTTTTATTACTTATCAAATTCAAACTATCAGATGGTGTTTAAATCCTATAGAAAATACAGTGTTTTAGAGCCCCTTGCATACTTTGGTATTATATCACATTTTATATCAATTAAAACTACACAAGCTATTGCTACAGTAGATCTTCTTTCTCTTCTTTTTCTTGTTTAGTAATCAACAAATTTTAAAATGATTTCACGAGAATACATATTGGATTATGTATATATATTTCTTTTGTTTTTATTCAAATAGAATATTTGAATCAATATTTATCAATAATTGTTAAAATTTCTTTAATTCTTTTATCTATATTTTATGAAATGAATTAGCAGCTGTGGTCGATAGTTTTATCACTTGAACTTATGACATATGTGAAATTTTTAATCTACGTTTTACAACATAAAATAACATTATACGTATATAAAAATGCGGTAATCGTGATTTATTCACGCATTAACTTACGTATAAAGTATTATATGACGTGTTACGTAGCTAAATACGAAATTTTATATAGTTAACATTATATAATTAATCGATTGATATGATTTTTTGTAAAATTTTATTTGTGAAAAGTTTTATTGATACAAACGATATAAAGGAATTTAAATAAAGATTCTGGGCGCTAGTAGAAAAGGAGCATGAAAGAATCTTCCGTGGCAAGCACACTTTCTATCACTTTGTCCTTTAAACAACGCAATCATTTTCAATTTGTTAGTTATGTTAAAAAGTGAAGAAAAATATAAAAATCTGATAAATTGAAGATATCGCAGTCTTATCTTAGAATCGAAAACAAATCTTTATCAAATATTACGCGATATGAAGAATTAAAAACCAGGAGAAAAACAAAATAGAAAGTTTGTAAGCTAGAGGAGAGCAAAGACGCAATATTAATGAAATTGAATAGGCTTATTTTTTTTTTTCTTTTCCTTTAATAAAAATTGTTTCTCTTCGATCGTTTTTTCAATGCAAACATTGAAAATGTTTAGTTTTGATAACGGATCGTCTATAATGTTCATATCGATATCGAAAAAGTACCTAATTGTTTTCAGATCACGCATTTTACGAGTTGATCATGAATAAATTTGATTCGTTCGTGTTACCAACAACATATGCGAATTATGCGGAAAACGTTTTCCTTTTTTTTTTTAAATGAAAAAAATTGGACGATTTGTCAAGCGTATCTAAAAAAAAATTGATTAACTATTCAATTACGATATTTTACTGCGTATTGCGAGATTGTCGTAAAGTTATTATTGTACAAATATAAAACTGATTATAATCAAGTAGTGTATGTATGAGATACGAAGGGAAAAGAAAAAAAAAAAAAAGAAAGAAAAAATAAAAAGATTTAGTAATTAACGAATAAATCGTGATAGGGATCGTTTCGAGAAAAGAAAGGATAGAAAAATAAACCAGATTTATTCGTAAACGATAATACTACGAATATTCTTGTGTGAAAAAGTATTTAACACAAATTCGACCAATTCTCGAAAATCTTGCGAATTTCTATGTGAAAAATTGCTAAACTTGTAATTATAAGTAAGGAACACGTATTATGATATTACTTGTTACACGCACAAAAACGATTTAGGTAGAAGTTATTCAATATAATCGTATAATCAGGGTTTGACCGTACTGTTGTGCTTTTTCTAATTTATCTAGATACAAGTTAGAAATACATATTACATATATTTCGACAATTCTGTTTTACGCTCTTACGAATTCGAAATTCTTTTGTAGTTTATTAACTACGATTCATACCAATATATACATATTAATTTGACCGATATTAAAGTATTTGAAACTTATATAAGAGAGACTACATGTGAAAAATGAAAGATAACATCATCGAAGTCCGATTGATACCAAAAAATACTTGTATCTAGATATATTAACAGCATTATTTTATTTGCAACTGAAAATTAATATACACATACACACACACACATACACGAAAATCAATATGCGCGTGTACGCGTTTGTGCAAATGTGTTTAATATATATATATATATAATATATTATATTATATATATTATATATATATAAAATATATTATATCATATATATATATATATATATATATATATATTTGCAGGAACACTCAATAGACACAATTATATTTAAAAGAAGGACGATCTTGTCCGAAGCAAAAGTATTCCAATTCATTTGTAATGAAAACTGTCACTAAATTATTCAATGCAATAAGACCACGGTTTTTTCTGAAAGTAAGAAATCGAAGAATGTGATTGTATAGCGTGACAAGATCGTTGTTATCTCAACATAGTGTAACTAATTTACGTCTTGTAATGTCACATTATATTCCTTTTCTCCTTCGATAGTTTGTCCATTTAACGATCTATATTGATATCAGGATTAAGTTGATTAAATCTTTTGACTAATTTTTATTTAGACAAGATTTTAATCTTTTATCGAAAATAAACCATTGAAACAATATTTAAATTAAGGATTAATTTAAAGATTAATTTTTTTGCCGTTTAATTTGATCGCTTGGATCATAATCTTTTTTAAGAATATTCTGGGTTGGGTTTTTTTTTTTTTTTTTTTTTTTTTTTGTAAAATTTTATATTAAAGTTATTCGCAAATTTCGAAGGAGAAAAAAATGGCTCCATCGGGAGAGAAAAAAGTTATTACTTAGATATCAATAGTATTGCATGGGGTAGATCAGTGAAATATACAACATATACATATATCAGAGAATCGTAGAATGCAATAAAATTATTCAAATGATTTTTGATCAATATGCACATAAAGCCAGACACGCATGTAAATCCAAATCCAATCAGTTATTAGACCTTCAGAAAATACTTGCAGTCATTGATTATTTGTTGTTAAGTAATATGTAATTGAATTTTGCGCGGATAATATTAAAGAAACAAGATGGTATGGAGAGAAGGGATATGTTGCATTGAAATAAACAAATAAGAGGGATAGACGGAAAGAGAAAGAGAGCGGGAGAGAGAGGGAGAGAGAGAGAGAGAGAGAGAGAGAGAGAGAGAGAGAGAGAGAGAGAGAGAGAGAGAGAGAGATGGAGAGAGAGTGTGACAGCAAGAATAAGAGTGAGAGGGGAAAGGGAAGAAAAATAGTATGACAAAACTCGATGTGTTTATGTTTACTGACATACATATAAATGTACCGTTGACATTGTTATCTTGCCAGGAGTGATCTATCTGCGTTCTTGCGACAATCGCATTATTTTCACATCAAGATAAATCTAATGATATCGTATAAAAATGATCGCGCAGATGAAACGATCTTCAAAAAAATCGGCTTCCTCGATTTCAAGAAGATTCTTTCATTCATCTATATATAAAAGAAAAAAAAAAAGATAAAAAAAGAAAAAAAAGAAAAAAAAAAGAAAAAAAAAAAAAAGAAAGAAAAAAAGAAGAAATTTCCTTGATCTTTTGTACCGTCGAATGCCAAGCGAATAAAATCAAGCAATCGGAAAGCGGTCTTCCGATTGTATGAGCAAGTATCGCTGGTGGTTCGCTTTTCTTTGTAAATAAAAACTCTTTTTTTTAGAAAACGTTATAAACAAACAAAATCATGATAATGTGTTTATCCTTTTACTCCTACCAAGTAGATGAAATGACGATGACGAATATCATTCGACGTTTTTCAAAGTTATTCGTTACATCGATTAAATGTAATAATATCATGAAAAAAGGAATGAATTTATTTATGAAAAAAAAAACAAGAAAAAAAACCAAAAAAAAAAAAGAAAGAAAAAAAAGATAAAAGAAAACGTAGTTTCTTGTGTGGCTTATGAAACAGGACCATATCCTAATACTAAATCATTCATTGTAAATTTATACGCAATTGCTTTCTCTTATGTCAACTTAGATGCAATGACGGAATTGAATCTTTGTTTTTCTTTGAGAGATTCCTTTACACGTATAATTGTTAAACAATTTATATTGTCAAATAAACGAATTGCAATCTTGAAGATGAACAAAATTAATGTGAAATAATGGCTGCTTTTGTGAGAGATCATTGTAATTAATAATATAAATCTTTTCTTGATATATTTTATTAATTAAGCTATATATCAAGCGATTACGTTTCTCTTTCTTATTAATGTTTCTTTTTTTTTTTTTTTTTTTTTTTTTTTTTTTTTTTTTTTTTTTTTTTTTTTTTTTTTTTTTTTTTTTTTTTTTTTTTTTAATTTAAATAATCAATTATTGAATTTAGAATGAAAAAAAAAAAAACAGTAGTATGACGTTTAACCATTTATATCGAAAATATTTTTAAAAATTTGTTCTGTTTCTAAGAAACTTGAGCAATTTTATACTGTACCCTAAGAAACTAGATGATTAACAATATTTATAGTTAATCATCTTCACATTTATGAGTTAGTAAACTGTGATATTTGCGTGAGTGCTTACATATATGTTATTTTGTGTACACATTTATTGTAAATAGTCCTTAATCTATCAGATTTATATTATTTTATTCCACAGTATGTTTGCTCATGCGTGAATGCAGCGTACTTTAAACGAAGCAACTGTAATGACATAGTTGCAACACAAATTGCAATCCAAGTAATTTTCTCAAAATAGTCTTTTCGTTCCATAGTATTAATATAACGTTGAATTATATAGAAATCGTTGTGTAATTGTTCATTACGTTTTCGTGTGATGGTAAACATTAAAATTTGTCAAATATAACTTTGTTACGATTTATTAAAAATCAAAGTAGATCTTTATAAAAGACCTGCTAAGCTATTTCTGGAACGAATAGGCTCCAGCAATATAATTATATAATTTGCACAATGTGACAGTGTATTAGATATAGAACTTAGGCAAGATTATAAATCTGTAACATTCACATATATACTGTAGTGTCAGAGAATAGGTAGGAGAATATACAAAATATAAGATATATAAATATATATATATATATATATATATACACATATATATCTATATCTATATATATCTATATATATATATATATATATATAATTTTGTATAATTTATAAT